GTCTGGGTTTGCAGAAAAGCCTGGCCCTCTTGTGCAGCCCTGCCTCAGACTGCAGCATAATTGGAACTGTGCCTGGCTGGCTCTCAACCCAAGGATCCTCTCTGTCACAGACAAGGGTTCGGGTTTAGGCAGCAGTGGAAGGGGATTTGTGCCTTGTGATCAGCCATAAACCTTTGCTCTGCCAAGGAAAAGGGCTGAGTCTGAAAGGCAGGGAAAGCTCTCTGTCTTGCTGATCACCCCATATCTGCTCCACAGGATGGCTTGACAAGCAAAAGGAGTATTTGAGGCGATGTCTGACCAGAACAGAGGCACATGCGGACTCTGTTCCCAGGGCCATCTTTACCCATATGCAAAGTACGCAGCTGTGTAGGACACCAGGAAATTTGGGGCATCACATTGCCCCAGATTTCCTGGTGCCCTACGCACCTGCGTGCTGCTCCAGTGGCCAGCCCAATACCCCGGGGCAAGCTGAGCCGCCCAGGATAGCTGCCCCCGCCCCTGCTCCACCTCTTCCCCATGGTCCCTGCTCTGCCTGAGCCCCACCCCCACTCCACCCCTTCCCCAAAGCTCCCACACCTGCCTCTTCCCACCCCTGCTTCTCCCCAGCCCCGCCCCCACTCCACCCCTTCCCTTGAGCTACATCCCGGGGGACTGCAGCAAGGGTCAGGCATGCCCTGCACTCACCGGGCGGCAGGAAGTGGATTGACCCGCCCCAGCCCGCTCGGCTCCGCCGGCTCCCACCTGCACCCCTGGTGAGTGCGGGGCGGGCTCCGCTGCCGGCTCATGCTGGGGATGATTTCCTCCCTGTCCCTGAAGCCTGCTCTTGCCCCCCACCCCCGTGGCGGGGCTGCGTAGGGCCCCAAAATGTCTAGGGATAGCCCTGTCTGTTCCCACAGAGGTGCACCATCATGGGATTATAGAGGGGTAAATGAGAAATCCCTTCCTATGTTCAAAATGATCCTGATTTACTGAGTAAAGTCCTGAGCAGTACTAGGTTGTTTCTGCAGTACTTACTTGCATGCTAACCAGCCTGAGGGAACAGGCAGGCAGGCTTTCAGGATCCCAGAGATATCTAGCAAATTACTTACACAATTGAGGTATTTGGTCCATTACCCCTCCTTGGTTGGGTGGTCTTGAGGTCATGTTGAATAGCATACTACCTCTTCCCTGTAAAAAGCCAGGGGAAGTACCACAGATGCACCGCCAACCCCCTCAACAAAACTGTCCCTGCTCTTCCAAGACAGGGTGCCAGTGTTCTGCAAGGAACTCATTAATATTAATAAAACATCTTCTCTGTCAAGCATTATTAAATACACTGTTTCACGTAGATGCCTCCTTGAGAACCCTCATAACATCCAAATGAGGCCATCTGATTAAAACCAAATGTTAAACTAAAACCTCATATAAAACCAAAGAAATGGTATAAGTTTGAGTAGCCTAATGTTGGTGCAGCTGTAGCTCTACAGGTGAAAGACACAGTCACATCCTCAGAAAGGGACTCCTTCCAAAATGCCTATAGACCATCAAACTGATGCCACACTGCACAGCAATTTCAAAGCTTCAGTTAAAGATCCTTGATGTGATTTGTGATGTGCAATGGTTTCCAACTTGATGGGTACAAAGAAGCCATGTTACACTCAGGACAGCAATCAGTCATCCTAAACAGATACCTTTTGCATCCAAACTTACAGGTGAGGGACCATTTGGGGAAACATCAGTAACTTAGAGTGCACAGAGACTTCAGTCTTCGTTATCAATGCCAGCAGGGCAATCCGTTGGTCTCTACCAACACCAATGGTATCCAAGAAGGGACTCTTCCCCTGGCAGAGCGAAAAATCAGGAGCAGAAGTTTCGAAAGAAATCTAAATATATTTTCCTCCAGAACAAAAAAATTGTCAGCATGACAAAGACAAAGAGCATTTGTGAATGAGAGCTCACAGTTCCTGTACAAGACTCTTCCTTCTTATCCATCCTTTGTACCTAGAGCCTTAAGAAATAGCTGGTAGTAATCACAGCAAGGGACAGGTCACAATTTACACACTTCTACTCCATGTATAGACAACATAACAATCAGTAGCCTGTCCTGAGAAACAGACCCATTCATTACTGGGCAGCTGCTGTAAAGGATTTGTAGCTACCACTTCTTCAAAATCAAGAAGAGATTTTAATCCCAATGCTGAGAGTTGCTCAGAGGGGTCAAAACAGACGAGGATCTGGCCATAATTTTACCACGATGGTAGAGATTAGCAAAGAACCAAAACTTCATTGCATCAGTCATTTCAGGGCCGTGGTCCATTCATAGCCAATTGTTTTCAATGGCTAGGATTGCTCATGTCTTGTGTTGGCTTCATTCCTGAGTGGATCTTTCAAAATGTGCCTGCAGAAATTCCTTCTGAAGACATGGAGCTATGCACTTGATGCAATGCAAAATTAGGTGTCATTCTCAGATCACATCCAAATGTCCCTTTGTGGGTAGGTAAGTACAAACACACTGAAAGGCAACCCGATTTTTACTCTAGACTCTTGCATACTCACTGTGGGCACAAGCTTCCCAGGATGGGGAGCTTACTTGGAAGACAAATTTCCAAAGTCTCAGAGAGTGAACTAAATGGTTCACTTTGACATCTCTATCAGTGGCATGTATGAACAAGAACACCTCTCCCATTGTGGCCATATGGTTCAGAGCAATTGGCCACAGAGTCCAATATATTGACTGTGACCGTGGCCTGTATCAGCTGCATCAGTAGACGGTGCAAAAAACTATGCAGTGCGCAGTTACAATACCCTCAAGGGAAGAGAAGTCACCTACTTTCCATTAGAGGTTGGCTTATAATTGAGGCATGAATGTTTATATCCCTTCCAAAACTAGGTCAGACTTCTCTGTGGCAAAGGAAATAGTTTTCTGAGCAGAGAAGGATCTGCAACCTTTCAAGATAGTTCACATGAAGGATACAGAAAAGAAGGAAAAGGGAGAGTTAAAGTCCTTCTCCCCATCCTTACTGGCCTAGAAGGTGCTTTGGACTTGCTAAATAGCCAGGAACCACATACTGTACCTTCAGAAAAGGCCAAACCTCTTGAAACAGGAACTTCTTCATCTAGACCAGGAACATCTACACTTAACAGCCTGGGCATCAGAAGAGAAGCGTAGTTCAGCATGGATTCTCCATTAACCTCAGAATCAGTTTGGTATCCAGACAGAACCGGGATATTTCACTCACTGATCTGCTCAAATTTCCATTTCTGATGTGAGGGAAAACAGAAAGCTCTTTGGGACAGGGACTGCCTCTTTGTGCAGTGCTCAGCAAAACGGGGCCTTGGCCTCCAGATGCTGCTATACTGAAGTGAGCTGTAGCTCACGAAAGCTTATGCTCAAATATATTTGTTAGTCTCTAAGGTGCCACAAGTACTCCTTTTCTTTTTAATAATAGTCACAATTATTGATCTCAGCTACACTAGAGTTTCTCCAGAATGGTTGGTTGGATTCCTATAACCAAGCACCGTAGAAACACGGTATCAGCCCTAGCAGTGATCTGTAGGTAGGCACATTGGACTCTTCATTTGAGTATCTTAAAATGCCACAATTAATCAGAATGACAGATTAGACAAGCCTATGATTAGCCTTTCTAGTCCCCATTACCTCCAAAAGCAGATTTTGGAATTAATTCCTGTATCTGTACAAGAACCATGTTGTTGTTGTCATGAGCAAAAGGCAGTTGTTATAGCATTCTGCCCATGGTAAGTTCTTTGCACAATTCCTGCAAAATAGCTCTCCCATCATTTTGTTCTAACCCCTGATGCTGATTTGATAGGCTGTGACATAAATGAGCATTGCTAGTATGCTGTTCATCTCATTCCATCCAAAATGTCATGGCCTTAGGGCCTGAAAGTTGCTTCAGGCAAGATGTTACAATCCTGCATCAGTTGACATGCTAGGCATCGGTGAAAGTATTTGCAGAAATCTCTTGGGCATTGGAAAAGAGGTGTACGAGCCTCATCTGAGACAGAGTTGCAACATAAGTTTCCATTTCTCTGCAGAGGCATCCTTTGGTAGGAAGGTGCTACTAGGTTGGTTCCTACATAACTCCTTTGTGTACAAAGATCTTGCTTTATATGGTGGGGGGGGGGGGAGAGTCCATTCCGGCCTGCAATTCTACTATAATAATAATTAAAACACTTCTAATCTTTCCCCTATTACGTCTTTGAATCGTTGCTTGCTACTTCCTATTAGATGAATGAGGAGAAAAGCTGTGCAACAGAATGAAAAATTTCTTACCTGATCATTTTATTTCTGTCAGCAGCTTCTCTCTGAGTTCAGTCCATCCTAGTAGTGTGGAAATGACAAGAATACTTTTTTCTGTACAGAAAGATTTAGAAATATAATTCTCTTAAGGTTTGTCATGGGATTCACTCACCACTGTGGCACCTCCTGCTGGCTATCTCGGGGATTAGCACTGCTAGCTGGTGTGCCCTCTTCTGGTGGTGCCTCACTTGTCATTGTCACCGCCTGCAAACCTGCCTCAGTCCAAGTACAGCAGCATCCTCTTCATGACTCAACTCGTGGTATCACTGTTCCCTGCCCAGCCTCTGTAGGCTGCTTTTAACCCCTTCTCTGCCAGTGTGGAACAGATGCCCCATCACAAGTTTATTTAATACATTATATCAAGTTATTGTCTTAATGCTAATAATTGGTTGCTGGAGCACCTCTATCTTTGGAAAAACTCTTCTGGTGACTTGAGCCGAAGGGTGTGTCTTAGTCCTGGAGCTTCCAGCAATAACATTGAGCTGCCTCCAAATTCCACAGTGGAGATCATGAACACATTAGTGATGAATGACGAGAGAAGCTGCTAACAGAATATTATTAGGTAAGAAATTTCTCATTCCTAGAAGTTTAGGTTATAGTCTATTTACATCCATCTTAAATGTGTCTGAAGTTCACTCGGTCACAAAACTGCAGAAGTTTCATTTAAATGCATTCTGTTAACTATTTTTTCCCCCCAAAGGAGGTGAATTTTGGAATGTTTGATTGTACTAATGGAAATATCCTTCAGGGCCTGGAAATTTTCTTGGCCCAAGTCATGGTACCAGCACTTAAATCTCAGCAGGTAAATAATCAGTATCTTTTCTTAACAAACCTCTTTTGAGTTATGTCTAATAGCTGTTTCTATCTCAGTTGTAAATCAGATGAACTAAAACAAAAGTGTCTGTCAAAGGGAACAGAGAACGATATAAAGGTCTAAATTAGGATGTGCACAGGTCCTGACATTTTTATCTGGGAGTCTGAAATTCATATTTCATATTCATTGTTCATATTTAAAAATACCACAACTTAAAAATAGCATAATAAGGTATGCATGATAAAGCAAGAGAATAACAGTGAGTGTGATGCTAGGGTAAGCTCGAGTAAAAAGAAGTGTCAATTTCTCTTAGTTGCAACATAGGTAGGCCCATGATTTAATCCAGAGACGTTTACAGTTAGAGGGTCTTCAGCACTTTAGCACAGCCTGCAAGCCCCAGCCTACTAGAATTTTTCTGGTTTTGTGGGTCTGTCCAGGGGTCCTGATTTGGTCTGTTGAAACTAGAAATGGGACCAAATTAAAACCCAGCATCTGAATAACTTCAGACGTTGTTGGGTTTGAAATCAGAAACTGTATTTTGCAGCTTGGGCCTTGTATCTAGTAGAAACTGAGATTCCTCCCCCCCCCCGCCCCCACCCCGGTTTCATTAGAACCAGTTAAGTGGACATTCTGGCCACCTTTCCACACCTACACTCTGCTGCTTCTTTCCTTTTGCCTCATCCACACATACTCCTGTTGTCTTGCCTCCCTTGTCCTTGTAGCTCAGTGTGCCCTGCTTATCACAATGCAGTATTGTGTCCATCTTCAGCACGGACATAGCAGGGTGGGCCTTGCCAAAGCTTCAGCCCCTCCAAAGTAATTTGGTGTCACATGGTCCAGATGCTGCTCTTTTGATTTTCTTTCATATTGAAGTAGAAAGAAAGATTAGTATCTAACTTCCTCCCTTCAAAGGGAGCCATTGTTCTGAAGTCAAGCTGAAAAGAAAGCCCAACAAGTCACCTTCAGAGAGAGAACTCAGAGCGACATTTCATTTCCATGAGGTCTTTGCTCTCATTTGTCTCCTCTGCAGCCTTTTGTCTCACCTGCCAAAGCTCTGAGAGTGGGCCAGCCCAGTTTCTTGAAGCAGCAGTTGCAGTCAGAAGCATAGATGACATTTTCCTTATAACTTTGTGTCCTTGCCATAATGCTTTGTTAGACGGTTGACTCTGATACAAGACAGCTCCATTTTGACTACCATTATAAATACACAGAGCTGCTAAATGCAGTGTTGCCAACTCTCATAATTTTATTGTGACGTTCACAATGTTTGATGTTTTCCTTATAACCTCAGCTGTTGGAATCAAGAGGTTACATGAGAATCTCAGCTGTCATTATGTAAAAAATAAGATTTTTACTAGACCTTTCGATTAATCGCAGTTAGCTAAAATTAATTGTGATTAATCACAGTTTTAATCGCACTGTTAAACAATAGAATACCAATTGAAATGTTATTAAATATTTTGGATCTTTTTTTGTATTTTCAAATATATTTATTTCAGTTACAACACAGAATACAAAGTGTACGGTGCTCACTTTGTTTTATTATTTTTGATTACAAACATTTGCACTGTAACAATGATGAACAAAAGACAGTATTTTTCGATTCATGCAAGTACTGTGGCGCAATCTCTTTATTGTAAAGGTGCAGCTAGCAAACATAGATTTCTTTTGTTACATGACTGCACTCAAAAACAAAACAATGTAAATCTTTGGAGCCTACAAGTCCACTCAGTCCTACTTCTTGTTCAGCCAGTTGCTAAGACAAACAAATGTGTTTACATTTACGGAAGACAATGCTGCCCTCTTCTTATTTACAGTGTCACCTGAAAGTGAGAACAGGTGTTCGCGTGGCACTGTTGTAGCCAGCAAGGTAAATTGCAAGGTATTTATATGCCAAATATGCTAAATATTCGTATGCCCCTTCATGCTTCGGCCACCATTCCAGAGGACATGCTTCCATGCTGATGATGTGCGTTTAAAAAAAGTATTAATTAAAATTGTGACGGAACTCCTTGGGGGAGAATTGTATGTCTCTGGGTCTGTTTTACCCACATTCTGCCATATATTTCATGTTATAACAGTCTCGGATGATGACCCAGCACATGTTTTAAGAACACTTTCACTGCAGATTTGACAAAATGCGAAGAAGGTACCAATGTGAGATTTCTAAAGATAGCTATAGCACTCATCCCAAGGTTTAAGAACCTGAAGTGCCTTCCAAAATCTGAGAGGGACGAAGTGTGGAGAATGCTTTCAGAAGTCTTAAAAGAGCAAAACTCCAATGCGGATACTACAGAACCCAAACCACCAAAAAAGAAAATCAACCTTTTGCAGGTGGCATCTGACTCAGATGATGAAAATAAAGATGCGTCAGTCCACACTGCTTTGGATGGTTAGTGAGTAGAACCCGTCATCAGCATGGACGCATGTCCTCTGAAATGGTGAATAAAGTATGAAGGTACATATAAATCTTTAGCACATCTGGCACGTAAATATCTTGCGATGCCAGCTACTACAGTGCTATGCGAATGCCTGTTTTCACTTTTAGGTGACGTAAACAAGAAGCGGGCATCATTATCTCCTGCAAATGTAAACACACTTGTTTGTCTTAACGATTAGTTGAACAAGAAGTAGGCCTGAGTGGACTTGTAGTCTCTAAAGTTTTACATTGTTTTATTTTTGAATGCAGTTATTGTACATAATTCTACATTTGTAAGTTCAACTTTCATGATAAAGAAATTGCACTACAGTACGTGTATGAGGTGAATTGAAAAATACTATTTCTTTTGTTTTTTTGAGTGCAAATATTTGTAATAAAAATAAATAGAAACTGAGCATTGTACACTTTGTATTCTGTGTTGTAATTGAAATCAATACATTTGAAAATGAAGAAAACATCCAAAAATATTTAAATAAATGGTATTCTATTATTGTTTAACAGCATGATTAATCCCGATTAATTTTTTAAATTGCTGACAGCCCTAATTTTTACCCAACTGTCAGGAGACTGGTGTCCAAGCCTGGCAGAACTGCATAATGGCGATACTCTGGACTGTGTTGCCGAGTGGCAAGAGTCTGTAGCTGGGGCTGGTGGGGAACCTGGTTCCTCCTTTCTCCACTGGGTTCCAGCTCAGGGCCCAGTAAATTGTAGTTCAAAATGCTCGGCGTAGGGGTTGGGCGCTCCTATTTCTGCAACCTGGACCACTTCTTATCCTGGCTTTGGTTCCTTTATTGGTGCCACTGGTTTGTTTCAGAGTCCCCTCTACAGTCCTCTGTGGTTGCGCCCTGGAAAGTCATCTTCTTTCAGTCACAGCTTGTCATTGTCAGCCTCCATGGTTGAAGGGCCTGCAGCAACCCAGCAATGGGGCCTGGTCCTGGCAACGTGGGGCCTCAGCAGCTTCTCGGCAGGAGCCTGCACTACACAACTGCTCTCCTTTGTGGTCTGACTAGACTGATCTGAGCTGCTCCCTTTTGAGCTCAGCCTCCACTGGAAGTATGCCCAGCAGGGGCGACTGTCCATGGCTTTCTGGGTCCAGAGCTGCTCCTTAACCCTAAACTCCTCGCTGCAGGGCTTGTACACCCCATCACACCAACAAACACAAAATTAATATGCCCATTTAAAATCGGGCATACCAAAGCACTGACTAATATATTGTAAGGGGTCCCATACTGGCCAGGAAAGATTTATCTGTAAATTCTATGGTTCTGTGAATAAGCAATACTTTTCTAATAAAAACAATACCTTTGTTTTATATTTTTTCTTGCATTCATTATTTTCAAATAATCAGCACTGGGGAGCTGTGAAAGAAGGCTTGAAGAACAGCCAGATACAAGACTTCCTGTATTCTGTGGATAAATTTGTGGGTACCTTGTCATCAGCAAGACAGAATTTAGAAGATAAAATTCAGCTGCAGAAGGTGGATATTGAGAGTTACCTCAACAACTTGCATAACCCTTCTGACTACATAACAGCAGGTCAGTAATTCTTAAAGGAGAAATATTGTATGTTCCAAAACAGAACATGGAAATGAGAGTATTTATAGGAAGAGAGATGTTCCATGTCCTCTATGCTGTTAGCGATGATTTCTTTTAAAAGGTTTATTCGTCCTTTCTTAGAGCTATATTTCTTCTTCTTCTTGATCTTAGAAGTGGAGTATAATTCCAAGTTTATGATCTTGAAAATGACTGAGATGTGATAAAATCAGCACTATGACCATCCAGTTCTGTAGGGTGAGGGAAGCTCAATAAGGTGGGTTTGGAGAGGATGGCATAGAAAGGAGGATCAGCTGCTACCTATGGAATGCTCCTTACTTTTGTTGGTCCTCAGGTGCACTAGGTACACTATGGCTCTGAGATTCAGGGATTGGAAGGGGGCATAGCTGGATAAGTGGGCTTGACTTGGGCTATGGACCCACTCTACAACAGTGGCCTCTCCTCCCTGCCCCCCTTCCTTGTCACCACATGACATTTCAGTGTAAAATAATGCTGATCCGATCAGCATTATCATATCCCTTGCTACATACTAAAACCCCCTTAATGGGTATGTTTTGGGGCAGCTGCAAGTAAAAAAAACAAACCTATGGCAGCAGGGCTGCTAAGGGATCATGAGTCACTGAGCAAGTGCCTTGCTCTCCAATGGATGGCACAAGGTCTGAAAGGTTTCCCTCTGGATCTCAGGTAAGCTGCACGTTTGAAGGTCCAGGAGCCCTGGTCATAATGCAGAGGGCAAACTCTACACTGTCTCCGCAGATGAAACAATCTGAAAGACCTTTTGATTTGAAACATGCAGAGTTTCCTGGTCACTATGTGGATTGTCTTCCACCTTTAGGACAATGTGGCCCTCTAACTTCACTGAAGGAGATGGCTGGGAAAGACAGAATCCTTGTTTAATCACAAGTAGGGTTATTAACTAAATATGCAAAAAGAAAAGGAGTACTTGTGGCACCTTGGAGACTAACAAATTTATTTGAGCATAAGCTTCCGTGAGCTACAGCTCACTTCATCGGATGTATCCGATGAAGTGAGCTGTAGCTCACGAAGTAGCTCACGAAAGCTTATGTATCCGATGAAGTGAGCTGTAGCTCACGAAAGCTTATGTGTATCCGATGAAGTGTATCCGATGAAGTGAGCTGTAGCTCACGAAAGCTTATGCTCAAATAAATTTGTTAGTCTCCAAGGTGCCACAAGTACTCCTTTTCTTTTTGCAAATACAGACTAACACGGCTGCTACTCTGAAACCTAACTAAATGTGGTTAATGTACCAGTACATTAATTTAAATTGTTAGTTAGGCTTGGCATTTTTGTTGGATATGAAAATTCTACATGAAAAATGCAGCAATATTCCAGTGGCTTTTAAGTATACATATGATTTTGAAGTTATGCATGTGCTAATGGGGCTAAAGCCTGTGGTCCTTGTTCAGTTTTATTTCATTTGACTTTGTTGGGAATTTACCTGGGTATGGACTGAGCAAAGCTTGCACAAGGACGTTAGGATTTATTCCTAACAAATTAGGATTGCAGGGAACATGCACTGTCGGAGCTCCCTGCATGGCAGTGTACAGAGGGGAAATAGGTGGGTGACAAGGGAGGGAAAGACAGTGGCAAGATAGAGGATCTGCTGCATGGATTCTCTAGTCATCTGCCCCAGGATTAGGATGAATGGTGGGCTGGCTACTTTGGGGTAAAGAAGCCTTCCGAAGTCAGCTCTGCATCCAATCTGGAGCCAGGTGGTGAGAATTCTTCTATAGAATGTTTAAATCTATGTACATTTCTTGGCACTTATTAGTAGAATGCAATTTTTGTCTTGTGGTTTTAAAGGCAGTAACATCGAGGTCATTGAGAAACTTGAGGGAGTGCTAGTAATTTGGATCAAACAGATTGGACAAATTTTGGTGGAAAGTGAACAAATGAGAAAAGAAGCTGATGACATTGGCCCAGCTGCTGAACTGGAACACTGGAAATCGAGAATGGCATCATTTAACAGGTTAAAGCATTGCATTATTTCTTCTGCAGGCTAAAGGGCATTTTGTTTATAAACATGAACTGTCACTGGCAGAAAAAAATTAAAATTTATTCTTTTTTCAAAGCCTTTTAGATGAGATCAAGAGTCCAAGAGTAAATAAAGTTCTAAGTATTCTTCAGGCAGCAAAATCAAGACTATTAAAGCAGTGGAAAGAACTGGTAATGACTGTGCTTTTAATAGAAATAATTTTAAGTCAATTAAAAACACGCTGCTGTGCTTATGCTACATATGGAAATGAACCCACATTGCTCATAATAGTTTGGGGATGATGGTTTTTATGTATTGGGCTTTATTTTTTTTCGATATAAACATATAATATCAATTCTCTTGATTTGGAGTCAAGGACACATATTTGTGTGGGGGGGAGGGGGCAACCCTATCTCCTATGTTGCCAGTTACACAGATATCTACACAGGCCTATGGGATTGCCAGGAAGGGGATAGAGGAGGTATTGGCTACAGGCCCAAACTAGTTTTACCCAGGGCACTTACTACATCAGTCAGATGGACACCTGGTCCAAATTTAACAATGCAAAGTGCAGACAAGTCCAGAAAAACGGACTCACAAGCCATGTGCAGGTGACCTGAGATTCAAAAGCCACTGAATTCATCAATAGAGGAGATGATGGGCAGAAACAGCAGGTCTACCGTCAAGATCTTCTAGTCTTTAAAGTGTGGATCTACTTTGAGCATAGCCTGTGGAAAAATGGTAACTTCTTACTCAACTAATCTTGCTGTGTGCGCTCAGAGTAATTTCTGCTGACTTTTGTGGTAAAAATAGTTTTTGATCTGTTATCCCTGCAGAGCCAACACATGTAAGAGATAGTGAGCTGGATTCCATTTCTTCCTGTGTAGCATCAACAGAATTATTTATCAAGTTCAAATCAGTCAGACCTGTGTAAGCTATTGTAGACAAAACGGATACACAGGTGTCATTGAGGAACTACTTTATTAAGGTGATAGTGTATAAGCAGGGAAGAACCCAGTATGTTTTAGAGCCTGAGCTGGTTTTGCAGGGCTGGCAGTTAGAAAAATCAACCGTCTCTATGTAAATTGAGCACATTCAATATTGCCAGTCCTGAACATTCAAACATAATGAGTCAGGCCCCCAAAACCATGATATTGGCTAAAGAATCATGAGATTTTACCAAGTGATAACATTGTGCTCTGTTTGTTTGCGTCCTAGTTTTTGAGCTTTTAGGGTTTATGTTTTCAAGTTTGTTCTTTTTTAAACCATGAGGACTAGAAATTTACTTTAATAAATGTCAGCTGAAATTCTGTTGAAATCTCATGACTGCAGGAGCTGTCTTGTGATAAATTGATGATAGTTGCCAACACTGCTTTGAAAAATATACAACTGAAAGGCAATAAACATTGGATCCCAGAATGCCATTTTTACACTTACTTTTCAGAGTAGAATTGCGGTTTAATCAGGCAAAACTCTGTCAACTTCAGTGAGGAATTTTTCCTAAATTGGGATGTATAATCCTGTCCAAAAGCTGCTGATCATCAGGTAGCGATTATTAAATATAGAGTGGGACAGATCTTGCCAATTCTTACTCCAACAAATTGTCTCATAGATTTCATTGGGAGTACCTTTATAAGTAAAGGTTTGCAGGATTGGCTCCTGTATTTATTCTTCTTTTAATAACATGCATTGGAAAGGTAGTGAGCCCACTGAGATTTGTGTGATAACCCTAAATCGGGGTGGGAAACCCTTTTGGCCTGAGGGCCACATCTCGGTGGGGAAATTGTATGCAGGGCCATGAATGTAGGGCTGGGGCACGCTGCCCTTACCTGTGGGTACCACCCCCAAAGCTTCCATTGGCCGCGGTTCCTCGTTCCCGGCCAATGGGAGCAGCAGGGGGCGGTGCCTGCAGGCGAGGATAGCACACGGAGCCCTCTGCCCCCCCCCGCACCCCAGGGACGTGGTGCTGGCTGTTTCCAGGAGTGGCGTGGGGCCAGGACAGTCGGGGAGCCTGTCTTAGCCCAGCTGCGCCATGGGGCTGGCAATCCTATGGGCCGGCTTGAAAGCCCTGATGGGCCAGATCCAGCCCGTGGGCCGTAGTTTTCCCTTTCCTGACCTAAATGCTATTAATTTTAGTTGGCTTTTCCCTTTCAGGATGGTAATGTAACAAATGCTGCCAATGAAGCTAAAGACAATGTAAAATATTTATATACACTGGATAAGTTCTTTGGTCCACTTGGTAAAGCCTCACCTGTAAGTATGTTTATTTTTTTTAAATAAAGCATTTAGATGGTATGAAACTTAGAAGAGAAAAAAGGGCTATTACTCCCAGTGGGAGAATAACTCTCCTTTTCCATTTTCAAATGTAGTCCTCGTACAATTGTTGAATTGAATGTATAGATTTCAAAGAACCGCCCCCTCTCCCCCCGGAAATGGAAAAATACTGCTTCTCATGTAGCAGACATCTGCCATTCCAGGTGCTAATGCAGGGGCAGGAACAAATCCTGGTGATATTCTCCCAAGCCCCACCCGCTGCTGGTGCTGAAATGAACTGCCACTGATAGTAAATTGAGCAGACCTGTCTAATATGATTGTCGCTTTAGTTCCTTGCATGCATTTCTTTAAGGTTTGCAGTAGGTTTTCATATTTACTAGTTTTTAGGACATTTGAATTGCTGATTTTTTCCTTTCCCTTTTGTGTCTTAGGCAGTAATGGTGGATCACATACCCAGGTTAATGAACAGTATTCGTATGATTTACAGTACATCACCATACTATAATACATCGGAACAGATGACTTCTCTTCTCCTCAAAATCACTAACCAGATGATTATTACATGCAAGATATATCTAAGTGAAGGTGTTTTGAAAATCTGGGACTTGGACAGGTAACATGACCTCTTACTAGTTTTACCTTCTTCTTTAGTTAAGACTAATAGAAAATTCATAGGTTAAATATGAACATTATTACAAAGTAATATTGTGTAAGCCCTGATTCACCCAAGCAAATAAGTTTTTAATTTGGAGCACTTGAATGCTTCTGTTCACTTCAGCGGGAATACTCAGAGTGCATAATGTTAAGCACATGTGTAAGTCTTTGCTGGATCAGGGTTTATGCTATATAGATTGCTATTAAAATGCAAATACAATTTAAAAAGCTATTATTTTGTCATCATGACTTTCTTGATGCAAAGTACACTCAGAGAGAGGAAACTAGGATTAGGAACAAATATATTCTTGGAGAGAAAACCCTAGGGACAGGCAAGCTGAGAAAGCTTAAGCTCAGGTTTATGCTTTGTGTGTACTTAAGTTAACGATACAGGCAAACACTACAAAGGGGGTAAGTTTGCACCATATTCAATGTGGGTATGTGGCAAATGTTAACTGTGCCAGATTTAATGGGGCCAGTGTAGCTCCTGACCTAGGAAAGCTAGATCCACATTAGGCTTGCAAGTTAAGTTAAACACACTCTGATTTTTTTGGAGACTTTAGTTTTGTTCTTCCTCGCTCTGTTACTTCCTTTTTATTATTTATTATGGCTATTATTTGTGTCTTTTGTCTTATACTTAGATTGTAAGTAAGCATTACAGGTTTTAAGTATTAGCCCTGGTCTACACTGCAAGTTTAGGTCAAATTTAGCAGTGTTAGATCGATTTAACCCTGCACCTGTCCACATGACGAAGCCATTTTTGTCAACTTAAAGGGCTCTTAAAATCGATTTCTGTACTCCTCCCTGATGAGGGGATTAGCGCTGAGATCAACATCGCCGGGTCGAATTTGGGGTAGTGTGGATGCAATTTGATGGTATTGGCCTCCGGGAGCTATCCCAGAGTGCTCCATTGTGACCGCTCTGGACAGCACTTTCAACTCAGATGCACTAGCCAGGTACACAGGAAAAGCCCCGGGAACTTTTGAATTTCATTTCCTGTTTGGCCAGCATGGCGAGCTCATCAGCACACGTGACCATGCAGCCCCAGAATCGCAAAAGAGCTCCAGCATGTACCGAATGGGAGGCACTGGATCTGATCGCTGTATGGGGAGACGAATCTGTGCCTTTTCCTTCCCTCCTACCCTCCTCCCATACCCCGCCCGGGCTACTTTGTGAGTTATCTCTCTATTTTTATAATCAATTAATAAAGAATACATGGTTTTTAAACAATAGTGACTTTATTTCCTTTGCAAGCAAGCTGTGATTGAAGAGGGGAGGGCGGATGGCTTACAGGGAATTTAGAGGCAACCAAGGGGGTGGGTTTTCATCAAGGAGAAACAATCAGAACTGTCACACCATAGCCTGGCCAGTCATGAAACTGGTTTTCAAAGCTTCTCTGATGCGCAGCGCGCCCTGCTGTGCTCTTCTAATCGCCCTGGTGTCTGGTTGCGCGTAATCAGTGGCCAGGAGATTTGCCTCAACCTCCCACACTGCCATAAACATCTCCCCCTTACTCTCACAGAGATTGTGGAGCACACAGCAAGCAGCAATAACAATGGGAATATTGGTTTCGCTGAGGTCTAACCTAGTCAGTAAACTGCGCCAGCGCGCTTTTAAACATCTGTGGTGGAAAAATTAACCACGCGTTGTGTTTGGATCAGAACCAAGCCTGAAGCTCCTTTATTGATTACAAGCGCAGGGGGGTAACAGCTCTAAATAGCTGCCCCCAGATGCAAAGCACACACAGCTTTTTAAAGCTTAAAACCACAGACAAATTACACATACTTTCGTCTTAATTACCTTATTTGGAATATAGCAAAACAAGCTTTTCCTGTTATTGACAGGTGTTCTTTTGCAGTTAACGTTTCTTAAGCTGTGCTGCTGCAATTGCCTTAGAATGGAATTTTCCACACTCTTTTCTTATGCTTCATATACACAGTTAGCTTGACCAACTTAGGCCTACTTGGGTCCACTGAATTTTTCCTCCACATACCCCACCCCCCCTTTTTTTTTTGGATTGGGCCTAAACTTTTATAGCTATGTGCCCGTTAATTATTTTTTTTGGTTTTTTGCCCAAACTGTGTTACACATTTTATTTACAATCATTAGTGCCACCTGCTTTTTTGCGCCGAGATTGGCAGGTTTAGGGTTGGATTGTCAATGATAAATACATGTGTAACAGCAATAATAACATAACTTTATGCTAAACAGCAGTAAAAGCAACAACATTTTCATAGAGATAATGTGATGTGGTTGTGATTGTTGTATAGCTTTAGGGTATGTCTACAGTACGGAATAAGGTCGAATTTATAGAAGTCGGTTTTTTAGAAATCGGTTTTATATATTTGAGTGTGTGTGTCCCCACAGAAAATGCTCTAAGTGCATTAAGTGCATTAACTCGGCGGAGTGCTTCCACAGTACCAAGGCTAGAGTCGACTTCCGGAGCGTTGCACTGTGGATAGCTATCCCACAGTTCCCGCAGTCTCCGCTGCCCATTGGAATTCTGGGTTGAGATCCCAATGCCTGATGGGGCTAAAACATTGTCGCGGGTGGTTCTGGGTACATATCGTCAGGTCCCCGTTCCCTCCCTCCCTCCGTGAAAGCAAGGGCAGACAATCATGGAGCAGGTCCTCAAAGAATCAATCCTGAAGCACTTACATGAGAGGAAAGTGATCAGGAACAGCCAGCATGGATTCACCAAGGGAAGGTCATGCCTGACTAATCTAATCGCCTTCTATGATGAGATTACTGGTTCTGTGGATGAAGGGAAAGCAGTGGATGTATTGTTTCTTGACTTTAGCAAAGCTTTTGACACGGTCTCCCACAGTATTCTTGTCAGCAAGTTAAGGAAGTATGGGCTGGATGAATGCACTACAAGGTGGGTAGAAAGCTGGCTAGATTGTCGGGCTCAACGGGTAGTGATCAATGGCTCCATGTCTAGTTGGCAGCCGGTATCAAGTGGTGTGCCCCAAGGGTCGGTCCTGGGGCCGGTTTTGTTCAATATCTTCATAAATGATCTGGAGGATGGTGTGGATTGCACTCTCAGCAAATTTGCGGATGATACTAAACTGGGAGGAGTGGTAGATACGCTGGAGGGGAGGGATAGGATACAGAAGGACCTAGACAAATTGGAGGATTGGGCCAAAAGAAATCTGATGAGGTTCAATAAGGATAAGTGCAGGGTCCTGCACTTAGGACGGAAGAACCCAATGCACAGCTACAGACTAGGGACCGAATGTCTAGGCAGCAGTTCTGCGGAAAAGGACCTAGGGGTGACAGTGACAGAGCTGGATATGAGTCAGCAGTGTGCCCTTGTTGCCAAGAAGGCCAATGGCATTTTGGGATGTATAAGTAGGGGCATAGCGAGCAGATCGAGGACGTGATCGTTCCCCTCTATTCGACATTGGTGAGGCCTCATCTGGAGTACTGTGTCCAGTTTTGGGCCCCACACTTCAAGAAGGATGTGGATAAATTGGAGAGAGTCCAGCGAAGGGCAACAAAAATGATTAGGGGTCTGGAACATATGAGTTATGAGGAGAGGCTGAGGGAGCTGGGATTGTTTAGCCTGCAGAAGAGAAGAATGAGGGGGATTTGATAGCTGTTTTCAACTACCTGAAAGGGGGTTCCAAAGAGGATGGCTCTAGACTGTTCTCAATGGTAGGAGATGACAGAACGAGGAGTAATGGTCTCAAGTTACAGTGGGGGAGGTTTAGATTGGATATTAGGAAAAACTTTTTCACTAAGAGGGTAGTGAAACACTGGAATGCGTTACCTAGGGAGGTGGTAGAATCTCCTTCCTTAGAGGTTTTTAAGGTCAGGCTTGACAAAGCCCTGGCTGGGATGATTTAACTGGGAATTGGTCCTGCTTTGAGCAGGGGGTTGGACTAGATGACCTTCTGGGGTCCCTTCCAACCCTTATATTCTATGATTCTATGATTCTATAATCGTTTCGCGCCTTTTTTCCTGAGTTACCTGTGCAGACGCCATACCACGGCAAGCATGGAGCCCGCTCAGGTAACCGTCACCCTATGTCGCGGGTGGTTCTGGGTACATATCGTCAGGTCCCCGTTCCCTCCCTCCCTCCGTGAAAGCAAGGGCAGACAATCGTTTCGCGCCTTTTTTCCTGAGTTACCTGTGCAGACGCCATACCACGGCAAGCATGGAGCCCGCTCAGGTAACCGTCACCCTATGTCTCCTGGGTGCTGGCAGACGCGGTACGGCTTTGCTACACAGTAGCAGCAACCCATTGCCTTGTGGCAGCAGATGGTGCAATACGACTGGTAGCCGTCATCGTCATGTCCGAGGTGCTCCTGGCCACGTCGGCCGGGAGCGCCTGGGCAGACATGGGCGCAGGGACTAAATTTGGAGTGACATGGGCGCAGGGACTAAATTTGGAGTGACTTGACCAGGTCATTCTCTTTAGTCCTGCAGTCAGTCCTATTGAACCGTCTTATGGTGAGCAGGCAGATGGTACAAGTCGTACTGTACCATCTTCTGCCAGGCAGGCAAGAGAAGAGGATTGCTAGCAGTCGTATTGTACCATCTTCTGCCAGGCAGGCAAGAGATGAGGATGGCTAGCAGTCGTACTGTACCATCTTCTGCCGAGCAGCCATGAGATGTGGATGGCATGCAGTCCTTCTGCACCGTCTGCTGCCAGCCAAAGATGTAAAAGATAGATGGAGTGGATCAAAACAAGAAATAGACCAGATTTGTTTTGTACTCATTTGCCTCCTCCCCTGTCTAGGGGACTCATTCCTCTAGGTCACACTGCAGTCACTCACAGAGAAGGTGCAGCGAGGTAAATCTAGCCATGTATCAATCAGAGGTCAGGCTAACCTCCTTGTTCCAATAAGAACAATAACTTAGGTGCACCATTTCTTATTGGAACCCTCCGTGAAGTCCTGCCTGAAATACTCCTTGATGTAAAGCCACCCCCTTTGTTGATTTTAGCTCCCTGAAGCCAACCCTGTAAGCCGTGTCATCAGTCGCCCCTCCCTCCGTCAGAGCAACGGCAGACAATCATTCCGCACCTTTTTTCTGTGCGGACGCCATACCAAGGCAAGCATGGAGGCCGCTCAGCTCACTTTGGCAATTAGGAGCACATTAAACACCACACGCATTATCCAGCAGTATATGCAGCACCAGAACCTGGCAAAGCGATACCGGGCGAGGAGGCGACGTCAGTGCGGTCACGTGAGTGATCAGGACATGGACACAGATTTCTCTGAAAGCATGGGCCCTGCCAATGCATGCATCATGGTGCTAATGGGGCAGGTTCATGCTGTGGAACGCCGATTCTGGGCTCGGGAAACAAGCACAGACTGGTGGGACCGCATAGTGTTGCAGGTCTGGGACGATTCCCAGTGGCTGCGAAACTTTCGCATGCGTAAGGGCGCTTTCATGGAACTTTGTGACTTGCTTTCTCCTGCCCTGAGGCGCATGAATACCAAGATGAGAGCAGCCCTCACAGTTGAGAAGCGAGTGGCGATAGCCCTGTGGAAGCTTGCAACGCCAGACAGCTACCGGTCAGTTGGGAATCAATTTGGAGTGGGCAAATCTACTGTGGGGGCTGCTGTGATCCAAGTAGCCAACGCAATCACTGAGCTGCTGCTATCAAGGGTAGTGACTCTGGGAAATGTGCAGGTCATAGTAGATGGCTTTGCTGTAATGGGATTCCCTAACTGTGGTGGGGCCATAGACGGAACCCATATCCCTATCTTGGCACCGGAGCACCAAGCCGCCGAGTACATAAACCGCAAGGGGTACTTTTCGATAGTGCTGCAAGCACTGGTGGATCACAAGGGACGTTTCACCAACATCAACGTGGGATGGCCGGGAAAGGTACATGACGCTCGCATCTTCAGGAACTCTGGTCTGTTTCAAAAGCTGCAGGAAAGGGACTTTATTCCCAGACCAGAAAATAACTGTTGGGGATGTTGAAATGCCTATATGTATCCTTGGGGACCCAGCCTACCCCTTAATGCCATGGCTCATGAAGCCGTACACAGGCAGCCTGGACAGTAGTCAGGAGCTGTTCAACTACAGGCTGAGCAAGTGCAGAATGGTGGTAGAATGTGCATTTGGACGTTTAAAGGCACGCTGGCGCAGTTTACTGACTCGCTTAGACCTCAGCGAAACCAATATTCCAACTGTTATTACTGCTTGCTGTGTGCTCCACAATATCTGTGAGAGTAAGGGGGAGACGTTTATGGCGGGGTGGGAGGTTGAGGCAAATCGCCTGGCTGCTGGTTACGCGCAGCCAGACACCAGGGCGGTTAGAAGAGCACAAGAGGGTGCGGTACGCATCAGAAAAGCTTTGAAAACCAGTTTCATGACTGGCCAGGCTACAGTGTGAAAGTTCTGTTTGTTTCTCCTTGATGAAACCCCCCGCCCCTTGGTTCACTCTACTTCCCTGTAAGCTAACCACCCGCCCCTCCTCCCTTCAATCACCGCTTGCAGAGGCAATAAAGTCATTGTTGCTTCACATTCATGCATTCTTTATTCATTCATCACACAAATAGGGGGATGACTACTAAGGTAGCCCAGGAGGGGTGGTGGAGGAGGGAAGGAAAATGCCACACAGCACTTTAAGCACAGCACTTTAAAAGTTTACAACTTTAAAATTTATTGAATGACAGCCTTCTTTTTTTTGGGCAATCCTCTGTGGTGGAGTGGCTGGTTGGCCAGAGGCCCCCCCCACCGCGTTCTTGGGCGTCTGGGTGTGGAGGCTATGGAACTTGGGGAGGAGGGCGGTTGGTTACAGAGGGGCTGCAGTGGCAGTCTGTGCTCCAGCTGCCTTTGCTGCAGCTCAACCATACACTGGAGCATACTGGTTTGGTCCTGCAGCAGCCTCAGCATTGAATCCTGCCTCCTCTCATCACGCTGCCGCCACATTTGAGCTTCAGCCCTGTCTTCAGCCCGCCACTTACTCTCTTCAGCCCGCCACCTCTCCTCCTGGTCATTTTGTGCTTTCCTGCACTCTGACATTATTTGCCTCCACGCATTCGTCTGTGCTCTGTCAGTGTGGGAGGACAGCATGAGCTCGGAGAACATTTCATCGTGAGTGCGTTTTTTTTTCTTTCTAAGCTTCACTAGCCTCTGGGAAGGAGAAGATCCTGTGATCATTGAAACACATGCAGCTGGTGGAGGAAAAAAAAGGGACAGCGGTATTTAAAAAGACACATTTTATAAAACAGTGGCTACACTCTTTCAGGGTAAACCTTGCTGTTAACATTACATACATAGCACATGTGCTTTCGTTACAAGGTCGCATTTTGCCTCCCCCCACCACGTGACTACCCTCTCAACCTTCCCCCCTCCCTGTGGCTATCAGCGGGGAACATTTCTGTTTAGCCACAGGCAAACAGCCCAGCAGGAATGGGCTCCTCTGAGTGTCCCCTGAAGAAAAGCACTCTATTTCAACCGGGTGACCATGAATTATGTCTCACTCTCCTGAGGATAACACAGAGAGATAAAGAACGGATGTTGTTTGAATGCCAGCAAACATACACTGCAATGCTTTGTTCTACAATGATTCCCGAGTACGTGTTACTGGCCTGGAGTGGTAAAGTGTCCTACCATGAAGGACGCAATAAGGCTGCCCTCCCCAGAAACCTTTTGCAAAGGCTTTAGGACTACATCTAGGAGAACCGCGAATGCCAGGGCAAAGTAATCCTTTCACATGCTTGCTTTTAAACCATGTATAGCATTTTAAAAGGTACACTCACCAGAGGTCCCTTCTCCGCCTGCTGGGTCCAGGAGGCAGCCTTGGGTGGGTTCGGGGGGTACTGGCTCCAGGTCCAGGGTGAGAAACAGTTCCTGGCTGTCGGGAAAACCGGTTTCTCCGCTTGCTTGCTGTGAGCTATCTACAACCTCATCATCATCTTCTTCGTCCCCAAAACCTGCTTCCGTATTGCCTCCATCTCCATTGAAGGAGTCAAACAACACGGCTGGGGTAGTGGTGGCTGAACCCCCTAAAATGGCATGCAGCTCATCATAGACGCGGCATGTTTGGGGCTCTGACCCGGAGCGGCCATTCGCCTCTCTGGTTTTCTGGTAGGCTTGCCTCAGCTCCTTAAGTTTCACGCGGCACTGCTTCGGGTCCCTGTTATGGCCTCTGTCCTTCATGCCCTGGGAGATTTTGACAAAGGTTTTGGCATTTCGAAAACTGGAACGGAGTTCTTATAGCACGGATTCCTCTTCCCAAACAGCGATCAGATCCCGTACCTCCCGTTCGGTCCATGCTGGAGCTCTTTTGTGATTCTGGGACTCCATCATGGTCACCTGTGCTGATGAGCTCTGCATGGTCACCTGCAGCTTGCCACGCTGGCCAAACAGGAAATGAGATTTAAAAGTTCGTGGTTCTTTTCCTGTCTACCTGGCCAGTGCATCTGAGTTGAGAGTGCTGTCCAGAGTGGTCACAATGGAGCACTCTGGGATAGCTCCCGGAGGCCACAGTACCCCAAATTCGAGCCGGCAAGGTTGATTTAAGTGCTAATCCACTTGTCAGGGGTGGAGTAAGGAAATCGATTTTAAGAGCCCTTTAAGTCGAAATAAAGGGCTTCATTGTGTGGATGGGTACAGGTTTACATTGATTTAACGCTGCTAAATTCGACCTAAAGTCCTAGTGTAGACCAGGGCTAAGTTACAAAACACAATACATTATTCTGGGTACACAAAGTAGACATTTTATAGGCAGTATAAACCATTCTGCACTTGGTCAACCTACAGTTGAGCAGCTCCTTAATACTGTCCAGGGTGCCTGTGTATGGCTTCATGAGCCATGGCATTAAGGGGGTAGGCTGGGTTCCCAAGGATAACTATAGGCATTTCAACATCCCCAACAGTTATTTTCTGCTCTGGGAAGTAAATCCCTTCCTGCAGCTGTTCAAACAGACCAGAGTTCCTGAAGATGCGAGCGTCATGTACCTTTCCTGGCCATCCCATGTTGATGTTGGTGGAATGTCCCTTGTGATCCACCAGTGCTTGCAGCACCATTGAAAAGTACCCCTTGCGGTTTATGTACTGGCTGCCAAGGTGGTCCGGTCCCAAGATAGGGATATGTGTTCCATCTGTCACCCCACCACAGTTAGGAAATCCCATTGCAGAAAAGCCATCCACTACAACCTGCACATTTCCCAGAGTCACTACCTTTGATAGCAGCAGCTCAGTGATTGCGTTGGCTACTTGGATCACAGCAGCCCCCACAGTATATTTGCCCACTCCAAATTGATTCCCGACTGACTGGTAGCTGTCTGGTGTTGCAAGCTTCCACAGGGCTATCGCCACTCACTTGTGAACTGTGAGGGCTGCTCTCATCTTGGTATTCTTGCGCTTCAGGGCAGGGGAAAGCAAGTCACAAAGTTCCATGAAAGTGCTCTTACGCATGCGAAAGTTTCAGAGTCACTGGGAATCATCCCAGACCTGCAACAATTCCTTATGCAGTCCCACCAGTCTGTGCTTGTTTCCCGGGCCCAGAATCGGCGTTCCACATCATGAGCCTACCCTATTGCCACCAGGATGTCCAAATTGCTGGGGCCCGTGCTTTGAGAGAAGTCTGTGTCCATGTCCTCATCACTTTCATCACCGCGCTGCTGTCACCTCCTCGCCTGCTTTTGCAGGTTCTGGTTCTGCATATATTGCAGGATAATGCGCGAGGTGTTTACAATGCTCATAACTGCCACAGTGATCTGAGTGGGCTGCATGCTTGCCGTGGTATGGTGTCTGCAGGAGAGCAGATTTGCAGCAGAAGTGGTGGCTAAAGACGGATGCCACAAGAATAGATATTTATAGAGACCGACAAGAGGACCTGCTAGGCGGATTCATGAGAGCAGAGTTGCATGGAAGCGGTGGAGGACAACGGTTAGCACTGCGCACATTTCCCGAGGAAGAACACATGTACCCAGGAGCCCATGACAGACAACATGCAGCAATTCGCTATTGAGACAATAGCAGCAGAGCAGAGTTGCAGTGGAAACGGTGTATGACGACAGTTAGCAGCACCCAGGAGGACCAGAACGGATCCCCCAAGCTGCAGGAGAGCAGAGTTGCAGCGGAAGTGGTGGATGATGATGGTTAGCAGACCTACTGCACCATCTGCTGCCAGCAGCACCCAGGACAGAACAGCGGCAGTGTCGGCGAGCTGAGCTGAGCTGGCTGCACGCTTGTCATGATATGGCATCTGCATGGAAAAAAGGCGCAAAACGATTGTCTGCCGTTGCTTTCACGGAGGGAGGGGTGACTGACGACATGTACCCAAAACCACCTGCGACAATGTTTTTGCCTCACCAGGCACTGGGAGCTTAACCCAGAATTCCAATGGGCAGCGGAGACTGCAGGAACTGTGGGATAGCTACCCACAGTGCACCGCTCTGTAAGTCGATGCTAGCCATGGTAGTGAGGACGCACTCCGCCGACTTAATGCACTTAGTGTGGACATACGCAATCGACTGTATAAAATCGATTTCTAAAGACTGACTTCTACAATATCAACCTAATTTTGTAATGTAGACATACCCTTAGATTTTTTAGGTCAGGGACCATTTTTCTGTGTTTGTACAGCACCTCGCACAGTGGGCTCCTTATCCATGACTCTTAGGCGCTGCTGCAATACAAAAGGCAAACAGGCAGACTAATGGGGGAATACAAGGAAACAATGAAACAATGTTGATCAGCATGATAGGCTGTGGTCTCAGCACCAGCTGCCTCATCGTCAAATTTTTTGTAGAATCATGGCAAAGGAGAGTTTAAGGAGGAATTTGAAGGAGGACAATGAGATGGCCTTATGGATATTTATGGGAAGCTCCTCCCACGAGTGAGGGGCAGCATAGGAGAAAGCACAAAGAAGAAATAGGAGTTAGAAATTAATATTAGTAATGGGAATGAATGTTTAGTTCATTGCAAGCTGTGCAGGGTGTCCAGTGTGGATAAAAGGCCAAAGGGCCATCTTCCAGACTTAAGAGAGACTTGCAACTTGTGCTTATGGGTGAAGGAGAAACCTGATGTCTTCACAGCCCAAGAGACCTCTTTGGTACCCTCTGTTCCCCTTTTGGGGAGAGGATTCAGAAGAGTGAGCTGAATCCTACAGGTAGGCAGAGAAGAGCCTCCCTGGAGTAACGTGTTAAACGGTGGGAGCCCTATAACTCACTGGACTGGACCCACTTAAATCCCTGGTATGTGAGAGATGGGCAGACCACACAGATAGAATCCTTCCCCAGTGCTAATAAAGTTGTAGCCTCCTGCTTAAATCCATCCCTGTATCTGTCATCATTCACCTACATGTACTGATCAATGGGGCGAGAGATTGCATTTGTCCTGGCCAGAGAAGAGGATGCTGCAATAGTGAAAACAAGATGTTGAAAGCCTGGACGAGAGTTTTCTCTTTGTGGATGGGTAGAGAAGACTGCATTTTAGAGATCTTGTGCAGGAATAAACAGCAAGATTTAGACACAGCCTTGATGTGAGGATCTAGAGAGAGGATCAAGTCAAAGATGACCCCTAGATTACAGGCATGAGTGACATAAAAGTAATTCATGCTGAAGATTTCTAGGTGCTCTTTGTGTGTAGAAAAACGTAATTATCTTTAACCAGCACTTGAGAGAATAACCAGCACATGACAGAATATTGGTATGTACATTATAAATAAGGATAAGATTTTGTCATGGTAATTTTTAGTAAAAGTCATGGACAGGCCACGGGCAATAAACAAAAATTCATGGGAGCCTGTGACCCGGCTCCAGCTGCTCACAGATTAAGCCACAGAAGTCACCAAGGTTGGGTGAATTCACAGAATCATTGACTTCCCTGATCTCCGTGACTAAATTGTATCCTTAAAGATAAAGAATGTTCATAAATAAAATTAAAATACAATTTTTAACATACTTGAACAAAATTAATTTCTAATGAATTCTTTTTGTTTTATCACTTTGTTTGCAGAAGTCTCTGAGTGAGTAGGGTGAATTCATGAGGTTTTACGTTTGTTAATTTATGATTCCTTTGGTCTGACAAACGTTCTGGAAACAGAGTGACAAAGTCCTAACACAGTGATGATCTTTACAACTAGTTGGCTTATATATGTAATAACAGTCCATTATTTAAACTAAAAGGGACAAGTACAGCCTCCCCCTGCCCACTATTTAATCTATAGTAGCTATGTCAAGATTGGTCAAACTACTGCACATAAATTGAACCCAGCCTGTGGACTTGGGAATTGTGGCTTTCTAGATGTTCACATTTAAAGGAAACAAGAGACTTTTCTGACGTTTGATCCTACCTAAGAAGAGGAGAATCCAAACTTTCCTGGAAACAAGGACACAGTTTGTAGAGGAAAAAAATGGCTGAAGTACAGGAACTGAACAGGCTACATGGTGTAGGCAGTTCCTATCTGGCCTGTGCTGAGCAGTGTCATAGGGTCAAGATTTGGTCCAATAACAGTAAAACATAAAACAAAACAAAATTCTAGCCTGTAAAACAGTTTAAAAATGAACATTTTAATTTCATCCTTTTCACATTTTGAATGATGTATTTATATACATCTATGTCCACATTTTATCAAGGTACTCTTTGTAATGTTAATACAATATTTTCTAAGTACTGGGCTTGATAAAATGTCTACGTAGCTGAAATGTTCTATTATTGTAATCATTTGTGCAGCTTTTTATGGTTATTAAGTTTGTCTTCTGTTCACTTTTGTTTTTAGGCAAGAATTATTAAAGAGGGTACAAGAATGTATTTATCTCAATGAACAATATCAAACATATTTTCAGAGAGTAAGGGAGAAGCTAAAGGAAAATCCAAGTGATCGGCAGTTTGATTTCAGGTAAATCATTCATTCTGTCCTTGAATCAAATCTTGTCCATTTATATAATTTATAACTGCACAATCAACATATGTTCAGATGAACTGGAGAGTTTAACATTCAGTGAAAATATAAACTGTAGCATGTTCCAGACCTGATCCTGCAGAATTTATTCAGAAAAATTTTTTCAGTGACAAGTTTTGCCAGAGTTTGTCACAGATTTGTTACCCATATAGGCCCAAAGGGATTTCTGTTGAACTAATGCATGAATTTAGAGTTAAGCATATTCATAAGTGGGCTTTTTGATCAGATCTTTAATCATATTGCTGTGGAGTTTAGATGCTGCTTTTAATTATTAGAACTGGGAGCACTGGCTGTTGGGAGTCTGAAAGGACAAGGAAACAGGAAGCGGGGCGGGGGGGAAGTTGAGGAGGCAGAGTGAGAGCTACTGAGGGTGCAGCAGCAGCTTGGTAAAGAGGTTTCCACTTTAAAAATAAAGCCTTGTTGAAGTTTGTTAGTACCTTCTCTGGTTGCTACAACATTTTGGTGACGAGGATAGATCTTCTGCCTCTGAACCCACTTGCACCCTTTCTGCAAAGTCCAGGTGAGCCTCCAATTGCTTTTACTGCCTAGATCCATATGTTTGAGACTTATCTGCTTCCAATCACTGCTACAGAGATTTCTGAAGCAAGAAAGCGTGCTCTGCTAATCCACTGCCTTGGAGCAGAAGGGCAGCATATATTTCACGCTTTTTCCCTTGCAGATGATAAATGAGACTGCACTCACTGCATTAAAGAACATTTTTGTGCCAAAAGTGAATGTAGTAGCTAATCACTACAGATTTTGCCAGTGTGACCAGAAAACAGGGGAGACTATAATGCAGTATATTGCTTCCCTGAGGAGTCTGATTGTAATTTATGACTTCGGGAATATGGCAGATGAGATGATTATAGAGACCAGCCCATTGAGAAAACAACCATGCTTCGTGTAAGAGAACGCTTACTTCTAGAACCACAACTTACACTAGAAAAAGCAATAACCACTGCTACTCAGATTGAGTCAGCTACAGCTGAAGCCAAAATAATGAGCATGGATACAGGAGGCACAGTCTAGGCTGTGACTCCTTTGCAGAAAAGTTCACTATCGCTGCAGACAAACGATTACAAGAGGAAAACTAATGGAAAACCACCGAATCAGCAAATTCAAAATACAGTAAAAACATGCTTTCGCTGTGGATCCCCACAACACCTTGCAAGCTACACAGGATGTCCTGCAAAAGTAGCTCAGTGCAATCATTGCAAAAAGTTTGGGCATTTTGCTAAAGTATGTCGCAGCAGCCAGTTCAATCAACAGGTGCATGCAGTTACAATACCAGATGTTACTGTGCTGAGCATGGACAAAATCACTACTGCACATATTCCAGAAGAAATAAAGTGCACTGTAAATGTTTCCACCATACCTTCAGACAAATCACACTCTATTCAGCGAATGTTGGACATTGGCTTAGCAGTATCTATATTACCTTATTCCATCTAATTGCATTACTTTAACGATGTGCCTCTTACTGAACCCAAACTTCACTTGGTGTGCTATTTGAAAAACCATATTTCACTACATGGCTGCCTGCCAGCAATAGTTACTTTTGGTGATTGCTGTGTAACTGCAGAGTTTTACGTTGTCCACAAAGGCACTCCTATCCTTGGCAGAGATTCATTGGCTGCTTTAAATCTCAGGGTAGTTAATGGACGAATTGATCTTCCTCAGCAAAGCACTCTTGCGGTACACACACCAGTTTCAGCTGGGACCCAACACCAGGTTGAGGAGAAACTCGGCTGTGCTTATGGGTTTTATGCATAAAGTTAAAATGCGGAATAATGTGATGCCTGTACGACAAAGTTACGGCGCTTACCATTTTCAGTCAGGGATTCTGTTTCAGAGGATCGTAGAAAACTTGTTCAAAAGGACATTATGGAAGAGATTGACTCCTTGGAATGGGTTTCACCTATAGTAGTGATGGAGAAGAAGGGTGGAGGCATTCGCCTTTGTGTGGACTTAAGGGAGCCAAATAAAGCTATTGTGATTGACAGCCATCCTCTTCCTCACATAGAAGAAGTATTTGCAGAACTCCATGGAGCAAAGATGTTTTCTGTTCTTGATTTGAAGACCACATACTACCAGGTTATGTTGTATGAAGATAGCAGAGACCTCACAGCATTTATTACACGAGGGACTATTTCATTTTAAACATGTTCCATACGGTCTCGCATCTGCCCCAAGTGCCTTCCAAAAAATGATGTAATTGATTCTGAAGAATCAACATGGAGTTCAGTGCTATCTGGATGATATTATAGTGTTTGGAAATACTTGTGAGGAGCATGACAATAACCTGCAGTCTGTACTAAACTGCATCAGCAAAGCAGGCCTCAAGCTCAATAGGTCCAAATGCAAATTTAGACAAACTGAACTCTCTTTTCTGGGGCATACAATTTCACAGGCTGGACTAGAACCTGATCCAGATTATATCCTGGCAATTTCAAATGCTCCTCCTCCAACAGATTTGCAAACCTTACGTTCCTTCTTGGGTCTGACCCCCTGGTATGCACAATTCATTCCCAATTATGCTTCTGTCATTGAACCATTACGAGAATTACTACGGAGAAGTTCAATCTTAGTATAGACAACAGATGCACAAGCTAGTTTCGAAATGGTGAAAGACTTGATTGTACATAGTCCAGCACTTGCACTATTCACTCCTGCATTGCCCACAGTTGTAACTATTGATGCTTCTGATTATGGACTTGGGGCTGTCCTCACACAACTTCATGAGGTCAACACAGAGAGGACTGTTGCATTTGCTTCAAGGACACTAAGTTATGCTGAGAGGAAATATTCTACAGTTGAAAAAGTAGCACTTGTTTGTGTCTGGGCTACTGAAAAATGGAGAACTTACCTGTGGGGCCGCACGTTCAAGTTGCGCACAGACCACAGCCCTTTGACGACGTTGCTCACCACGAAAGGACTGAGAAGAGCAGGATATCGTATTGCTAGATGGCCTGCAAGACTACACTCTTTCAATTATGAACTGGAATATAAGCCTGGAAACCAAAATGTGGTAGCTGATTGCCTTTCTCGCCTACCTTTGCCTTCACCAGATGGTCCACCGGAGGATGAGGGTGTAGTAGTTGCGCTTATTACAAGCACTCTTACTGCAGTTACAAGAGAACAATTTCAAGCTGCTTGTTCAGTGTGTCCAATTCAAGAAAAACTACGGGAATTTCTGACAAAGAGGTGGCCCAGTAACCCTAAAAACCTTGACCCAGTTTTGCTGCCTTATTTTAGAGTTTGGGATGAACTTTCTTTGCTTGATGGCTGTGTGCTATGAGGTACACACCAGCTGCTTGTGCCAGAAGAATTACAGTCAAAACTCATACACCAGGCACATGATACTCATCAAGGAATTGTCAGAACCAGACAACGACTACGGAATCTGTATTGGTGGCCAGGGATGGACTCTCAAACTGAAGCACTCATAAAATCCTGTGTCACTTGCCAAAAGCATGATAAGACAGCAGTGACATGTATCCCTCTATTACAGCCTGTTCCTCTTCCTGAATCTGCATGGGAAAAAGTGGCGATTGACATTTTAGGACCCTTTGATACAGCTCCAAGTGACTGCCGTTATGCCATCACTTTCATAGACTATTTCAGGAAATGGCCTGAAGTAGCGTTTACATCGCAAATCTCTTCTGCTACAGTAATTAAGTTCCTCTCTTCGTTTTTAGCAGGGAAGGTAACCCCAAAGAACTGGTTTCAGATAATGGTAGTCAATTTACTTCCTTGGAGTTTGAAACTTTTTTCTTGCAGAGAGGAACATTTTACACAGAAGGTCATCCCTATATTACCCTCGAGCCAATGGGGAAATCGAATGGTTTAACAGAAGTTTGAAAGAGAGTTTGCAAATGGCTAAACTGGAAGGGCGATTGTGGATACCCTTCACTACTGATTTCTTGCAAGCATACCGGGCTACACGACATGCCACAATGCAAAGATCACCCGCAGAGTTACTGCATGGGAAACAGATGAATACTAAACTGAACATTGCTGGATTGTTAAAGTCACGACCTGATGCCCCAACCGAGGATGATATGAGAAAAACAGTTGAACAGAACCAAGCAAAGTATAAGGCTTTCACAGACAAGTGGCGGGGTGCTAAGGAACCAAAGTTTGGGTGTGGTTTCTTTGTTAGGATATGAAAACCTGGAATTTTATGCAAAGGGGACCATAAATTCATAGCTCCTCTTAAAATCATAGAGAAGAAGGGACCTTACACCTATTGACTTTCTGATGGGCAGGTATGGAATGCTTCTTATCTTGCACCTGCCTATGCACCAAGAGAGATTATGCTAACACCCAGTCTGTATTGGATGATTTCACCATAGTATCAACACAACAAGACATTGCACTGGAACCGGGGCTTGAGAGATGGCCTGTCATACCCAGACGACCACCTGTCTGGACTAGAGACTATGTTATGTAGTATCTACAGTGTTTTCAGTGTAATATTTCTGCCAACAGTATAGTGTCTTGTTTCATATTTGTTCCTGTGGTTAGAACAACAATGTTTATTTCAATTGGGAGAGTTTCTTAAGAGAGGAGGGAATGTGGTGTTTAGATGCTGCTTGTAATTATTAGCACTGGCTGTTGGGAGTCTGAAAGGACAGAAAACAGGAAGGGGGGGGGGGAAATTGAGGAGGCGGAGTGAGAACTACTGAGGGTGCAGCAGCAGCTTGGTAAAGAGGTTTCCACTTTAAAAATAAAGTCCTGTTGAAGTTTGTTAGTACCTTGCCTGGTTGCTACAACAATTGCCAATGAGAGTTTTGCCTGAATCAGCACTGTCAAACAAGGCTTTCAGCCTGCATCTTAGCATTACAAGGCCAAATTGTGATGTTCTGAAAATGTGACATAAGTGGAGATACTCTTTTAAATAAAACAATTACAATTAGGACCAAAATTGGCACATGTAAGAATTAAGCATTAAGTACTTCATACTCATAGTAAAAGTATTTTACTTGATTCTGCACTAAGAAGAGTACATTTTAGAAAAAGAGAAACATTGTGCAAGTACTGGAAGAAAATATCTGAATTTTAGAAATTCTTGCAGTATGTTTTATTCCATATGTTTATGATAGTCCCTCTATTGCCTTTTTTATCATCAGTGAAAACTATATATTTGGAAAATTTGACGCATTCTGTAAACGCTTGGAAAAGATTTCAGATATAAGCAATATCATGGAAGGCCTTTTAGAGCTACAGAATATAAAAATAGAAGGTATTGAAAAGATCAGTGCTCGTTACCAGATGATTGCTACAAACACCAAATCAAAAACCTATGACGTTCTGGATCACAGGAAACAAGAGGTACGTATTTCAGAAATAATAATCAGAAATGTTAAACACTCGTGAAAATCTAAATCAGTCACTTTAAACTATGCATTTCCTTGAAAATATGGTGGATTTTATAACAGTGTACAAAAGAACCAGTGTAAAGTTTATAACAATATCTGCATTAATTTGTTTATAATTCTAACAGGTTCCTATCTTATTAAGACAATTTTAAGTTGTTAGACATTCACCACTGGTAGTTGTACCCAGATAAGTGAACTAGTTGTTAATGTGACAGCTTATTGGCCCAGTGGTGCAAACACTTTTTCTTGTATCTTGAGCATATTTTATGCTAATTGGAAAACAAAACTTTTTCCTTTTTTTTGAGATCCATGAACCTTGAATCCCATCTGGAAAACCCTAACTCATGCATGCAGTGATACTGAAGTCAGTGGCACTGCTTGCATCAGTAAGGATTAATTAGAGGAGGAAGAATTGAAGAATCAGGCCTGTAGTTAGCACTTAGGTGACTCTTTTATGTGACGTGGTAAAGCACAGAGCTCAAACTGGATTGTTTTAATAGCAGTTCTTAGACTCTGTTCCATCAAAGCAGTTATGCATGTGCTCCAAGAACATGAGTAGTCTGATGGAAGCTAGTGTCACTACTCCCATATTTAAGGCCCCAGTTTCTTGAATCAGGGCCCTGTGCTTTGCTAGATCTGGACCATAATTACAACACATGAAAAATATTTTGACTTATTGCACTACCGTTCTTCCTAACTCATGGTTTGCAAATTTTTAAAATCGCTCTTTATGTTTCAGGCCTGGAGCACTTCTGCACTGTGCTCTGATGTCTGTAATATTTGTTGTATGGTTGTCCACTGAAAATTATATTTGGAAGCCTGCTGAGGTTTTGGGCTGTTTCAAGATCTCTAACTGCTTTTATGGGTTTTTTGGCATTTCTACATATGAAATGATTGGGTGTGAGTATAGTGTGGACTGCCCCTGTAGGGTGGTGGGTGTCTCTTGTGAGATGATGAAGGCACTCAGAATCTCACAGGATTCTTCACACTGGGCATTCAAGATAAATCATTATGGAAAGTAGTCCTGCTAACTGTTTCGTGTTTGCCTGATCTAGCATGTAAACTCCTGGGGGGTTATGGGCTCTGTCACTGTACTGTTCTGTACAGTGCTGAATACACTTAATGGGAAGAATATGCAAATGCTGTATTGACTCCAAGAGGGTGGCTTTACATGAAAATTAATGGCATCATATAACCCATTTTTGTTTCTTTTTGTTTTGTTACCCTCTCCCCCTTTTCAGTTTGAGAAAGATTACCTTGAATTTAAGAATCAAATTGAAGGTCTGCACCAGTCAATGCAAGAATTAGTAGATTCTTGGTTTGAGAAATCTTTAACTGTGAGTAATTCTGCAAGTAAAATACCTGACCTTCAGAAGTGCTGGGCATCCACAAATCCTACTGAAATCTCTGCATGCTGCAGGTGTTCAGCATCTTTGGAAATCAGGCCACAATGCTTGTTCGGTGTGAGATAATATCAGAGGAGTTGAGCAGTATCGGCACACTCTTCAAGCTCAAGTGCACTCAGTCAGAAATATTGGAAATTTAAATACTGATAATTGTCAAGTGCCTGTTCTGTCTTCCTCACATCTTTTGTCCCTCTCGTCTTCCCCATTTTGTTTCGTCTTTCTCTTTTCTGCCCCAGGCTCTTACTTCTTCCCTACTGATGCAACAAAATAATAAATTGCTCCTCTTGGAGCATCTGTTGTTAGCTCTCCAATTTACCTCACAGGCCCTGGTTCCTCTCTGCACCTCCAGAACTATCTGCAGTTTTGCCTTCCTTCTGTTACTTCCTTTCAGTGCTTTCTGTCCTTCTTCTCTCTACTCCAGCCTACAGTTTGTCATTGGTACATTGGGGTGGAGTGGGCGCAGGGCCTGGGGTGTAGCAGGGGTTCGAGCACCCCTGGGTAACTAAGAAAGACGGTGCCTATGCTCCCCTCTATGCCTCAGAGCAAAGCGGTTGTTGTTCCTTTTACACTGGCAAGGAAGACAGTTATATAAACACCTAAATTGACAGACAGATATTGTTAAGATGAATATTTCCCCCTTTTAAAAAGTGTATTAAAGATTGGCCCCCTATTGCTTCCAAAATGTTGGCTGGCTTTTTTTTTCATTCCTAATTGTGCTTACATTACAAGAATTATTAGGGGGAAAATGGGGAGTGGAAATTTAAAAGAATTAGAATCAAGTTTAAACTATTCCAAGTGTTGCCCCTTTTTGACCTGAGTTGCTAGTCAAAGTTCAGAGCCCTGTGAATATTTCAGGTTGGGATAGTAATTGATGAAGGCCTTGGGTATTTTCCTTAATGTAATCTTGTTTCTTTATACTCTAAATATAGGAGGAACCAGAAACAAAAGAATAGTTTATTAGCTTATGTCCCCAAGCCTCTTTAGCCAACACCAGAGCCAAAAAGTTCTTTCTCTAGTTTTTTCCAAGGTCATATATTGTGCTCACAGGCTCCTGCTTCGTTTTTGGCCTTTCAATCTGTCTCTGTTCTGTTAAACTGTTCGTCTGTCTGTGTCTCACTCATGCACACAGTCACAATACTCAGTGGAACTCTCCACCCACATGGTGCTAGTTTCTGAGCAGGCTCTGTTTTGCCATGTTTAGATATGGGCTCTTAAGTGTTTCTTAGAACTATCTTAAGTGAAGAGTGCATTCACACATCAGTTTTAACTCAACCCATTATAAGGTTTCATCCAGTACATAGCACAAGACAGAAAAGAGCTGTACTCAGTTTAAAAAATATATTACCCAGCAGCTCATTTGAAATATTTTCTCAGTTGCATTTCTTATGCTCCTCCTTCCAGATTGAAATAAACAAAGAAATCAACATTTGGAGCTATGTCTTTAAAATCAGGACCAATTTTAGATTTGGGCCCCAATTCTAAAACAAGCTATGTGAGCAGACCTCAGTGCCTGCACAGAGCCCCACTGATGTCAGGAATCGGAGTCTTGATGAAGGGGGAAGTACTGCTCTACTTTCTCCTGAGGGAATTCTGAAAAAAAAAAAAGAAAAAAAAATTCTGCGCACAATATTTTAAAATTCTACTCATTTTATTTGTCAATAAATAAACGTGGAGGCTCCAGCATGGCAGTGGGGAGCACCCTGCAGGTCTCCTTCTTCCCCCCAGGACACAGACTGGGAGGTGAGGCTGTACCCAACACTGACACAGTGCAAGGACCAGGCCCACTCCAGAAACAACCTGGGGCCCTGCCCCTCCACGCCAGGCACACCAATTTCACAAGTGAGTGGGACAGTCTTGCACACACGCCAGCCCTAGGTCCTGATCCATGTGTGTGGCAAGTAGGCTCAGACGGCAGGATGCAAGTGTTTAGGGGCTTAGTGTGGGTAGAGCCAGGTGTGGAGAGAGAGGGTTCTATGTGGGGAAATCTCAGTGCGGGCTGCTTGGTGGGGGCGTCCAAGTGCAGGGGGGGATCTGGATGCACAGGGGCTCGTTGGGGAGTTCCGAGTGCAGGGGGAATGGAACTCTCCAGGGGGGTCCAGGTGAAGGTGGTTAGGGCTCAGGAGGGGGGTGAAGTCCAGGTGAAGGTGGTTGGGGATTGGGGGGGTGTCTGGGTGTGAGAGGCTCAGTGGGGCGGGGGGGTCCGAGAACTGGGTGAGTGGGGTTTGGTGGGGTGCAGATCTAGGTACAGCTGATTGGAGCTCAGTGGGGTGGGGGTCCGGATGTGGGGGGGGGGAGTAGGGCTCGGCAGAGGTTCCATGTGCAGGGGGGCTCTGGGTGCAGGGGGGCTCTGGATGCAGGGGGGTATGGATGCCTGGGGGTTGGACATACAGAAGAGAAGCCCCCTCTACAGTGTCCCACCCCATTCTGAGGAACGATGGGGCAGGATACGGGGAGTGGGGTGTGGAGCTTCCTGTAGCCGGGGGAGATTTCTGGGGTGGGTCCTGGTCCTGGTCCCAGCCACTCCTTGCAGGGGAAGAGGAACTCCTGTTGTTGCCCAGCTAGCCAGGACTAGCAACTGAGTCTGGTGCAGGGTTGGAGCCACCGGTTGGGGTGGCTGTAATTTACCGCTCTGCCAGCTGCTCCGGGCACCTGAAAAGACACCCCTGCACTGCTGAGGAGCGGTGCGTCATTGATCTTGTGGCTTCCCTTTGCTTCTCCATCATTTTCTGCGAAGAAGCAAAGAAATCTGTGGGGGACATGAATTCTTCCCAGGTGTAGTGGCACAGAATTCCAGGAGTACTCTACACCCGACTTGTGTATGGCTAAATGACACTGATCATTTGGAGAAGAGTCAGAGAGAAATTAAGTATTGCCCCATTATCCTATGTAGGTAGCTCTTTTGACAAATCAGACTATTTTAAACATGATATTAGAGCAAAATGAGAATTTAATAAATTAACCTATTAGATAAGATTGTTCTATATTCACAATAAAATAACTTAATCAGTTATAAACACACAATGACAACTTATTAAGCGATTGCCATCTTGATGTAGCATTTACTGCAAATCTCCAATCTCTCTTTTTAGACTGAACAGATGTTGGGACTTCTGATGAAGTTTGAACACATTGGTAAAGACCATATTGATCTTACTGAAAAATATATAATCATCCTTCAGCGATACAGCCGAGATTTAGATCTGGTTCGAAAACTCTACCAGAAGCAAAAAGAAAATCCGCCTATGCCTCGTAATGTACCACCTGTAAGGATGAAACTAAGGCGAGAGAAAAAGATGTTTACTCTTTGTCTGTTTTATGTTAATGAAAACATAAACTTAAATCTTGCTCCATTGCAGGTAACTGGGAAGATTATGTGGGCCCGGCAGTTGTTCAGAAAAATAGATCATCCAATGAAATTTTTTAAAAAGAAGACTGCACTTTTGAAGGTTGGAAATTAGTGGGGGGAGTGCTAAATTCGAAAAAAAAAATAAAAAAGGACATGCCAATAACATAGCTTACTTTTATCTCCCTTATATCCATTCCTCTGCAACTTTAAAGGCCTGGCCCTCAGATCCTAGTAGCTCCTGCCATACTTGACCACTCTAGCTTCTGACCTCTGGTGGCAATGCCAGTTCCCTCTGTGGCTCATCACAGCTGCTTCCCAATCACCTTCTGCTGCTTGGTCCTAGTAGGTAACTCAGGTCACTCCTTTTGTCCTCACCTGGGCCTACCCCACATTGCCCTGCGCTGTAGACCATTGTTTCAACTTCCCCAAAAGAAACAAATCAGTGAAATTGCACATGCCGCGTCTTATATTACAGTGTAGAATTTTTGTAGGTAAGGTTGATAAAAATGAGAAAAGGAGTTTAAGAAGGTGTTTTAAAAGTTTCCTAATAGAATTTTAAAATATCTTTCTAAGTTGTTTGGCACATCTGATCCCCAAAATGGCTTGGCCTACAAACTCCACACCTGTTTGGTTTCATTGACCATCGTGAGGAAAGGCACAATCTAGTCCATTATATGAGCGCAACATTATAAAAACAAATTTCTTGTGATTTGTAGACTCCGGAAATGAAGAAGGTAATTTGGAGCTACAACAAGATGGCTGCTGTTCTTTTAGAATTCGAACTTCTTTATCACAGAGCATGGTGCAGGTTTGCTGAGCAAGCTAAGAATGGACTGCATGCTTCATTACTTGTCAGACATCGAGAAACCAAGGTAAAGAAGTTAAAAGTTAAGAATAAAAGGACAGTGAAGTTTATTGCTTTTACTTTAATCACACACAAAAAACTATGTTTATAAAATGCCATTAAGATTGCTAAATAAAGCACTCTAAGGATACTCTGTGTGACCTTAATTCTGCCCCCTTTTGTGTATATATTACAATACAGACTTTAATTGTTTGATCACATGCTAGTTTTTCCCACAGGATGCCTATCTCATTTAGTGGAGGATAGGTCCATCCATGGCTGTTAGCCAGGGATGCACCACCATTTTCTGAGTGTCCCTAGCCTGTTTGCCAGAAGCTGGGAGTGGATGACAGGGGATGGATCATCTGATGATTGTCTGTTCATTAGTTCCCTCTGGGGCACCTGGCACTGGCCACTGTTGGAAGACAGGATACTGGGCTAGATGGACCATTGGTCTGATCCAGTATGGCCATTCTTATGTTCTTATGTTAGAGCACATAACGGACAATATTCAGAGAATGATATAGCTAGTTGATTTTTTTTTATCCTACTCTTTCCGTGTATAGACCCCATGTCTTATTTATTATACATTGTCCAAAACCTGCAGCAAATATGTAATTATTAACTGCCTCATGGTCTTTTCTATGTTCATCAACACTATACTGAGTACCTCGCAAACATCCATGAACTTGAGGTTGCAACTACTTGGTGAGATAGGAAAGTATTATTATCCTTACTTTATAGATAGGGATTACAGCACAGAGAGAGTAAGTCCAAAATATGCAATTTTGAATGCTTCAGTGGTTGGAAAACCCCCACTTTAGATACCTAGAACCTGATTTTTTAGAGTACTTAGCATTTTTTTATAGCACTTTACATGTTCAAAGCACTGTACAGGCATTAATCCTCGCAACATCATTCCTCTGAAGTAGGTATTATCCCCAGATGGGGAAATGGAGATGTGACATGAGAGTGATTTACCTAAAGCCACAGAGTGACTCATTGACAGATTCAGAATTAGAACTCAAATTGTCCTGATTCCCATCCCTATGCACATTTCTCCAGACGATGCTGCCTCATGTGCATGTGCCAAGTAGCTCTTACTGACTTCATTTGCATTTGTGAGTCCTTAACTCTTTTGCATATTAGACCTTCTTTGACTCAGGTTGGGCAGTGTGTAGTGGGAGGGAGGCCACTCCGCCTCACTGCATCAGGCAACAGTAGTTGGGCTCGGGCCCTGCTGGCTAGGGTCAAGCAACAAGCAATTACTCTCCTTGGGCTCAATACAAGTATAAGAAGATTACTTGTGATTTTGATATCAAAAGGTATCAACTACTTGCTTGATTCAAAGTCCCTCAGAGTCAGTTTAAAAAAAAAAATGAAAAAAAACCAAGCCTTGGCGATGCAGTCTTTTAAAAACCAAAAAAACCCACTTTCTTCCTCACACGCACAGTATCCAGCTCTACCTTGGATAAGAAAGCTCCAATCAAGCCATGGCCAGACTGATATTCTTGGGCTTGGTCAGTTTGTCCAACATTCCCTGTCCAAGTTTACTAGCAAACAATGAAATTATTTCCTCATTCCCAGTCTTCAGTGCCAAGTCATATGCTGATAAGCCTTTTTCATTCTTCTTTTTAATGTTTACATTACAGCTGTAAATACAGAACAGGCTGCTTAAGCTAAAAAAACAAAAAAAACACACAAAAAAACCAAGCAGTCTATAGCTTGCAGCCTCCTGTCTGAGGTAAACAACAGTTAACAGTCTGGAGCGCTGGCCCCCGGGGAGGGGCAGAGGCACAAGCAGTCTTTAGCCTAGAGCCTCCTGGCAACGGCAGACAGCAATCAACAATCTAGAGTCCACAGCCTCCTGGCTGGGACAACCAGCAATTAAGGCAGAGGCCTTCCGTCCTAGCATGAGTGTGCTGCCAATCCCCAGATGTGAAGTAGTGGCAAAGGAGATAGAGGGATCTGGGCCCACCTTACTCCCAGCCCACTGGGTCCCATGGCCCTATTAGTGGCAGGTGGTTCTGCCACTGGGTTGGCGGGGGAAACCGAAATATGGTGCCTCACTTCCTGGCACCACGGCTGGTCCAAAGTCTGGTTCCCCTGGCTACTTCCTACCCTACTTAGCTGCTCTGCTTAGCTGCTCTGCTAACTGCTCTGTTAAGCTGGAGCTCCGTCTGGTTGCCCCACAGTCGGGCGGTGGCCACGTCAGCCATTCCTCGGGGTCCTAACTCTCTTCAGTCTGTAGGTTGCTTGTCTGCTTGGCTGCTGATCCAGGGTCCCGAAGAAGGTTCGGCTCCCTAGAAAAGATGTCCGCCTCCTTCCCTGGTACAGCTGCAACTGAACTGCAGGGCCCTCCCTTTCTATTTCGTGCCCCTCCCCAGTACTTCTGACGAGGTGGGTGAGGTGGGTTTGGTTCTGCCCACCATGGGGAGGGTAGTGGTCTTTCACTCTCAAGTCTGGTAGGGATGATCTGTCATTCTCCCTCCTGTCCCTGGACCAGGAGAAGGCATTGGACAGGATGCACCCGGCTTCAGGCCCCAGTTTGTGGGCTTCCTCCAGGTGCTGTACGCCTCCGCGGAGTGTTTGGTCAGGCTCAACTGGACCCTGACCGAGCCGGTCAGCTTTGGGCAGGGAGTACAACAGGGAAGCCTGCTGTCAGGCCAGCTGTACACGCTGGCGATCGAGCCCTTCCTCTGTGTCTTCTGTCGGAGGTTGACGGGCTTGGCGCTTCAGGAGCCAGAGTTGCGGCTGGTGCTGTCGGCGTACACCGATGACATGCTCCTCATGGTCCAGGACCCGGGCGACCTAGTGCGGGTGGAGGCCTGCCAAGCGATCTGTTCGGTGGCCTCCTCTGCCCGGGTTAACTGCGTCAAGAGCTCTGGCCTGATGGTCGGAGACAGATGGCAGCCGAGTTACCTCCCACCTTCAAGCCATCCGGGGATCGTGGGAACCACTGCTCTATCTTGGGGTTTATCTATCCGCCACGCATCCTTCTCTGCCGGAGAACTGGCAGGATTTGGAGGCCAGGGTGGATGAGCGGCTGCAGAGATGGACGGGACTCCTCTGGTGTCTCTCAGTGCAGGGGAGGGCACTGGTGTTGAACCAACTTGTCCCATCCATGCTCTGGCACCGGCTCAACACTCTGAGCCCGGTCCCAGGGATCCTGGCTAGGCTCCAGAGGGTAGTTCTGGAGTTCTGGCCAGGACTGCACTGGGTCTCTGCAGGGGTTCTGAGTCTTCCCCTGGAGGAGAGAGGACAGGACCTGGTCTGCCTCCATAGCCAGGTCCATGTCTTCCGCCTCCAGGCCCTGCAGAGACTCCTTTATGCCACAGGTAGTCTGGTGTGGAACATGTTGGCGCATGCCTTCCTCTGCTGCCTCCGAGGGTTCCGATACAACTGGCATCTCTTTTTTCTCCAACCGAGGGGTCTTCTGCGAGACCTCTCTGAGTTGCCAGTCTTCTACCAGGACCTCTTCCTGACCTGGAAGCTGTTTTTGGCAACCAGATCCATTGTAGCCACTGAGGGGCAGACCTCCTTGCGGAGTCTGTGCTACACAACCCCTACCTTCATGTGCAGGTAGCGGAGTCCCCCTCAGTGCGCCAGAGGGTGGTCATGGCAGAAACCACCAGAATCTGAGACTTCCTGGACTACAACGGGGGGACTGGGTGGATCCCTGAGCGCTCAGTTGGTGCATGGGGCTCTCCACCCTCCTGACCTCCCTGCAAGTGCTCCAGGAGGTTGGGGCAGCCTTGTCGCCCACCTCTTAGGTTTTCCTTGAGTGGGTACTGCAAGAGGGTGCTCCCCAATCACCCCAGGCCCTCTGGACCTTTTCATTGGACCCCTGTCCTGTGAGCCCTCCCGGCCCCCTTCCTTCCGCAATCCGAGTCAGCTGCATGCTCTGCAGCCAGTTTGCTTCTGAACCACGCCAAGGAAACAATTCTACATGCTTGTGCTCCACACGTTTCACTTCCTTACCCTCCTGTCCCGCCCTGATACCAAATGGCGGGACTATCTATGACCTGTGGAGGGTGAGGAACCCCAGTGAGCCAGCCTCTATTCCACTCTGGTCCCATGGCCTGCTGGGGATATCGGTTGGTGGCTCCTTCATGAAGCCGTGAGCACGGGCGTGTACCTGGTGTGGTTCACCCCCATCCCCGAAGCCTGCCCCTTTGCGGCGTGAGGGAGAACCTGGGGCACGCTTATCTCAAGTACACCAGGTTACAGCCCCTATTCTGGCTCCTCCTTCTGTTGAACTTCTGGCTGCACTTTTCCCTACACCAGTTTATATTCTCAAACCCTGTCCCGGGCCCCACGAAGTTGCAAGACCACCTCGTCAGCTTCCTCCGGGACCTGGCCAAAGTGGCCATCTTCACCACCAGGAGGAGGATGCTAGAAGAGGGGGTGCTCTGTGAGTGTGGGGCCATTTCCGCTCCTCCCTGATCTCACATATCCGGGCAGAGTTCCTCTGGGCGGCATCCGCTGGCTCCCTAGACAGCTTTGAGGAGCAGTGGGTGCTCTCCGGGGTTCTCTGCTGGGTGTCCCCCTCTGGATCCCTAGTTTTGAACCTGTGACCTTCACTCCTGACCCTGTTATTCATTAGTTGTCACCTGCATTCAGTTGGTTTCTGGGTCCAGTGGTCCCTCCCGCAAGGCTGGGGGAGGGGCCTTTAGACATGGGCAGGTTTGTGCCTGCACACCTCCCAGGATTCCCAATAAAGCCTCACTATAGGCACCCAGAGATGAACACACAATTAATGGCCACTGGCCACAATTAAATTTAAGGGACTTGCCCACATCACATAGGAATTCTGTGGCAGAGGAAGAGAGAGAATGGGCAACATTATGAGTGCTTGATTTTCCAACCTTAATAACATTCTGTTAATGTCATTTTTAAAATTTAATATCCTAGTTTTTAAGAAAAGAAAAAAAAGGTAAAATCACATCCAAATTTTATTGTGCCCAAATGTAACAACACCCTCCTCCTCTTCATTTGGAAGATCAGGCCTTTATTGTGGTTATTCTTGAGTTATTGACATAAAAATTAATTATTTTGAGTTTTACTCTTTTTGTGCCCAGATAGCTCAAAGGCTGCTTTGTTGCTAAAATATAACTTGTTTTGTTAGTTTCTGATGATAAGCAATTGTTCTGTTAATTTTTATTTTCATATTGGCAGGAATAATTTTCTAGCTTAGCAAGTTTTGGGTTTTCTAACCACAGTGTATGGAGAAAGAAGACTATTCTAGCCAATAATTGTATTCAAATGATGAAGATACAGTAAAAGATTCACAGAAAAATGAAGTCAGTGGGAGTTGCTGGTTGCTCAGTACTTGGAAAATCCAGTTACGTATTGTGACAGGGCAAGGCCAGATGGCTATAGAAAAGTAGTGGGAGATAGATATATTAGCTCCAGGCTAAAGAAATCCCAATAGGACCAGGATAAGTAAAATGGCAGCTGCTCCAGGTCAATTAAGACACCTGGGGCCAATTAAGAACTTTCCAGAAGGCAGGGTGAATGCTAGCTTGATTGGGACACCTGAAGCCAATCAGGGGCTGGCTGAAACTAGTTAAAAGCCTCCCAGTTAGTCAGGTGGGTGGGCATGTCAGGAGCTGTGGGAGGAAGTTGTGCTATTGGAGAGACTGAGTAGTACTCACCATATCAGGCACAAGGAAGGAGGCCCTGAGGTAAGGGTGAAGTGGAGCTTGAGGAATTGAGGGCTGCTGTGGGGGAAGTAGCCCAGGGAATTGTACATGTCATGTTTCTAAAAGGTCAGCTAACATAGCTGATACTATTAGGGTCCCTGGGCTGGAGCCTGGAGTAGAGGGTGGGCCTGGGCTCCCCCCCACCTTTGCCCCCTGATTAATCACTGAGACTGGGAGACAACAGAGACTGTGCAAGGAAGGATAACTTCTCCTCACCTCCCTCACTGGCTTATGATGAAAATGGCTCAGTAGACTGTGACCCTTGTCTCTAGAGAGAGAAGGGTTACGTGGAGGGTCACAGTGAGCCTCTGAGGCTAGCGAAATCTGCCAGGAAACGCAGGACCCACGGAGTCAAGGACAGAGCTTTGTCACAGTTTTGAGGTGCCTGAGTATGGGTTCAGGAGTCTAAATGTAGGCACCTGTTTTCAAAATCTTTGTCAGTCATCTGTACTACACTTTATACATTTTTCAGAAAAATCACACTGCCTATGTCACCACCAAACTGCCACTTTGTGTTCACTGTTGTTTTTTCCTCCCCTCCTGTTCTGGTGTGTAAAGGAATTATTCGTGAATTTGGATCCTATGGTCCTTGAAGTACTGTGTGAAACAAAATACCTAAAAAAAATGAATTTTGAAGTTCCAGATGTTGCCCTTGGCATGTGTGCAGAAGAAGAACAGATTAAAAAACAGCAAATGAAGTTAGTGAACACTTAACTTGATTTCATCTTTATCCGGAAATTTTCTTTTGGGTCTCATTTTTATCTGCTTTTTTGGTCATTATAATAACTTTTCCTTGTGACAGATGTTAGTAGAGTCCAATGGAGTCTAAGTACATTTGCCCACCCATCTTTAATAATAATGTCCCCAGTGTAGTGATCCATGGTTTCCATCTCCATAAATACCTGATCATTAGAAAGCATCAATACTCTTTTCTTATGCCTTTTCCTTAAAGTCCCTTTGAACCCTTGCAATCATTCCAAAGTCAGGGACATTCACTCATATGCAAATCTCCATGTCTTGTGTGGCATATTAGGCCAAAACTATGCTGCATTGATGCTAGAATTATGGAGCACTGCTCTCCAGTTCTTCTCCCTACCAATTGTCCCTGCTACAATCCAGGTGCAGTACAAAGTACTGTCAATATACTATTGCTTGTGTTACTTATTTCTTTATTTTGGTGAAAAATCAATTTAGTTTATGCTGTCCCCAGATTTTCAGCTATTAATGTGTAGAATATTTTCCTGTTGACAATGGATAACTGCCCTATAGAAGTTGTCAGGGAAAAGCTGGGGAATTTGGCAGCTGGGAAGGGGAAACTGGGATTCATCTTTGAGTGATGGTCCCTGTTGTGTTCCACTATGGGTTATGCATGCACCCAGAGCTGGAGAATCTGAAAATAGTGTCCCTGGGCCTACATGTGCCCTGGTTCACTTCATGCCTCCATCCAAAGGAGTAAACAGTGGGACTGACTGACTTCCTTTCCAATTCCTTCTTACCGCTGCATGTTTTGGGTTGGAACCTCCTGTGTCTGTAGCTTCAGCTTCATTCTACAAAATAAGAATTTGATCTACTTTTATAAATAGTTTTAACGGCTTTTACAGTTTAGTGTTTTGGACTCTGTTTGGGTCCTGGACTATGCTTAGGACTCTGGGGTTCAAACTCTGCTCTTCCTGCCCACAATCCTCCTCAGTTAGTGATGACCACCAGTGCTGCCTGTATGGCCTCGGGGAAGCCGACATTACAGCTAGGTGCCAATCAATCTGCCAATCGTTCTCCAGCCATACTAAAGAAGGGTGGGAACTTCGTCTCCACAAATACCTCATGGAAAAGGTCATGGAGAAGTCCGACTTTGTTGTGGGAGACTCTACCCCCCACCCCCAGGCCCTCTGGCAGGATCTTGTCAGAAATCCAGGAAGCACTCTCATAAGCATGAGACTAAGCCCTGGTGTACACTATGGGGTTAGGTTGAATTTAGCCACATTAGATCGGTTTAAAAATGACTGCATCCACACAACCAACCCTGTTCCGTTGACCTAAAGGCCTCTTAAAATCGACTTCTGAACTCCTCCCCGACGAGGGGAGTAGCACTAAAATAGACCTTGCTGGGTCGAATTTGGAGTAATGCAGATGCAAATTGACGGTATTGGCCTCCGGGAGCTATCCCAGAATGTTCCATTGTAACTGCTCTGGACAGCACTTTGAACTCCGATGCACTAGCCAGGTACACAGGAAAAGCCCCAGGAACTTTTGAATTTCATTTCCTGTTTGGTCAGCGTGGTGAATTCAGCAGCACAGGTGACCATGCAGTCCCCCCAGAATCGTAGAGCGTAGAATGTTTCTACACTCCCTGTGTCATCTCCGTCCCTGAGGTTATCGCAGATTAGAAGCGAAAAAAACGCACTAGCGATGACATGTTTTCCGAGCTCATGCAGTCCTCCCACACTGATAGGGCACAGCTTAATGCAGGGAGGCATTCAGTGGCAGAGGCCAGGAAGGAATTAAGTGAGCATGAAGAGCGGAGGCAGGACGCGATGCTGAGGCTAATGGGGGAGCAAATGGACATGATGAAGCATCTGTTGGGGGAGCAAACAGACATGATGAAGAGTTTGTTGGAACTGCAGGAAAGCCAACAAGAGCACAGACCCCCTCTGCATCCACTGTATAACCGCCTGCCCTCCTGCCCATGTTTCATAGCCTCCTCACCCAGACGCCCAAGAACGTGGAGGGGGAGGCTCTGGGCACCCAGCCACTCCACTCCAGAGGATGGCCCAAGCAACAGAAGGCTGTCATTCAAACAGTTGGATTTTTAGTGTGGCTACAATAAGCAATTTGGCCTTGTCCTTCCCTCCTCCCCCACCCCGCCCGGGCTACTTTGTCCGTTATCTCATTTTTTTTAATTAATAAAGAAAGAATGTATGGTTTCAAAACAATAGTTACTTTATTTTGAAGGGGGGAGGATGGTTGGCTTACAGGGAATTAAAATCAACAAAGGGGTGGGTTTGCATCAAGGAGAAACACATACAGCTGTCACACCGAAGCCTAGCCAGTCATGAAACTGGTTTTCAAAGCCTCTCTGATGCGCAGCGTGCCTTGCTGTTCTCTTCTAATTGCCCTGGTGTCTGGCTGCTCAAAATTGGACTCCAGGCAATTTGACTGGGGTAGGTGCAACCGCGTGGTGCTGCCAGCTGGGAGAGCAGCCTGAGGCAGAAGCCTCCAGCTTGCAGGAGAGCAGAGTTGCAGTGGAAGGGCTGGAGCTGTACACCATGCCCTGGAGGTTGCTAGGAGCTGGGCAGGGAAGACTTCCTAGAACCCCTGGCCAAGCTACATGTCCGACGAGGACGGCTACCAGTCCTACAGCAGCGGTGACAGTGAGCTGAGCGGGCTCCATGCTTGCCGTTGTATCGCGTCTGCACAGGTAACCCAGGAAAAAAGGCGTGAAACGATTGTCTGCCGTTGCTTTCCCGAAGGGAGGGATGATTAACGACATGTACCCAAAACCATCTGTGACAATGTTTTTGCCCCATCAGGCATTGGGAGCTTAACCCAGAATTCCAATGGGTGGCGGAGACTGCGGGAACTGTGGGATAGCTATCCATAGTGCACCACTCCGTAAGTCAATGCTAGCCACAGTAGCGAGGATGCAGTCTGCCGACTTAATGTGCTTAGTGTGGACATACGCAATCGACTGTATAAAATCTAATTCTAAAAATCGACTTCTATAAAACTGACTGAATTTCGTAGTGCAGACATACCCTAAAGTCTTCCTCTAAATCCACTTCAAAAAAGTTGGATTTGGCTCTAAGTAAGCCCATCAGCTCAGCCCATGAGGACTTAGTACGTCCTAAGTCAAAGAGGCATGACAAGAAAGTTCATAAGTATTGGGCTACATTGGTACCAGACCGTGATCCATTGGTACTGTCATCCTTGGCACCTCCAAAACCCCAGAATTAATCAATACGAAGTCCAATCATCATCAACTTTTGGGCACTGTCTTTCTTGCTGGCTCCAGGGGCTCGAACAAGTAGAACCCCTCTCACACCAGGGAGAGCTGAATCCATTACTGCTCCACAGGACATTTTTGCTGTCCTGGATCCAGAATTCCTTTCCTCATCGGGTCCCTCCATCTCCAGAGAGATAACACCACCACCGAGAGTTGACAGCTGGAAGGAGTTTGACACCCATCCAATACAGGGAATATCTTCCCTCTGACAGCTCTGACGGTACTGCTACTGGAACCAGAATCAACCTTCTCTTATTCGGGAGATTCTGAACCACTCAATGAACCTTTCCCCCCCACCCCCCATCCTAGGTATCCTCTGCCACCCAAAAGACCTGCACTGGTTTGGGGCCAACCTCTGCCTCATCCAACCTCTGGTTTGGGGCCAACCTCTGCCTCATCGGAGCTGTTGATGTACCCCATGCCATGGTGGCCCCTGCGACAACATATTGACCTTTCCTACTGGCCATATTGAGGATCTTGGGACCAGTTCTCCCCTGCAGTCGATCCAATTTGCTAGGGAGTCACCCCTTGCCTCCTCTCTAAGGGAACACTCAGATATGCACCCGGATATGACAGAAGAGGAGGAGGAACATTACACATCAGAAACTGCTGTTCCGCTGGAACCAGTAAGACTGTTGTCTTCATCTCCAGACAAAGCAGTGACTTCTATATCTCTCTCCTCACCCGCCAATGACTTCAGATAGTTCCAGGACCTTCTTCGCAGAGTTGCTGGAGAACTTCAGATCTGTCTTGAAGAAGTCTAGGACTCCCAGCACAAACTCTGAGACATTCTCCATACATCTGGACCCAACAGAATAGCTCTTTCCATTAATGGAGCCAACTGGGACAGTTTGGCACACCCCTGCCACTTGTACTTCCTGAAAAGGACAGAGAAGCGTTACTATGTGCTAACCAAAGGAGTGGAATTTTTGTTTTCTCACCCAGTTCCCAACTCAGTGGTAGTCCAAGCCATTTCTGAAAGGCCTGGTCTACTCCTCCTGATAAAGAGGGTAAACGTTTGGATCTGTTGGGGAGAAAGGTCTTCTCAGCATCCAGCCTCCAGTTCAGGATAGCCAGTTACCAGGTGCTACTGGCTAAATATGATTTCCTCAACTATGCCAAGTTTGTGGAATTTACCGACAGCCTTTCGCAGCAGGACAGAGCTCATTTCCAAGCTCTGATAGATGAAGGCAAACTGATAGCCAAGACTGTTCTCCAATCCTCAGTCAATGCTGCTGGTATTTCCTCCAGAGCTATGGCTACTGCCATTGTCATGCACAGGGAGTCATGGCTCCATGTGTAAGGGTTCCCTAGAGAGGCCCAGAATGTCATTGAGGACCTTCCCTTCAATGAATTGCAGCTTTTCAACCAAAAGACTGATGAGTCCCTCCATATCCTGAAGGACTCCAGGGCTACCCTCCACTCTGCTTCTTTCTTGGTTGGACCAGTTCAGCTATGCCTTCCCTCTGCTACCACTCCTGCCATGAGTTCTATGGAAAATCCAGAAGGACAGGGCACAGCTCTTCCTGATTGCCCCGTGCTAGCCCAGACAGTTTTTGTTTCCCAACCTCCTATGCATGTCATCCTGAACACCAATCCTCATCCCAACATTTCCTGAGCTCCTGACCTAGTGGAACGGCAAGATCAAGCACCCAAATCTGTGTCCTCTATGTCTTAGGGCTTGGTATTTGGATGGGCATCATCCTTAAAACATTCATGCTCCACAGCTGTGTGAGACATCCTTTTGAACAGTAGAAAGGATTCTACTAGAAGATGTTACCAAACTAAATGGAAGCACTTTTCTTCTTGGGTACATCAAAGAGGCATTCTCCCAGAAACTGCAGATATTCCCTTCATCTTGGACTATATCCTATCTTTGAAGACATCCCGCTTGTCCATCAGCTCCTTGCAAGACCACTTGGCAGCAATCAGTGCATACCATCCACCTTCTCATGGCTGCCCAGTCTTTGCACATCCACTGACCAATAGATTCTGGAAAGGCCTAATCAGAACTTTCACATCTATTCAGAAGCCTGCTCCCCATATGGGACATAAACCTTGTTCTCTCAGTACTCATAGGCCCCCTTTAGAACCTTTAGCTTCTTGCTTCATGCTCTCCTTTCCATGAAGGTTGCTTTCCTTGTAACTGTCACTTCAGCTAGAAGGATTGGCGAGCTTGCAGTGATGATGACAGATCCTTCTTATATTATATTGCATAAGGATAAGGTTTCTGTGTGTCTATACCCCAAATTCACTCCTAAAGTAGTCTCAGAATTTCACCTTAACCAATCAATTCAGTTACTTGTGTTCTTCCCAAAATTGCACCCTGCTCCAAAGGAACGAAGTCTCCACTCCCTCAGTGTTTGGCAGGCCCTGGCCTTTTACCCGCAAAGAACAAAGCCAATCAGGAAATCCTTGAGACTGTTTGTTGCCATAGCAGAAAGAATTATGGGGCACACCTTCTCCACTCAGAGAATCTCCAGATGGATTTCTGGCTACATTATACTCTATCCCCTATCGAACCTTCCTCCGCCCCAACCCCCCTGGGGTAAGAGCTTATTCCACCACACCACAAGCAACAATTATGGCATCACTTCAGAAGGTGCCCCTCCTTGACATCTGTAAAGCAGCCATGTGGGGCTCTGTTCACATGTTTGCAAGACATTTATGCCCTGGAGCAGGACTCCTCTGCTGATGCCTCCTTTGGGGCATCCTCGCATCCTCTGTATCCTCGCATCCCCCTCCTACTTAGATACTGCTTGTCAGTCACCCTCAGTGGAATACAATAGGGACCATCACTCAAAGAAGAAGGGGAGATTCTTTGAGATGTGTGGTCCCTATTTCATTCCACTACCCACCCTCCTTCCCCTCTGCTTCAGATCTTACCTGACTGATGGTAGAGAAGGAACTGGAGAGGCAGGCAGTCTGCCCCATGCTTTATCCCATCAGATGGAGGCACGAGGTGAAGCAGGGCACATGTGCGGACCAGCGAACACTACTTTCAAATTCTCCGGCTCTGAATGCATGGTGTGCATGTTTAGTCCACTGTGGAATACAGATAGGGGCCACACAGCTCGAAGAACCTGCAGTTACACGTCAGTAACCTCCCCTTTTGGTATCCAACAAGGTATAGCAGACACTTTTTGTTTTTCGCACTCAAGAGGCTGTGGAAACTTTTTCAGTGGGGAGGGGATGCATCTGTTCTTACCCTTCCTCTTTTGGGCTGGAACAGAGGCATCTTCACATCTGAGTGAAGGAGATTTGACTTCCCCATTCTTTGATAGCAGCTAGTTATCTTGCCCCAGTATCTGCTGCTTCATCCGCCAATGATGGATAAGTACCACAGCTGGATGTTTTCGCTGAAGCGATCAGTAGTTAAATAAGTAAGAGTGCTCCCAATTAAATTGTCCTTATTAGTCCACGGAGTTAACACACATTGAGATTAATATCAAGGGGCAGTCTGGTGGGTGAAGACCTGGCTCCACTGAAGTCAATGGCAAAGTTCTTGTTGATTTATATAGGGCTAGGATTGTTTCAGGTTGTCAGCAGACTCAGGCAGATGCTCATGTATCTGTGCAAAACTTGAACATTGTTTTCATTTTGAAAGTTTTCTTTGCATCCGTAAAGGCTAAGATTCTGGAAAACAATTATATGGCAGTTTAAGAAATAGGGTTATTTTGTAGCTATTTGAATGGCCACCTATGCATATTATTCAGTGTCTTGCCCATAGGTTATGTTATACCAGTTGCTTGTTGTCACAGTCTGGCCCAGTCTCCCTCTTGGGACTGATACTATCTGTTATGAGTGGACCCAACTGCTGTATCCCATGTGTTTCTAAACTCCCCGCATTTGGGTAGTGACTAGTCACTTCTCTAAGTTACAGATCTTTGAAAAACAATAAAATCTTGAATGCAGCTCCCCAAGTCTGATCTCACGCCTCCTGGGAGTCCTGGGTTTGGTCAGCATCCTTAGGCTTCTCCTCTTAGCCTGTTTTACCCTCCCCCCACCGCCATGTTGTGGAATTCTAGCCTCTTGCTCTGAGAAGCAGCCATCTTGTAAAACTCTGGCCCTCTTGGTTACCTTTGTGCTTTCACTGGAGAAGTTCCTGGCTCCAGCCCCACCTCCATCGGCTTCTGTGTAGAGAGTCGAAGTCAAACGCCCTATGGATAGAAAACCCCTAGTTCTACTAGGGAAGACTCATTCCATGTTGATGGATCTAGATTGTTTTGTGCTGGTTTCTCAGACTACTTAAACATGCCACTAGGTATCAAGCCCTCTTTCCAAAATGGATGTTCTTCACAAAGGAGGTTGCAATACCATATGAGGGTCACCACAGGCATCGGCTTGCTCTGGGCCCCGGGGGTGCTCAAACCCCCACTTCGCCCAGGCCCCACCCCCACCCCATCCCTTCTCCCAAGCCCCCACCCCCGCCCGCTTCTTCCTGCCCCTCCTCTTCCCACCCAGTTTCACCCCCTCCCGCGAGCATGCCTTCTTCCCACTCCTCCCCTCCTCCCAGCATCTCCTGCACGCTGTGAAACAGCTGACTGCGATGGGTGGGAGGTGCTGGGAGGGAGGGGGAAGAGTTGGTTGGCAGAGCTGGGCAATGGATGGGAAGCACTGGGAGGTTGGTGTTGGTGGGAGCTGTCTGCCAGTGGGTGCTAAGTACCCACTAGTTTTTTTCCGTGGGTTCTAAAGCCTAGAGCACCCATGGGGTAGGTGCCTCTGAGGGATACACCCGAAAATGAAAGTTACAGTCAAAATGGCATTCACAAAACAAGATGGAGTTCGCAGTTTGACCCAAACATACTGCTCCCACCCCCTCAATCTGTCACACTAGTAATAAAGGTAAATTACAAAGGAATTTTTAAAAAAGATATATGCCATTTCCTTCTTCTTGATGATGTGTAAAGTGTCTGTAAGGATTTTTGTTTTGTTGTTATTACTGAGAGTTTTAGTTTGAGTCAGTTAGGGAGAGTTTCTAGTTTTGGATGTTGGTCCAAAATAGATGGATTTTTATTAATTAATATTGCAGATGTGCCCAGATTTATGTGCATTTTAAATAAATGGAAAGAAATACAAAAATGATTGCTAGCCTTAAAAAAATACGATTGTATCTTGCAGACTTCAGGATCTTTTGATTGATTACAAAAAGTTTGTAAATGGAATTCCTGCTATTCTGGAACCACTGATGAAACCATTTATGGAGCAAATTGAGGAAGCCCTTACTCCAGGCCTGACACAGTTATCATGGACTTCTTCAAACATTGACAAATGTATGGACCTTTGTTATTTCTATGCGAATCGTAGAGTCATAGCATTTGCAAATGGAAAGACCTATTAAGTCTTCTGGTTCATCTCACTGTCAGTAAAACGTGGTTCTCTGCAGCGCACTCTCTAGTTTTTTCCAGTTTGCTTTTACATGTTGTGAGTGATGGTTAGCGTACGTGTACACAAAGTAAAATATTTTACATTTGTTTGATTGTAAATGTGATGACATTTTAGTTATATTTATATGGATTGTGCTAGGTGGGCACAGACATGAATGGGGTGGTGCTTTGCCTCATGGCTCTGTGGGGACTCGGTCAATGATTGTTCCTCAGGGAAGATCAGTCCCTTCCTGAGCTCCCAGGAAAGCAGGGTCAGTGTGGATAAGGGATGGAGCCATTGCCCTGAGTTCTCTCAACCTTCTCTGAGGTGATGTATGCATACCCAATGTTGTCTAGAGGGAGCTGTCCCTGTTCTTCCTTAAATAGATGAACTGCAACTGTCCCTGACCCTTTTACAGGATTCAGAAGAGAGGGAGGAAAACTCCTTGCTCAAACACAGCCATGCATCTGTGGAAAGGCCAGTCACAATCTGCGCCATACTATTTACATTAATAGAAAGAGGGATTATTGTTCAAAATAAAGCAGTCAGGGATACAAACTTGTAGAAAAAATTATTCCTTGTACCATGAGAGTCTTACTTTGGAGAAGAAAATTCTAGTCTTTTACAAAAATAGTCAGCAGGAAGTTTTAAAAAATATTTTAATTTGCTGACATTACTGTTATTCATACATTGTTATCTGTACAGCATTCAAAGTAAATCTGGGTAGATTGGAATACTAAATAAAAAGATGTTGATCCCAAACATCCATATCAATAGATCAGTACAGTTGCCACCACCCATTATATCATAAATCCAGGTTTTAAAATCCATCCTTGGTAATATAATGATAATATGATAATAATAGTAAGGACACACCCTATCATTGCCACAACTACCATACTCCACAGTGCAGGTACTGTCACCTTCATTCAGACCCCCCTTCTCCCTCTCCTGCACTCCCCTTTAGCAGATTATTTTCCTCCTATCACTGGATGCTTGGAGACTAGTTTGTGTTGGAAGAAGGTAGTTTGGTAAAGGGTTGTGTGTAGAAGGGCAATTAAAGGGTGTGATAGGATTTGGGATCTCTAGGGGGAAAGTTAAGGGTATGGTGCATGTTCTGTCATGTATGGTAGTGGTGGCAGTGGTAATGTATGTGTCTGTAGGTGAAGGAGAAGAGTGTACGTATTATTATGTGGCTTAACTTTTCATTTCCTTTTTTATGTAGGTTTGTGTCATGTATCTTTTATATGTATAGCAACCCTAATGGCTTCCCAATGAATTTTTTGTTTATTAATTTAATGTTTATTTAACCATATGGCAGTTTCATGATTTGGGGCCAGGGGAGTACAAATCCGTAGGGTTTGAAGTACAGCGGCTGAAGGAGAATATTTGGTCGGTAAACCACTGCCCATGAAACAGTCACCATTGTAGGTAACAATCTGACAGGAAATTGTAGGTTATGATGGAAATTTTATATGTCCAGCCCCATCAGTCAGGCCTGGATGTGCCTGCCCCATCTATCCAGATTACGTGCACAATGTGTGAATTTCAATTTACAATGTGAATAAAAAGTTTCAGTGGAGAGAGGTAAATAGCAGGGTCCCTTAAGGACCTGTACTGGGACCTGTGCAGTTCAACATATTCATAAATGAATTTGGCAAAATTTGCAGATGATTCAAAATTAATTGGATAAGTCCAAAGCTGACTGCGATGAGTTACAAAGGGATTTCACTAAATTGACAACAAAATTTGGGCAACAAAATGACAGATGAATTCAGTGTTAAGTGCAAAGTAATGTACATTGGAAAACATAATCCCAACTATACGTACAAAATGCTGGGATCTAAATTAATTGTTACCACTCAAGAAAGAGACCTTGGATAGTTCTCTGAAAACGTGCTCAGTGTGTAGCGGCAGTTAAAAAAAGCTAACAGAATGTCAGGAACCATTAGGAAAGAAATAGATAATAAAACAGTATATATCATAGTACATTCACACCTTCAATACTGCAAACAGTTCTGGTCACCCCACCTCAAAATATACAGTAGAATTGGAAAAGGTGCAGAGAAGGGCAACAAAAATTATTAGGAGTATGGAACAGCTTCCATATTGAGGAGAGATTAAAAAGACTGGTGCTGTTCGTCTTAGAAAAGAGATGATTAAGGAGGGATATGATAGTGGTCTATAAATCATGAATGGTGTAGAGAAAGTGAATAGTGAAGTGTTATTTACCTCTTCACATAACATAAGAACCAGGTGAAATGAAGAGGCAGCAGGTTTAAAACAAACAAAAGTACTTCTTCACACAATGCACAGTCAACCTGTAGAAATCGTTGCCATGGGATGTTCTGAAGGCCAAAGTACAACCAGGTTAAAAAAAATAATTGGATACTTTCATGCAGGATAGGTCCATCAATGGCTATTAGCCAAGTTGGTTAGAGACACAACCCCATGATTTAGGTGTTCCTAAACCTCCAACTAGCCAAAAGCTGGGACTACATGACAGGGGCTGGATCACTCAGAATTCCCTCTGAAGCATCTGGGTCTGGCCATTGTCAGAAAACCGGATATTGGGCTAGATGGACCATTGGTCTGACCCATTGTGGCTGTTCTTATTATTATCATCATTATGGCAAATCTCAAAGGGACGTAGCCTCCTTTCAGATCAAGTACTGATCTCTGGCTACATCCTTAAGACATACTGGTTGGATGTTCTCTGCAAGTCCATCTCTGACAATCTTATTGCACCACTGAAGCCTGTGTACCCATGTGATCACTGACCATTCCTGGGTAAATGAAAACTAAAAATGACCCAAAATTCAAATTTAAAACAAACAAATCCTGACCAGTTTCACCAGATCGATTCAGGATCCACCTGTCTGTGACGTAGCAGCCTAATTCCCATTTTCAAAAGAGATTTTGGAGCCTTTAGAAAGAATCCTTCAGATGGGATGTGTCAGGTTGTGTAACCTACATGCCCCTGCAGTAATTTAGACTACCTTACACTGATCTGAAGAAAAGCTCTGTGTAAGCTCGAAAGCTTGTCTCTTTCACCAGCAAAAGTTGATCCAATAAAACAGAGGTGGGCAAAAATTTTGGCCTGAGGGCCACATCTGGTTATGGAAATTGTATGGCAGGTCATGAATGCTCATGAAATTGGGAGTTGGGAGGGAGTGAGGGCTCTGCCTGGGGGTGCGGGCTCTGGGATGGGGCCAGAAATGAGGAGTTCAGGGTGCGGGAGGGGGCTCCAGGCTGGGCAGGGGGTTGCAGTGCGGGGGGGGGGCGGTGAGGGCTCTGGCTGGGGGTGCAGACTCTGGGGTGGGGCTGGAGATGATGGGTTTGGGGTACAGGAGGGTGCTCCGGGCTGGGACCTAAGGGTTTGCAGGGTGGGAGGGAGTTCAGGGCTGGGGCAGGGGGTTGGGGCATGGGAGGAGGTCAGTGGTGCAGTCTCCGGGTGGTGCTTACCTCAAGCAGCTCCTGGAAGTAGCAGCATGTCCCCCCTCCAGCTCCGGCACAGCCAAATGAGTCTGTGCTCTGCCCCGTCTGCAGGCCCCTGCAGCTCCCAAAAGCAGCGGCATGTCTACTCTCTGGCTCCTATGTGGAGACACGTCCAGGTGGCTCTGCACACTGCCCCATCCTCTGGCGCCACCTCCACAGCTCCTAGAAGCAGCGGCATGTCCCCCCTCTGGCTCCTACACAGAGATGCAGTGGTGGCCAGATGGCTCTGCATGCTGCCCTGTCCACAGGTGCCACCCCTGCAGCTTCCATTGGTCGCAGTTCCAGGCCAAAGGGAACTGCAGAGCTGGTGATTGGGGTGGGGGCAGCATGCGGAGCTCCCTGGCTGCCCCTATGTGTAGGAGTGGTAGGGGGGACATGCCTCTGCTTCCAGGAGCTGCGCGGAGCCACAGCACATGCAGAGTGGAGCAAGTCCCTGACCCTGCTCCCCGGGGGGAGCTGTACTTTGCTCACCCCTGCAATAAAAGATATGACCTCACCCATCTTGTCTCTCTACCTTACACTGTCAAACTCCTTAAGACCTACTAAAACCTGTTCTCCCAACGTACATAGGTGCAGTTATTTGCTGAAGAGCCTGAGAAAGTTGTAAATTAAAATAGCTCCCACCCTGAAAAGTACTCCTCACCCTTTTCCTCCTTAAAGATGTTGTTTACTATTATGAAATAATGCACGTACAGCAGTATCACACAGATTAAAACAAGTCTTTCCAATCAAGGTTACTATGGCTTTTGGAAAATGTTGTAAACCATTCAAATATATAGATCAATTTCTGCTCTTAATTACACCAGTGTTAATCCAGAGTAATTTCACTGAAGTTGCAGTGAAGTCAATGGAGTTACTTGAGAGTTATACCAGTGTAACTCAGAGAAGAATTTGGCCTGTTCATCTGACACTATATAGCTGGCATACACAATCCTTTATTGGCGTATAGATTCTCTAGGGCCTCAAATTTCTTGTTTTCTCACAAGTTTTTAGCTAGTACCTGGCAATTTGTGTACAGTTATGTAAACTACTTATTATAGAGTCTAAGCCCATTTTAATTGTATGTATCTTCATGTACTGAGTTTAAACTAACTGTCCAAGTTTCGTTTTTAAAATTAGAGTAACAATTTGTTGTTTTTATAAGTTTGCTTCATTCACCCCTATTAGCATTATTTTGATCTTTCTTTTAACTGATTTACCACTTAAGGAAGCTATTAAGAGTTTTGTCACATGCCTTTATTATGATATTATTTCTCTGTGAAAAGTATGCTGATGGGCTGGCCCATTGAGATGAGGGAGATGATTACAACATGAGGCACAAATTTGAAATCGGGGTGGGAGTGAACTATCAGAAGAGAAGATCTCATTTTTTATTTAAAATGTTTTTTAATGTAGGCTGAGTATCTTTAAACATCATTGTCCACATTATAGTTTCTAGCCATTAAGTTATCTACATGGGGGTTTCTATCCAAATAGTAATTAAAAAATTAAATGTAAGTGTTCAGAACGTACCATGCACTGTACAAACCTAGCATGATGCACAACCCTTGCCTCAAAGAGCATGAAACTCATTAATAATACAGTAATGAGTGATCCAAATGCATAAATGTAAAGGCATTAGGAGGAATTAGTATGTTGCAATTCTACAATAAGCCAACAGGCTATGCTTATGGATCATTTTTCAGTGGAGACAGATTGGTATATGGCTTTACTTATGTTTTTTAAAATGCAAACAACAAGATAACACTAAACAGCAGCATGCTTTGTTTTACAATCTCAGCTCAAAGGATTTTTTGTTACTGGTTAGTACAGTAACATATCATTTATTAAGAAAGATGTTGCAAATATTATTTAAATTAAAATTAAACATTTGTTACTAACGCCCACCTCACTACCCAAAGGATGTTAATCCAGTGACTGCCCTCTTGAAACCTTACCGTTTGAACATTTGGAACGTAGTTTTTTACTGATGCTTTCAGCTCAAGTGGTCTGTGTGGTTCTTTGGGTCAGCTTTTTTTGTGGCAGCTTTTTTGTGTGTCTGTTGAACTAGTAGTTATAGCAGGGGTATGCGGGTGGCTGCTGCTGGGCTTCCTGTGGCTCTAAGGAACTAGAGATGGGGATTAGAGAACTAGAATCTTTCCTGGAAGCTCATGCTTTTCTTGAGTGAGGATGAAATGCTTTCTTTTTGTGTTTAGTTTGGTAGAAGTTAAATGGGGGTTTTAAAAGCATTAATTATCCAGTACATTTTGCACTGGTTCTTATAAAGTGCATCTTTTATTTCAATATTAATTAGATCATTTTAAGTCTTTCTTTCCCATTTCTCACAGTACAGAATCTCTTTACTAGAACTCTGCCATCCTGAGCTATTCTTAGGACAATTTTGGACCTCAAAATCAGCAAGCAGGATATGTCCCTTTAATAGTACCCCCTGCAAACCGATTAAAGGCCTCATCCTGCCAACTGCTGATTTTCATTTGTGAAGTGCTGAGTGCAGTCAACTCCAGTTGATTTAAATGAGAGTTAAAAGTACTTGTCCCCTTTCAGGTGTTGTACCTTTACAGAGTGGCAATTGTGAATTGCTCAATGTCATGGGGTGCTTCCCTTCAGCATGCCCCCTCGTTGCTCTGCAGGTGGATTGCATTCAGTCACATAGATGCTGGAACTAGGCATACCGGGGTTGCTGCTGCTTGAAGTGATTTCCATCAGATGCAGGGTTTACAGTTTGTTTCAATGGCTCTCAGCGCCCCCATCATACAAATGGTTCCAGCGCCCCTGCTCAGTCCTCTGGCTCAGAAGATTCAGCAAATAGCCTTCCCTTGGTGTCTGCCATGCTCTAAGGAAGGAGGCAGCATATATGCTGGTCCTCTTCCTTACAGCTCCTCCTCAATTGGTTGAGTGAGAGGGGAGCCTTGACCCATCCACACTGCAAGGGTCCCGATTGTAGACCCTTAAAGAAACAGTAGATGACTTGCTCCCAAACACTACTGATTCCTGGGGCATCTTCCTCTCTATCAAACCTTCTTATTTCCTAGGTCTTTGTATACATCAAAATGTCCCAAATCTTAAAGGGCCATTCCAGGTGATAGGGGTGGGTGGGCTGATCCCAAGACATCACTACCTGTAAGGGGGCTACCTGATTACACTCAGCATCTATATCTCTAGGTACTTATATGGTACTCATCACTTGTGTCTGGGCACTCTACAGTTGTGAATAAATTTATCCTCATAACACTCCAGTGAGGTAGGGAAATATCAATATATGTATTTTACAGATGAAGGACTGAGATGCAGAAGTTAGGCAAATTGCTGACATCTGTAAGAGAGGTGGGAGTTGAACCCAGATCTCCAGAATGTCAGTCCAGTGCTTGGGCTCCAAGACCATTCCATACCTCCACCACACACTGATGGGGAAGGAACTAGGTTCAGGTTAATTAATAACATCCAATTAAAAATAGAAGTGGGATTCCTAAAACACATCCAGAATATCCCAGAATTGTTTAGATGTGAATCATTACATAGGATTCATCCTAAAGTAGGACTTGAGAAACAAGGGGCAAAGGGGTTTAGGATTGCTTAATTTAAATGTATGCTGTGTAGTTAATGGACTGACTCATTTGTCCAATTTTTTCAGTAGGGAAGGTTAACCCTCATCTTGGTTCTGGATTCCAAAATTAATAAGTTAATACTGTAGGTTTTTTTGACAGTTAACACACACATAGTTCACTTTTGCTTGTGTACTCAATAACTGTCTGTTAAAAAGAGATGTTCATGGTAAATATGAGAGTTTTCTTGTTCAGTATTTTCCATTAAAAATATCAGTTTGCCCACTATCATCACATTTTGATATATCAGATACCTCAGCAATTCCTTCTTTCTTAGAACAGGAAATAATTTTGGCAATTCCAGTACCACTGTGTGGATAAACTATGCCTTTTTAATTATGACCGCTGTATGGTTATGAAGGGACATAGTGCGGTGATTGCACTGAATGTACTTTTATGTGATTTTATTTTTCCTCTTCTTCATTATCAAAAAATACAAAAGATTTATTAAAAACAAAAATATGTATAGTACTTAGTTGCAAATCAATGGTTTGTGGATTAGAGTGTTGGGAAGATAAATGTTTGAAAAAGATTGAAAAGTTAGAGGAAAACTCTACTCCCTGGTCTCTGAGACCATTATCTGGCATGATTTAGTACTCACAATGCTTGTAGAGGACTCATAAATTAGATAATAAATTTGTAAGAAGAAATTCAATGGCACAATCTACATACTAATTTGCCTTGAGGAATTTTCCCCATAAGATGATTTGGAAGATGAAATACTGAATTTCCCTGAATAGTTTAGATGGAATATGGAGCAGATCTGCTTTTTCCTAAAGTAGGTGTATGTGTGAAGGATGAAATAACTTTTCAATAGTAACATTCCTTTTATTTCTGGTATACTGTTATTGATCCTTTCCATTAGATACTGTCCTCTTTAATATAATATTTTTATAATACTAAATATTCCATTATGTCTTTTTCTTGCAAAACAATTGTATTTAAAGATTCAGATGCACAGAGACCCATTAGGTCTTTGGTTTCAGACTTTTAATTCAGTATGTCATCATTAATTAAGATTCACATTTAGAAAGATAACTCTTTTGTATTCTAATATAATATGATATTTTAAAAAGTGATTTCATGTGCTATATTTTGTATGTTCTCATTTTATTTTCTGTTTGCTTAGTCCTTGAGAAAGTTTATAATTCCCTAGAAGAAGTGGGATATATAGTCAAAGAAGCTTCTGACACTCTGGAATGCAGAATTGAAAGAATTCTGCAGGGTATGTCCGAAATTCCTCTTGTAACTCTGCCCGAAGATGAACCCATTGAAGTACCTGCTTTCCTGGAAAGGACAGAAAAACTTACTGCTGCAGCTGCTGAAACTCTCTCTCAGTAGGTCTACTCATGCGTGGTTTGTAGAGTCCATAATGGTAGGATTTAAAATTGTATGGTTAGCATTTTAATCTCTATTGTAACAAGACTGCTGGACCAAGTTGAACTCTTATTCTGAACTTTTAACAACAAAATCTATAGGCATCTTAAATGCAACAAAAATAAAGCATTTATACTATTTCACTCCTGTTTTGTTTGACTGATATTTACTCTCCTTTCCTTTGGTTAGAGAACTTTAGATCAGTCCATTATCTATGCAATGACAAGTAACATTGATTCTTAATGTTAACTAACTGATTTAGGACTAGAAGATAGACTCTTTCCCTCTCTAGGTGCTGCATATAATATTTTGCATTTTTACATTATCATGTAATACTTGTTCAGTTGTGTTCCACTGAGACATATCTAAGTGTGCTTTACATGTCAGAATGATTAAAGGCTGCCTCTCTTCTAGCGTACTATAATTTTTGTATGGTTTGGTCTGTACATCAAGTTAGCTTGCTGTATCATCCTGATAATCCCAACCTGGATGAAATGTGTGTCTATGATTGCTCACCAAAGCTAACCCCCACCCCCGCCGATCCTCTTTAAACAATCCAGGAGATCTAGTTGTACTGGATATACTGCAATCTTCAAAATAGGATGTTGATAATATCCCTAGGATACTTTAACATCCATTGGTTATTTTGTAGTACATCCAGGCAGTAGAAACGAACGAACTGAACAGTTTACGTGTATTTCTGCATTCCCCCTTTAATATAGTGTGTTCTGAAAACCAGAGTGGTAGTAGTCTCTTCTCTTTTGGGCACCCCATTTCTTTTGTGGGTGGTTATATTCTGAAATCCATAACGTTCGTTTGTAGACAAAGCCAGCAAGTGGAACGTTCCATGTATGAATTGATAGACATTCTGAAGCACAGATTGAAACCGGAAGACAAAAGCAATATGCAGGTAAGATCTAAAATGTAAATAATTATGAAGCATTTCTTAAGCCGCTTATATTTCATTTATTAAATATGAATTATTTGGAGCCTTTTTATTTTTTGTTTGCTGTTTCACTGTGACTTTTCAGGATTCATTTGCCTGTGGACATCTTGATATGAAACAGAAAACACGCTGCCAGGAATGTCTGTCCTGTAGTTACTATAACCTGATGGGGCAGCTTTGCCAGAAAAATACTGACTCTCTAGTTAAATGTAGGTTTTTCATTTTAAACTATACTTATTTTTATAATATTTTAAAGATTTCTGAACTTGTGGTCACAACTATAATTTTTCTAAAATGTGCATTTATCTAGGCACCAGGATTTCTTTAGATGCTTTAAGGCGTCGCTTACATGTTCTCAACTCTAAATATCAGATGACCAAGTTCATAAAGGATCAAAGAGTTCCGTTATTCAAAGCTGAAATTCAATTGGCCATTCCAAATGTTGTCTTGAGGCCAAGTCTTGATGATATTCAGGTAACATCAACAAAAAATAAATGCACATCACAATCGTTCTTGGTATCACATACTTATGTAAATAAGTTGTTTTTTTTAAAAATAAGGTGTGTCTATTGAACCTCAGATAAGAATAGAACTGAGAAAAATAGGACTACATTTAAAAAAAAAATCAATGGTACACAAGATGGCATCTTGAGAAATTAGATAACTGGAGCCATCCATCAAGATGTTATACTGGCCAATAAAAACAATAATTCTACTGGAAATGTAACACCTCCCATCTATAATCCTCTACTTTAAAAAAGAAAACTTTTCAAAGAGGGTGTGCAAACCAAAGAAGTTGAATTTAAAGCCATCAGTAAAAACTTCGGCTGCTCCCATTACTTACAACTCCTGAAGAATATTCAGTGACCATATAAGTGTGAAATAATAGCTATATATCAAAAAGAAAAGTACTTGTGGCACCTTAGAGACTAATCAATTTATTTGAGCATAAGCTTTCGTGAGCTACAGCTCACTTCATCGGATGCATTCAGTAATGAAGTGAGCTGTAGCTCATGAAAGCTTATGCTCAAATAAATTGGTTAGTCTCTAAGGTGCCACAAGTACTCCTTTTCTTTTTGCGAATACAGACTAACACGGCTGCTACTCTGAAAGCTATATATCAGTTGCCACACAATGAGGCTCTGATTTAGTGACACACTTAAGAACAGTCTTAGGTTTAAGCATATGAGTAATCCTATTTTATGTCATCAAAACATTTAAGCACATGCTTAAAAATCAACTGCTATGTGAATCATTTTACACGGATTCCAAAAGCAATTGGTTATAACGTGACTGGCAGCCTAGCAACATTTTGATCTGCCACTCCCTAAATCAATCTTAGAATTCTCAGTCAGATTTAATTTGCAGCCTGTGTGGTCTGTGAACAAGAAGTCAGACAATAAGAATTAAATTTAAATACTGTAGATAGAAAGGGTTGTGTGATGCCATCATTTGTACAGCTACAAATGTATGTAACTAGAGTAAATAAATGTATAAAGGCACTCTGATGGTTGTGAAATAAGATTAAATTAATTCTGTTAACTGCCTCTGTTTATTCCTCTTTAAACAGGATATAATATAATAATTAAACCACAATGTGCTATGAGGTATAATCAATGTTTGTAAAGCTCTTTAAAATCCTTGGATGAAAGGCATGTAGAAGTGTAAGGATTATTAGTATGTGGTTTAATCCATGTTTAAATTAGATGATTTTTTAAATCCGGTTTAACTTTGTGCTGTTGTGGATAGGATGTTATGGAACACCCTTTTGCTTTCTCAAAGTATATGAATTATTTGGGGTGCCCTATAATATATCACTTACTAGAATATAGCATTGCTAAGTGGATGAATGTAAAGATGAGAGGTGTGTTCTTCAACTTTGCTATTAATCAGGCTGTTTTTTTTGAAGCGAGGACTGACCTTTGTTTAAGGTGAATGTTTTACTCTTTTCAGAATGCTGTAAACAAAGCAGTAAATATCATATTATCGATGGCCAGAAATATACCACTGTGGAAGTTTGCTCATTTACATCATAGACAGCAGCAGGTAGAGTACTTTTTAAAATTTAAACTGCTTAGAATGTTAAAAAAGAATGGTTAAAGAAACTAAATAGTTAGGAAGAAAAGGAGGACTTGTGGCACCTTAGAGACTAACAAATTTATTTGAGCATAAGCTTTTGTGAGCTACAGCTCACTTCATCGGCTGCATCCCCACTGTATTTTCCACTGAATGCATCCGATGAAGTGAGCTGTAGCTCACGAAAGTTTATGCTCAGATAAATTTGTTAGTCTCTAAGGTGCCGCAAGTACTCCTGTTCTTTTTGCGGATACAGACTAACATGGCTGCTACTCTGAAACCTGACATTTTTGGTTTGCAAGTCTGTATATAACAGGGACAGGGAAAGGAAAAGCAGGTTTCAGATAAGTTGATTCAGGAAACATGGACAATTTTCAAAGGCATGCTTCTTTCAAACCTAATGCTCAATCTGTGTCAGAAATGAGTCTGAACACTTGAGCTGAACAATGAGTCCAATGGGTCACAGGGACGCTAACCCATGTATGCCTGTGACAAAGTAAAGGCTCAGTCAGCATAACAGGATGCTGTCCCCTAGGCCAATACAAAGATGCCCCTCCTAGGACTACTTCTTTTATACATTAGAACAAACAAGTTACATATTACACTCCAGATGTTGTTAGTTGCCACCCTTATACCTGCTAGTTTGAACAAAACATCCTTATCCATTATCCTGTCATTCCATCCTTATCTGTAGGAGGGGTCAGTGTGTTCTTATACCATCTCTTAGGAATGTGTTAACATAGTTACTTGAGAGATCTGTGTGGTTTTGCGCCATCCTGTCTGGTCAGGAATGTGCTTATCTGGTGTTAGCTTATACCTAGTGTGTTACTGTTGTGCCAGCACCAGCTCTACTTTGGTTCGCAGCCTTTGGTTCACACTGTTAGTTATGCCTAGGGCTCCAGCAAGGTTTGCAGACGGAAGACATTTCTCCACTGGACAGTGGAAATCATGTTCTTTCTAGCCTCGTTAATACATACAGTAAGGGGTGTGTGTGTGTGTGTGTGTGTGTTTTTAAATACTGGTGCTACTACTGGAATATCTAGGGGTTTGGGACCTGCAGTGTCATGCCTCAGCTGTATCAGGTTGAAAGTCAAAGGAAAAACTCTATCAGATTGAGGGTTGTCCAAATAAATTCTCTATCGTTGTGACCATCAAAGAGGGGAAGGAGCTGGCTCTAATTCCAAGAAAGGGAAAGAGAAAATGCTTCATTTCCAAGCTAGTTCTCTGAAAAGTGGCTTTGTAAAAATGGTTCCTTTTTATTTGGCAGATCTGTTCCATGTGTAGTTAGTGATATCTGCAGATTTCAATGACAAAAATAAAGGATTTACTGCTTTTTCCTTCTCTTAACCCTACATCATGAAAACAGCTAAGAGAGAGGGAGTAGGGTTCAATTTCTCCTTATGCATCATCAGAACAGAATTGTTTACTATGTTCCAGTTACCCCTCTGCAGCTTACAGAAGCTTGTATGTGCAAGAAGGAAAAAACTCAGCTTTGCTCTCAGAGCCCAGACAGGAACTGCAGGGCTGGCAGTTTAGGAGACTCCCGCCCCTACAATATTACTCGTAAATGCCGCAGATTTGATATAGAAATCATTGAGAGACAAACATGGAATCCCACAAAAACCATTTTTACAAAGTCACCTTTAAGAATAGAATTATAATTCAGTGACATGAGCCAAACTAAGAGCAAGTGGTTATTCATGAAGGGTGTTTTTCTTTTGTTTTTATCTGTGCTCATAAGTTGCTCATTCTTGTTGTAGAATGTTCAGTAAAACTACTGGACACAGGTTTACTGTTGTTTCATTTGTGTCAGATGGAACAGACTGCTGCCACAGAGCTGGGTGATGAGAGCAAACTCACCAAGATGGTGGCATTGAGACCTTTGGACAAACAGATCAGTGAACATAAGGATGTGAACAAAGCTATGATCCAGCTTACCACAGTAATTTTATCTCTTAAAACTGATGCAGCGGATATTTTGAAGAGCTTTGCTAAATTCTCCAGCATCTGGAATCAGGTTAAATAGATACATTAATATATCTCACTTTATTGCAAAATATGCTACTTTTTACTGGGTAGAGTGATCTACTTTTGGTTATATGAATAAATTGTGTTTCCTGTAAATGTGGATAATTTTGACTGTTTCATGCTTTTTCCCCCTCAAACATTTTCTAGGAGCAATAGGTTTATTTTTTGTAGGTGTTTGCTAGATCTTAAGATTTTACAGTATAAAGTTGATACCTCAGTCCTAATACTTCCCTTCCTTTCTTACTGACTACATAAATGAGCACAATTCACTGATGAACTATGTCAGAAGAACAAGTGGTGAGGTAATATCTTTTATTGGTCAGAAGAAGATAGAAAAAACAAAACATTGGTAGCATAAAATCCACTTTGAATCTTTCTGACAACAGCAGAAGGACTTGCTACAGGAATGTACCTCAGCTGTATAGAAAGTGAAAAGAATCATCTTCTCCTCCACCATTGCCTCTGGGAAATCAGAGCCTGCAGAGATGTTCCAAAGAGTGAACTGGCTAATCCTCCCTGAATGCATAAATGAGACCTCAGACACAAGCACCAGCTGCTGCAAGGAGCTTTCATCCAACTTCACAGAAAGGATAAACTGCATACAGGAAAAACAAGCCAGGACTGAAGATTTTAAAACAGAACAGAGTCCAGGATGGTGGATGGGATTTTGCTCTGAGTTTGGCCCCATCAATGGCTTAGCAAGTAATAACTTGTGACATAGATCTGGGAAGCTCCTGATTAGTAAAACCAGTGCAGAGAAGCATATATTATCAGTGCCTCCTTTAGTGCTTCATGCTAAAGAACCCTTCATGCTAAAGAATGAGAGAGTCTGTCTGGTCCTTGCACATGATGAATGCTATCTCTCTAACTATTGGCTGTTTCCAACCTCCCCTCCTAAGCAAAATCATAGAGTACATTGTGACAAACAAGCTCCAACAGTCTATGGCATCTGCTGACTTTCTGGATCATTCACAATCAGTCAGACTTCAGACCAGGGATTGCCATTGAGACCACTCTGAAAGCCCCAACGGGGAGATACCTCATGGCCATGAATAGGGGCTGAACCTCAGTGATTACCTAATCTTTCCTCAGCATTTGACAGAGTTGGCCACCGTTGCTGCTGGTGCACTTACAAGACTTGCGAGATCAAATGATATAGCACTGTAATGGTTTCAATCATGAAACCATTAAACAAATGGTTTCTCCAGTAATATCCCAAGAGTTGTGAATGGCAGCTGCTCTTCATCCACAAGAGCACTTATGTATAGAGTTCTGCAGGAATCAGTGCTGTCCTTCTTCCTCTTCAGTGTCTCTGTGAGGCCATTTGTGCAAATTGTGAGTTGCCATGGTCTCCGTAACCAACACTAGACAGGTGATACTCTGCTTTCTATCTCCTCAGCAGATGCAAAAAGTGTAATCACAAAGACTTCCCAATGCCAGCTACAGATTAGCACCTGCATGAAGATCAGATAGTTCAAAGTGAGCCTATACAAGACCAAAAATATATCTGGGTGTGAGGGTGGAGGTGAAACTGCAACTTCAACTTGTACAGAGCCCAACAGCCAGCCCCCATAGAAGCAGAACGTCCTGCCAGTGCCATTATTAGTATCTCCTCCCACCAAGCTACACTGTATGCTAAATGATCTGGTGCTAAATATGCCCTAGTCTGATATTAGTAGCTGTAAAGTGTAGGTAAAAAACATACAATTTCTGGGAGAAGGGACTGTTGATTCATTCAGCTACTGTTAGGCAGCTATGGAGTGTATTTTCAACTTCATGAAGATGTGCTAGGTGTTGGTGAATATGAATTTTTTGCAATGAGTGGGGATGGGTAGACTAAAAATTCCCACCATAGTTTTGGTCGCTTGATTTCAAACTCCATAGAAATATTTGGAGTGGTAACTGGAATCATGGTCTGTGTCAATTTCCTGCTGACAGATACAGAAAATGTGATTCAAAAGGGTAATGGGGAAAAGAAGAGAAGACAGAAAAACAAAGCAGTTGGAATGATTTAGAAAACTTAAATTAGATCTTAAACTCTTTGAGACAGAGACCATGTCTTCATTTATGTTTGAACAGCACCTAGTCCAATTGGGGTATAAGGAGGCTACTATAAATGTTAAACAATAATACACAATTCTCCATTTATATAGGATCCAGAGGAAAAAGTAAAAGAGTTTCTAGAGACTAACCCAGTGATGTCTGAATTCCAAACACAGATTAATTACTTTTCTGTAAGTATTGCCTAAAATTCTTCTGCTGTTCAGAGAAAAGTTATAGTGCAGTAAAGTTGATAATTTGTTTTATTCTTAGCAATTAGAAATCCAAATTAGAGAACTGCAAAGTCATTGCATATTGGAATCAGTGGATTTTGCAACTGAGTCTTTGAAAATGGCCTTAATTCAGGAATGTCGTTTGAGGCAGAGATCATTTGGATTAGCTTTAAAAAAAAAAGCTGCCATGGACATGGATGCAATTTACACATTCATTGACAATCTCAGCAAGCGATTAAACAGGCCAGTCAATGATCTTGATGATGTGCGAGGAGCAATGGAAGCACTAAAGGAAATAAGAGAGGCTGAGATTAAAATTGACATGACAATTGGACCTATAGAAGAATCTTATGCTCTGCTACATAAATATGATCTACTGTTTAAAGATGGAAATGCAGAAAGAGTTGATGGGTTGGCATATGCTTGGAAGAACCTAAACACACAGGTATTGTAGCTTTATCACTTCTAGAGTAGGCAAAGTACAGTCATTCTTGTCAGAATTTGTGCCACATGACTGGAGGAGAACCAGTTTATTTTAAACATTCACTTATTTCAAATCCTCCTGATTATTTTCACTTTTATGCCATATATTTACTTATGACAGGTATTGAAGATGCAGGACTTGCTGCTTGAAGTGCAACCATCCATGAAAACAGATTTACTGAATGGTGTTAAAAAGTTCCAGATTGATGCTGTGGAATTTTACACAGACTATAATGAAAAGTGAGTGAATCATGGTGCAGTACAACATTATGTTACATTGGTAATTGTTCCAGAATGGTACATCTAAGGTGTCTTCAGGAAACTAACAAGAGGCTGCAAGAAGCACATTACAGCTGAAAGAAATACATAATTTCAAAAAGTACAATTTTTTCCCAATATGTTTGACAGTTAAAGGTGTGGGTTGGGCAAATACTATTATTGCCATAGATTCATTTAAGTAATTTCAGTATAAGATTCAAGTCTGAAATGTCAGATGAATTAATTAGGATTGGAAAACATAAGAATCAACCAGAACCTCAGCCCAGATCTCAAGTCAAACTGTTCTAAGGTCCTGATCCAGCAAAGCATTTAAGCATGTGCTTAATTTTAAATGTGTGAATAGTCCCTTTGAAGTCAATGGAGATTCAGGCCTGCTGAATACCATTATCCAGTGCTCTGAGCCATCCAAGTTTACAGTTAGGGGCAAAAATCATATACCTTCATTGTATTTACTTGATTGTTTAATTTTGTCTCTGGCACTAACTGTTGTAATCTTCTCCACTGAGTGTTGATTGCTATCTATTGTAGTGATTTTTCCCTTCATAGAATATCAGGGCTGGAAGGGACCTCAGGAGGTCATCTAGTCCAACCCCCTGCTCAAAGCAGGACCAATACCCAACTAAATCATCCCAGCCAGGGATTTGTCAAGCCTGACCTTAAAAATATCTAAGGACGGAGTTTCCACCACCTCCCTTGTTTCATGAAGAGTGAAAGTGAAAATCTCATTAATTAAAATATATGTTTAAAAACAAAATTAATGCAATAGAAACAAAACAAAATGATTGTTGAACTTTTTGTTCTTGTTAACTTCAGATGCTGGCAGTTGGGCGAGTTGTGTCACCAAAAATGTAGGAAAGGCCCTTAGGAAAGACCAACATCTGATGTCAAAACAATTATATTTTTGGTCTCTCTTCTCAGATCTTTTGTGATAAACGTCAATTATCAGAAAAAAATCCCTTATGTTTAAAAAATATTTCATAGTGTGGCGCTAGGAGAGTTTTCCATTTCTTTAAACAGTACCTCTATTATGCTCTTTGGAAAACCTGCAAAATTGGTATTACTGTATATGTGAATTTGACTATGTTGATTTTTGCAGAGGCCCTGGTGTGGAAGACATTCCTCCCTGGGAAGCAAGTGATAGATTACAAGTCTTCCAAGCCAAGTTTGATGAACTGTGGAGAAAGTATATCACTTTTTCTGGTGGGGAAGAATTATTTGGTCTTTCTGTCACAGGTAATGATGCCACAGTTGGAGTTCAAAACGTCACAAAATAAATGTCAAGCAAATAATATTAGCCAAGTGTTCGTGTGGTTGCTGTCTGGCTGGCAGCTTTGTCCATTAAGGTTTGGGTCTTAGTTGTAAAAAGGGCTAATCAGATATTGTCACAGGGATATCATCTCAACATTTGCTTTTGTAATCTGGAGGTCTAAACAAATAGCTGGAGAAATTAAAACGTTATGGATTTTAATTAACTCTATTATAGGCATCTCCAACAAATCTGTGGCAACTTAGGACCTCAATATGACAACAAAATAGACCTCAGGTACTTCTGCTTCAAAAGCACGAACTAAAATCAAAGGAAAATTATAGCAGTTGCAGCAGTTTGTATCCAATACCAAACTGGTCCCCTGTTGCCCAAGGGCTGGAGGTGACATATGTAAAGGTATTTAGGCACTTAAAGATGCAAATAGGTACCTACTGGGGTTTTCAAAAGTGCCTAGGTGCTTTTGAAATCCCACTAAGCGCCTATCTGCATCTTTAGGTGCCCAAATACCTTTACAAATCTGGCCCTGGGTTACTGCAAAGGTGACTTCCTCCGGTGCACAAAGAGGCATTGTGACACATCTGAAGATCTGGGTCAACATCCTCAAAGGAATCTTTTATTTGCAGTTACAGATGATTTAGACAATCCTGTGCAGAAATGAGTTTAACCATAGATTCTACCTGACATAAAGAAGAAAGCTTTTTTGAGAAATGGAGCTCTGAAGGAGATGCAACATGACAAATTCTTGTTAATGTAAGGGTATGTCTGCACTGCAGTTAAACAAACACAGCTGGCCTGTGTCAGCTGACTCGGGCTTGCAGGACTTAAGTTACTGGGCTGTTTAATTGCTGTGTAGATGATTGGGCTTGTCTGCGCGGTCCCAGAGCATGTTCTCTGGCCTGAGCCCAAACATCTTCACAGCAACTAAACAGCCTCTTAGCCCAAGTCCCGTGAACCTGAATCAGCTGACAGAGGCCACACCTGGGTGTTGAATTGCAGTGTAGACATACCCATAGTGACCGCATCCAGGAGACAGTGTGCATGCTATTGAAGATTGGAAAGGCATCTTGCACGTAGAACCTGAGCTTCTGTCTCTGTTACGCTTTGGTGACACTTTTAGAGTAGATTGTCTTATCAGTCCAGTATTAATGAATTGAAATAAAAATTTTTTGAATTGAGTGTGGTACTAAGGTGTCTGTGGTCCCTGTGTGAGTGGGCATGGTTAATATGAGTACATGGTTAATATGAGTATGTGTGAGTGTAGGCCTAGGGGCTGGCAGAGGTGATGAGGGCAAGGTCGTTAAAAACAACAGGGGGTAGGGTTAGAAATAAGGGACAGTGAGCTCTGACAGGAAGGGATGGGGCTACAGAAAATTATGTCAGGGATAGGTTCTCTGGGAGATGGGGTCCAGCAAGGCTCTGGACCAAAGAGGAGACGTTGACACCTTATCCGTAATGCTGTAAATCCTGATAGTGATACTGGTAAATGCTTTCAGTGTCAGCTTCATTGTAGTAAAATATGTTCCTTGTCTAGAGTAAAGTGCCTTCCCCAACAAATGCTTTGGTTTAAATTAAAGTTATGACCAAAATGTAATAAATACCTTATTTTGTAAATATTCAATTTAGTGCTTTCCCTATGAGACATCAGAAATATATATACATACCTATCCTCTTTTTGGTGGTTCATGGTGTGAAAGCTTTTCCATTACAAGGACATCTGTATTTTACTATGCCACAATTCCATAGGAGGAGGGGGTCATTTTAATAATAATGTGCAATACAAAGTCTAGCTATTAACAATAAGTAATAAATTAATTTGTTGCTCTGTTTAAAATGTAGATCCTTTACTGAGGCATTAAGTAAGCAGGTCGAGGGATCTCTAGGAAGTTGGCATTTTGTCATAAGATGAATCTTTTTAATAATTTCCTCCCAAAACTGTTTCATTTCTGGACACAACCACCTTTCCCTGCAACCTTCCAGCAGAGCGCCTCCCTAGTAGCAAAAATGTGATGGATCTCAACTGAACTCCAGTGCCATCTAGACAGTAATTTATAAACATTTTCATTATGAGCTACACTAATTAAAAATGTTTATCCCCTTTCCCATATAGAGACCCACTCATCCATACCCATTTCTTTGTCCTAATCCCTCACCCATCTTTTCATCTAGGTTATTATCAACATTGTTTTCAATCAAAATTGTTCAGTTTCAGAGTAGCAGCCATGTTATCCGCAAAAAGAAGAGGAGTACTTGTGGCACCTTAGAGACTAACAAATTTGTGAATGAAAAGTGTGTATATTTTAGGATTTAAACCATTTGTTCCAGCTTGCTCCTGGGTCAACTCCTCAAATGTTATTAAAAGTCTATATAGAGCAACCTCATCGGTGTTCAGAAATTTGGTCACCCTTTTTTTTTAGCAAACTCAGAGGAGACGGGCTTTCCATGGAGCAAGCCAGAATCTTTAGTCAGGTTCTTTGATTATTAAACTGATCCTGAGTAAGTAATGTACAATGAATAAGGCTAAGTTTTTGTCACTTTTATGTTTAATAAAAGTCATGGACAGGTCACGAGCAATAAACAAAAATTCACAGAAGCCCGTGATCTGTCTCTGACTTTCACTAAAAATATCCCTGACAAAAGGGAGAGGCAGGTTCAGCTTTCACTGCTGCTGGGGCTCCTGGGTCCCTCACTGCTGTGGGAGCTGCAGGATCTGCATGTGGATGATACCCAGCGCGGCTGGGCAGCTGCGGGGGCGGAGCTGGCTGGGAGCTCCAGCCCCAGGGCAGAAAATGTCACGGAGGTCAGTGGAAGTTATGGATTCTGTGACCTCCGTCACAATCGTAGCATTAACAATGAAGTATGCTAACATTTTATTGTAACTTTGACAAAAAAAAAAAAAAAGGAAAGGAAAGGAAGAAATGTGCCTGCAAATGGCAAGTTTGACATTTCTAAATTTTAACAATATATTTAGCTAGGGATCCCCAAAGCACTGTGATAAAATGAGTGATTTTTTTAAAAAATGGGGTCATTTCTAAATGCTTCTAACTTTTAACATATTTTATAGGATCACTTTAAATGTTAATATTAAATCTGTACCTCTTTTGTAACTGGTGCAAATTTGGGAAGAAAATATTTTAGTTTTCATATGAAATCGGTAGACTAAGTCTGCCTTCTTCAACACAAATTTAAGTACAAAGTCATGAGCTGTATCTTCATAATATGGCTAGGTTTATGATATAAAGAAGTGGTCATACACTGGCTGAAAACTGAGTAATTACTGTGGGCCAGACACTTTTGCTCAATGGGACTGTTTTTGGGACTATTTGAGGAGTATTCACTACTCAGTGTGAATAATGGTGTCAAAACCTGACCCTTTATGTTTATTAAAACTTCATTTTAAAAAGGCACAGATTATATTTTTCTGAAATAGTTTGAATCTAGTAGATAATAACAATTTGCTTCTTTTAAAATTTGGAACAGAATATCCAGAACTACAAAAAATAAAACGGGAGCTTACACTGCTTCAGAAACTTTATGGTCTTTACAATTCAGTTAATGCTAATATCAGTGGATACTATGAAATATTTTGGAGTGACTTGGACATTGAAAAAATTAACAGTGAGCTTCTGGATTTTCAAAACAGGTAAATGATTTAGTATACGTTGAAATGCATCAAAATTCTTCTCTCCCATCTTTCATTCATGAGAGCTGATCCTTTAGGGAATTTTTTCAGCATGCTTATATATTTCTAACTTTGGCCTTATCTAATATCCAAGAGGCAGAAATTTCAGGCAGAAGGAGGCAGAAAAAACAACACAGCTGCTGCATGAATATAAATACATTGAACACAATAAGGTGATAAGTAACAATCAGCATGGATTTGTCAAGAGCAAATAGTGTCAAACCAACCTGATAGCTTTCTTTGACAGGGTAACAAGCCTTGTGGATGGGGAGAAGTGGTAGATGTGATATATCTTGATTTTGATATGGTCTCACATGACCTTTTCATAAACAAACTAGGGAAATGTAACCTAGATGGAGCTACTATAAGGTGGGTGCATAATTGGTTGGAAAACTGTTATCTGTGGTTCATAGTTAAGTTGGAAGGGCATATTGAGTGAGGGTCCTGCAGGGATCAATTCTGGGTTTGGTTCTGTTCAGTATCTTCACCAATGATTTAGATTATGGCACAGAGAGTACGCTTATAACGTTTGCGGATGATACCCAACTGGGAAGGGTTGCAAGTGTTTTGGAGGATAGGATTAAAAGTCAAATGATCTGGACAAACTGGAGAAATGGTCTGCAGTAAATAGGATGAAATTCAATAAGGACAAATGCAAAGTACTCCACTTAGGAAGGAATGATCAGCTGCACACATACAAAATGGGAAATGACTGCCTAGATGGAGTACTGCGGAAAGGGATATGGGCGCCACATTGATGTGGACAAGTTGGACAATGTCCAGAGAAGAGAAACAAAAATGATTAAAAGTCTAGAAAACATGATCTTTGAGGGAAGATTGAAAAAATTGGGTTTGTTTAAGACTGAGAGGGGACATGATAAGTTTTCAAGTACATAAAAGGTTGTTGCAAGGAGGAGAGAGGTAAATTGTTCTCCTTAACTTCTGAGGATAGGACAAGAAGCAGTGTGCTTAAATTGCAGCAAGGGAGGTTTAGATTGGCGTGACAGGGTCCAGACTTCCCACCGCCAGCACCTCCCGCTAGTTGCTCCAGGAATTAGCTCTGTCCAGTCATGGAGCACCGTCTGTATGTGGTGTCTTGCCCATCATCTGCTCTGCTGCCTTGGGACCTGCGTTGCTCCCCGCCCGGCGGTGTCCTCTTCAGGACACTGCCCTCCAGCAGTGCCCACTACTCCAGTCTCACTCCCTTCTGGGTGGGGGGTGTTAACAGCAGACTTTGGGACTTGCACCTGCCTCAGTGGCCAACCACAACCCAAAATCTAGCCCTTTAGCTCAGGGGCAAGTTGCAGTCTTTATGGGCCACCGTCTTCCATGGTCATGTGCAGTATAAGGGGGGAAGGGGGGGGACCCGGCCCACCGGATACTCTTGAGTCCCGACCCAGGGACCCTCTAGCCGCAGTCTCTTTCTGCCCTCCTTCGTTCCCTTCTTGTCTGCCTATTCTTTCCTGGGCCACTTCCCCTTTGGCCTCGTGCACCTTCTTGGCCCTTGGTAGCAGGGTCTGCAGCCTCGCAGGTAATGGGGCTGGAGCTCTCCCCTGCTCCCCAGAGTCTGCCGAGCACTGCTCTGTCCAAGGTGCTGGCTCCTTGCTTCAGGAGCCTGTCCTTCTCCCTCGCTAGTCAGGGAGAGACTCCCTTCTTCTCTGCTAGGCAGTCTTTACATAGGGCCTCGCCCAGCCCTGATTGGCCCTCCACAGGCTTTTATTGATTGGCTGCCGTCTGCGCAGCCTCAAAAGGCCTGTTCCAGCCCTTTTCTCAGGGGGTGGGGCGACTGCCCGATCACAGTTGGACATTAGGAAAAACTTCTTTATTGTCAGAGTGGTTGAGCACTGGAATAAATTGCCCAGGGGGGTTGTGGAATCTCCATCATTCAAGATTTTTAAGAGTAGTTAGACAAACACCTATCAGGGATGGTATAGATAATACTTAGTTCTACCATGAGTAGAGGGGACTGGACTAGATGACCTCTTGAGGTCCCTTCCAGTTCTGAGAGTCTATGATTTTGTAATTGGGTCCTTCATTCGCAACCAAAATCTTTGAGCTTTTTAGGCAGAATTCTGTCAAGTGACTATCAATTTCTATACCCTCAGTTTTCCATTTTCTTTTATAGGAACCAAAGCCTTCCCCCTCTATTGAGATTGAGTAGCCAGGCTTGGTTCATAGGGATTCTTTGTGAGAGCTCAGAGGAGAAATATTTCCCACAGTCCATGGAACACAATAGAGCCATGAAGTGAAATCCTGACCCCACCGAAGTCAATGGGGATTTTGCCATTGACATCAGTAGGTCCAAGATTTCATCGAGGGAGTGGCCACAACTGAATCTATAAGACTGCAGTAACCCCTAGCACTCCTCCTCTGCAATATCTGGATCAATGGTTGGTGACTACAGCTACTGGCAGATCCACTAGATTTTCTCCTGCTTCTCCTCTGACCCATACCTGTTCTAACTCAAAATCCTGGTGTACAGTGGTATGGGCAGAGTTGCCAAAGAACTGAGATCTGTGAGAGTAAATGTGCGGACCCTATGTACAGGCTTCAGATATTCTGTTCCCCCATCGTCACAGCAGGGATTATGGCCCTGTAATGGGGTCGGACTCACCATAGCGGCGCCTCCTGCTGGTTGGTTAGGGAATTAGCTCTTTCAGCAGCATGCCTTCACTAGTGGTGTCTTGCCCTCCGTTACTTTCTTGGTTTCCACTATCCTCACAGTCGGACCCATGTCACTCCCAGACCGCAGTGTCCACTTCTGGACACTGCCCTCCGGTGGCTCACTGCAGTCCTCAGTCTAGTCCCTTCGTCCAAGGGCAAACTGCAGTCTGGCTTAGCCACTCTCACCACTGGCAAGTGGCGGTTAAAGGGGGACCCAGGCCCGCCCGCTACTCTGGGCCCTGACCCAGGGACCCTCTAGCGGCAGCCACTTACTGCCCTCCTACAACTCTCCTCCACTGCCTGCTTCCCCATAGCCCCAGCACCTTTTCTGCCCATTTGTGGCCCCAGTCTGGCAGTGGTCAACCTGGAGCTCTCCCAGCCTCTGCTCACCCTGCCCACCACTGCTGTGTCTTAGATGCTTCTCTAAGAGCCAGTTCTTCTTCCTTTGCTGTCCAGGGAAAGACTGTGCTCCTCTCTGCCCTGCAACCTTCTTATAGGGCCCAGCTTGGCCCCGATAGGCTGCTGTCAAGCCTTCTTCTGATTGGCTGGGTTCTGCGCAGCCGCTCCAAGGGCTGCTGTTGACCCTTTACCAGCCAGTGGGGGGCAGCTGCCCCGTCACAGATCCATAGTATGTTTTGCTGTTTATGGGATTATAAAATGTATAGCATAACCAAATTATGCACAGGGCGTCTGAAAAGCTAATGAAAGAGTTGCTCAAAACAGAAGGAGTTTTGTCTCAATCACCTAGTGGAAAAAAAATCATAGTCTTGTCTCTTTCTGGTCCCCTTCGGTCTTCGTCCACTCCTCTGTACCAGTCTTTTCTTGACCCCTTTGCACACTAGGCCTGATCCTTTTCCCACTGAGGTTGATCAAAGCAGAATCATGCCCGAGATCACTACTGTACATGTAAGAGCCTGTTCTTCTGCAGCTCCTGTCCTCTGCTTGTATCTCAGTGCTTTATCAACAGTCTGGGACAGATTCTGATCTCAGTTTTAGTGTAACTCCAGAATAATTTAACTGAAGTCACTGGTATTATTCAGGATTTAAGTAGATACAATTCAGATCAGAATCTGACCATCTGTCTCATCTTAAATCTCCAAAAATATAACCTGAGGAAAGCATGTCTTTGCTCAGGCTTCCAGTGAATATGACGTCTGGGGCATTTAGCCAGTTTGGCCAGGGCTGTGTCTGTACTCGCTTTGAAGTTGAGTGATGAATCTGCTTTTTTTATGTGAGTACCTTTCTCAGACCTGAAGAAGAGCTCTGTGTAAGCTCAAAAGCATGTCTCTTTCACCAGCAGAAGTTAGTCCAATAAAAGATACTACTTCACCCACCTTGTCTCTAATATCTTGGGCCCAACACAGCTACAGCTACACTGCAAACACCTTTAATATGGAAAAGATAAGTGATCCGGCTTTAAGTCATGCAAAGTATGTCCAAATATCAGAGTGATGGGGACCCTGTAAAATAACAATGCAAAATCATTTGGACTGCTCAAAAACCCATCCGTTTGCCCTCCAACTGTGAGGTCTCATATTGCTTGGAAAAATTGATATCTTTTGTGCATGTTTGCAAAAATGGGTTTATTTGTAAATTAATAATTAAGACCATGATCCTGTGAAAACTTTAACACTTGCATACTTTACACATGTGAGTAACCTCCTTGAAGTCAGTGGACTATTCAAATGTATAAAGCTACAGATACATGCTAAAATCTTTGCAGGATTGGGGCCTACATTTTGAGGAGGGAGGAAGAGAAACAATTTTCAAGTAGTTTTTCATTACCTTAAATTTTTTTCATACAGGTCAATGTCACAGTTCAGGGCAACTGCACCTCTATTTCCCCTCAGTGCTCCAGCAAGGGCACCCATGCTCAGGCTTCCAACTCCCCAGCTGTGGCCTCTCTTGGGTGGAGACACACATCCCTCTCTCTTCTGACCAGGGTATTTCCAGGCTGGAAGGTTGCCTGCCTTCACTGTGTAATTTACAGCACAGGCAGTCTGCCCAAACAGACCTGCTTACTTTCTCTTCGGAGATGGATAACAGTGTAATTGCTACATATATAAGTTACCACACAGGTCTTTCAAAGCAAGGCTACTTTATTTTTAAGGTAAAAAAACATTGCAGAGAAAACATAAAAAACAATAAAAGAACCTACATGCATGCTAATAAGCTTACTAGGCAGCACCCCATCGTAACGGTTTCTTTGTGATCACACATTTGTCAGAGCTTCATCTCAGAATGAGCCCACAGTCTTTCCAATCCCCTCCACAGACCAGGGGTCCTATCTATTTGTGGGATCAGGAAGAAGGTCCTGAGTCAGCCTAAACTCAAGCTTTTTATCCAAAAGTCTTTTCTTTGTCTGTTTGCCTCTGGAGAATCCAGTTTGAACTAGTATATCTGCACCTCTCTAGAGGGCCTTGAATGGCTGATCACTAAGGCCTGGTCTACACTGCGGGGGGGAGGGGAGTGTCGATCTAAGTTACGCAATTTCAGCTACATGAATAACATAGCTGAAGTCGACATACTTAGATCTACTTACCGCTGTGTCTTCACTGTGGTAAGTCGATGGCTGACACTCCCCCGTCAACTCCACCTATGCTTCTCGCTCTGGTGGAGAACCGGAGTTGACAGGAGAGTGCTCGGCAGTCGATTTATCATGCCTAGACTAGAGATGCAATAAATTGAACCCCGCTGGATCAATGGCTGACCATCAATCCTGCGCATAATGTAGACATGCCCTGAGGAAGTTCATCCCCCTTTGCTATACAATTCCAGAGTAGCACATTCACAATTTCATTTTGAATACAATGTACCACAACGGTGTTAACTCTAATTCAATGAGGTTTAATTTAACTCAGTAAAACTTATCTTAATTCCATAAGGTTTTTTCAGTATATTATGGGATGTTTTCACTCTGTCGCACTCAGGTGTTTTATTTACAGTCTTTTTTGTCCACAAATTGAAAGGTGAGATGATGATAACAGTTATAAAAGAACATGAATGATGGGTATGTCAAATCTGATATTCCATTCTCTTTTTAGAATTCGTAAATTGCCTAAGGCTCTGAAGGAATGGCAAGCTTTTCACGACCTAAAAAAGAAGATTGATGATTTTGCTGAGAGTTGTCCTTTGCTTGAAATGATGGCAAACAAAGTTAGTTCAATATGGTACTTTAAAGATAAGATTAACTTGATGATCAAAATAATGTTGTTATGTGTATAAGATGCTTTCAACCTTTCATTTTTAAAAGATCAAAGCAACTGTATGCATGGTAACATCTGATTAGGATTAGTTACAGACAACTAAAGACAAAATACTTCACAGCTTGACTAGATGAATGGTAATTCTTTTAATGGAATGAAGATTGAGACATTTCCCGATATTGAATTGTTTCAGTGGAAAATTGCATAATAATTTCCCCCCTAAAAATAATACTGATTTTAAAATGTTATTGTACTCTAATGCCTGTGGACTTTTCTAGGCAATGATGCCAAGACACTGGGAAAGAATTGCACAAGTAACTGGCCATAAGTTTGATGTCGTCTCTGAAAGTTTCTCTCTGAAGAACATAATGGATGCCTCATTGTTAAAATATAAGGAAGATATTGAGGTACACATTCTTCTTCTGTTGGCATTAAAGGCTAGCTTTGTGATCTGGGATTCTGCACTTTCAGAGTCCTCCATTCCTACATAGCTTAATAGTGCAAACAAATTTAACTTTGCTTGTTTAGTTCATTTGGAGAATGGAATTTGGCAGCTAGTTGTAGCTGAAATGGTTAGCTCACTTCCTTTGATCATGGAGCAATAGAAAAGTGGTTGGATGGATTAAAGCTAACACTTCTAAAGAGTTCTTTCTTCTTATTGTTTGTAAGGCTAATTTGAACTCTGGTTTTAGATGCTACTTATTGTAATTTTGTTTGCCTCTAGTCTCATGCAGGAGTAAGAGAAATTGGTCATTATAGGCCTGATCCTGTAAGGTGATGAGCAACCTCCACTCCCACTGAACTCTGTGAGAGTGGAGGGTGCTTGGCACTTTGCAGGATTGGGTGTTAGATTAATATATTGAGGGTGATTTGGGAGAATATTAAAGAAGAGCAAGAAATCCACTATTTCACAGGACCAGAAGAGGCTGGCAAACAAGTAGTCTTTTGTGATGTGCACCCAGTACAAATCTATTGCCTCTGTGTTTATTGGGCACGGTCACCCAGCAAATATGTTAGATTTACAAGGCCTGATAATTTTTGCAAGAGCAGAAGGATGGCAAAAAGGAGAAAAAAAACTTTTAAACTTAAATTATATTGTGAGCTTGTCAGCCAAGAGATTAGCCCTTTAAACACTATGGACTAAGTTGTCTTATTCTACATGTGTCAAGGTTCCTGCCCCACTCTGAACTCTAGGGTACAGATGGGGGGACCTGCATGAAAGACCCCCTAAGCTTATTTTTACCAGCTTAAGTTAAATACTTCCCCAAGGTACAAACTTTGCCTTGTCCTTGAATTCTATGCTGCCACCACCAAGCGTGTTAAACAAAGAACAGGGAAAGAGCCCACTTGGAGACGTCTTCCCCCAAAATATCCCCCCAAGCCCTACACCCCCTTTCCTGGGGAAGGCTTGATGAAAATCCTCACCAATTTGTACAGGTGAACACAGACCCAAACCCTTGGATCTTAAGAACAAGGAAAAAGCAATCAGGTTCTTAAAAGAAGAATTTTAATTAAAGAAAAGGTAAGAGAATCAGCTCTGTAAAATCAGGATGGTAAATACCTTACAGGGTAATTAGATTCAAAACATATAGAATCCCTCTAGGCAAAACCTTAAGTTACAAAAAGACGCAAAAACAGGAATATACATTCCATTCAGCACAGCGTATTTTACCAGCCATTAAACAAAAGGAAATCTAACCGATTTCTAGCTAGATTACTTACTAACTTTACAGAAGTTCTGAGTCTGCCTTCCTGATCAGTTCCCGGCAAAAGCATCACACAGACAGACAGACCCTTTGTTTCCCCCCCTCCTGATTTGAAAGTCTCTTGTCTCCTCATTGGTCATTTTGGTCAGGTGCCAGTGAGGTTATCTTAGCTTCTTAACCCTTTATAGGTGAAAACGTTTTGCCTCTGGCCAGGAGGGATTTTATAGCACTGTATACAGAATGGTGGTTACCCTTCCCTTTATTTTTATGACAACATGGAAGGAGAAAAACTAAGTCAAACACTCTGTATGGATGCTTTCTACAGGAGGCAGGATTATTTTAGCTTTGTGGAAGGATCAGGGACATCACCCTGTAGTCATGGGGCTTCGTGGAATCTATGATGGTTGGTAGCCGAACTTGGTGGATCTTGGGTGATCCACACAGAGTGTCTGCCCCACTCCCCTCTGACAACATGGGCATTTTAGTGACTGTGATGCCACTGGTGCCTGCAAGGGGCAACAGAAGCTGCAGATATGAAGGTAATGTTGCTGTAAACTGTCACAAGGTTTTCTTCTAGAAGATCTAGCAGAACAGCTCTACCCTCCTTCAGAGAGCCATGTCCTCAAGCTTCTGTCAAACCCAAGATACACAGTGTTCACACAGATACACAATTTTCATTTGGAGGGGCTTATGTGGAGACAGACTCTCCCCTCTTTCTAAGATTTACTGGTTAATTTCACATCAGTAATGTAAATTCCCACCCATCCCCAGCACAGAATGGAGAGGTTTAGTTCATGTACAGATACAAATTCTGCCTTCAGTTGCACTTGTAAAAGTCCAATTAAGTCACTGAAATGTGACTAGCTAAGTGTAACTGATGACAAAATTTGGCCGTTAGAACAGGTGAACCATATTCCAGTCTTACAATATAGTCATTTTGATCCATTTTAATTTATAATTCTGAGCATGTACAATTCCCTTTGAACTCTGAATTTGGCCTATGAGTTTTAATTGTTTTTATAAGTAGATATTACATTATCTTCAGTGTAATAAAACACAATAACTTGATATTACTTAGGATATCTGCATCAGTGCTGTTAAAGAAAAGGATATTGAAGCAAAACTGAAACATGTCATCAATGAGTGGAGTACTCATGTCTTTACATTTGGCCAGTTCAAAACCAGAGGAGAATTGCTTCTGAAAGGCTCAGATACTTCTGAGAAGATAGCTCTGATGGAGGATAGTCTCATGATTTTGGGATCCCTCATGAGCAACAGGTACAAAAATTAACAAAAGAATATATTGTATAAATATAATAAGTACAAATAAAATACCATAATCTTTTTTTTTACTCATGTTCATATAACAGGTACAATGCACCATTCAAGCCCACGATCCAACAGTGGGTCCAGAAATTGGCCAATACCACAGAAATAATTGAAAATTGGATTACTGTACAAAACCTCTGGATTTACCTTGAAGCTGTTTTTGTTGGTGGAGACATTGCAAAACAGCTGCCTCAGGTCTGTTGATTTATAATAGCAACATATGAAGGCACACTATAGACAGCCAAACCACAGTACCTTTTAAATAAAAGAAGTTAGTCTATACTGAGGAAGTCTAATTATACCATACTTTACTCAGGAAAAATTACCACAGATAACTTCAGAGGGAGCTTTTCCAGAGTGAGGTCTGCAGGGTTGGACTCTTGGGGCCTGATTCAAACCTACAAGAGCAAGACAGTTTAAAGTTAAGGCTGAAATGCTTACCTCAATTCACTTTGTATTATTCAGATATTATAGCACATATTGGTGGAGAGGTAAATTCTGGCTAATGCTGTGATAATGCTGTCAAGGTTCCTCCCCCACTCTGACCGCTAGGGTACAGATGTGGGGACCTGCATGAAAACCTCCTAAGCTTATCTTTACCAGCTTAGGTCAAAACTTCCCCAAGGTACAAAATATTCCACCCTTTGTCCTTGGATTGGCCGCTACCACCACCAAACAAATACTGGTTACTGGGGAAGAGCTGTTTGGAAATGTCTTTCCCCCCAAATACTTCCCAAAACCTTGCACCCCACTTCCTGGACAAGGTTTGGTAAAAAGCCTCACCAATTTGCATAGGTGACCACAGACCCAAACCCTTGGATCTGAAAACAATGAAAAAACATTCAGTTTTCTTACAAGAAGACTTTTAATAGAAATAGGAGTAAATAGAAGTAAAGAAATCCCCTCTGTAAAATCAGGATGGTAGATACCTTACAGGGTAATTAGATTCAAAACATAGAGAATCCCTCTAGGCAAAACCTTAAGTTACAAAAAAGATACACAGACAGAAATAGTTATTCTATTGAGCACAATTCTTTTCTCAGCCATTTAAAGAAATCATAATCTAACACATACCTAGCTAGATTACTTACTAAAAGTTCTAAGACTCCATTCCTGGTCTATCCCCGACAAAAGCAGCATATAGACAGACAGAGACCCTTTGTTTCTCTCCCTCCTCCCAGCTTTTGAAAGTATCTTGTCTCCTCATTGGTCATTTTGGTCAGGTGCCAGCGAGGTTACCTTTAGCTTCTTAACCCTTTACAGGTGAGAGGAGTTTTCCTCTGGTCAGGAGGGATTTTAAAGGGGTTTACCCTTCCCTTTATATTTATGACAAATGCAATCCCTTATTCTGCCTGACACTAGCCCTTATACATCTCATTTATGCATTCAATACTGTTAAGAGTTGCAATAACTTTTGCAAGGGGCTGTGCATAGGGACATTGCTAGGCCTGGGCAGCCACGTATATGTATATACATATGTGGATCTTGCTCACTTTTCACCAGTCCATGCCCTGTTATGTCTTTCTGTGATGTCAGTTGTAGAGAACCTAAAGACTGACCTCTCTCTGATTTTCTGGGTGAGGCAGAATCAGAGCAATAAACTTCCATTGCATGCTTCTGCTGGCAGGTTTACATGTGTGTCAGCCAGTCAGAATTTGGCACGTGGTATGTAGGATCACCTACTGCTTAAAGATGTCAGAGATATATAATTTAATAAAAACAAGAATATTCTACACTATTCCATTTATTTCAGGCCAAAGACATTATAATTAAATATCTACATTTTCCATTTTCCATAACCCAGAACATTTTGTTCTGTGATTAGCTAAAGCCTTCTTAGTTGTTAATTAAGATTATAATAAATTGCCTCTTAGGTCCTACAGTATATTTATAGGATAACTTTCATTAGGGAGGCAATAAGCGGTTTTTGCAGATGACTAAACACCACAGCAATGCTTATGAATTTGATAATTGCAGAAGCCACTTATTGTAAGTATACTGCATGAATGTTATTCCCATTGTGCAATAAGAAGAATAAAAGAAAATCACACAATAAAGCTCAGAAAAATAGTTCTTTTCTTGCCTTTTGAGGATTTGAAAATTCAGCTTCATTCACTTTCAACACTTTGTGGATGGATCATAGAATCATAGGACTGGAAGGGACCTCAAGAGGTCATCTAATCCCATTCCCTGCACTCATGACAGGACTAAGTATTGTCTAGAACTCTAGATCATCCCTTGAATCTTACCCAAATAATTGTTTAACATTGGAGCAGCATGTCAGTAATTGTTTTCAGGAGTGGCCTGTGTGGAAAAGCAATGATGTAAATGGAAACAGAGTCGTAGTGTTGGTAATGTTTTGTCTTTTTTAGAGGAGGGTGCTATTTGACTTTTCTGCTGAGAGGTTGATTGAAGTCCTATTGTATAGCCACTTTAGTGCTGCCTAGTACCAGGTGACATAAGGCAAAAGGCACTGCTGCCCCATCAACCTGATGCATTTCTGTGGCTCTACCAGTGTTACAAAGGCACTCTAAAAACATTCACGCACTGTACTCTTCAACAGACACGAGCAGCAAAGTGAATATTAAACTATTACCTTGTCTGATTATTATTAGTTATTTATTATATTTATTATTGTAGAACCTACAAGACCCAGTCACAGACAAAGACCCTGTTATGCTAGGCACTGTACAAACACAGAACAGAAAAGTTCGTCCCTGCCCCACAAAGCTTACAGTCCTAGAATAAGACAAGAGCCAACAGATAGATACTGATGTGGGAGTCCAAGGAAACAATGAGACAATGCAGGCCAGCTTGATAGGCAGTGGTCTCAGCACCAGCAGCCTAACTGTTGAGTTTTTTCTGGACATCACAACAAAGGAGAGTTTTAAGGGGGAATTTGAAGGCAGATAATGAGATAGCTTGGCAGATATTTATGAGGAGTGCTCCCAAGTGTGAGGGACACCATGGGAGAAAGCACAATGGTACTTGTTTGAAAATATAATAAGTGGACGATGGAGGCTGGCCTCATGGCCCATTTTTTCTTGATATCCACCAATAGAATATGCATAGTGTTGACCATCCAAAGGACGTACTGATTAATAGAATCAGACTCACTTACAGGGTACTTTTATTTTTCAGCATTTTGGGAAGCAGCAGGAATAATGCATTTGTAATGTGTTTCAGGAAGCCAAGAGGTTTCAGAACATTGATAAATCTTGGCAGAAGATTATTCAGAGAGCTCATGAGACATCAAACATAGTACAGTGCTGTGTTGGAGATGAGACCTTGGCACAGCTACTACCACATTTGCTGGAACAACTGGAAATATGTCAGAAATCATTAACTGGGTATTTGGAAAAGAAACGATTAGTATTTCCAAGATTTTTCTTTGTATCTGATCCTGCACTTCTGGAAATCCTTGGTCAGGCATCAGATTCACACACTATTCAGGTATAAATTATGTAGCAGTAACCCCCTTTATAGCCAGTATTAATAACTGAGTGGAATGATTTCCTTTTGTTACTGAATTGACCTAAGTTTGTTTATTTGTGGAAAGATCCATTTAGCCTTCTAAACTTGCAGGTTTTGATGCAGTTTAAAAATAACATTGTAGATCATTTTATCGGTTGTATTTGGCTGATCCGGTGTTTGTTTATTCTAGGCACATTTACTGAGTCTGTTTGACAATGTTAACCGAGTGGGATTTCATGAAAAGAACTATGACCAGATTTTATTATTTGAATCTCAAGAAGGAGAACAAGTCAATATTATTGAGCCTGTTCTAGCTCAGGTAATAGAAGAATATATTACGCTTTTTTCATTCGCTACTTTAAAGCAAATCTGTGTAATAAGGGGCTGGCCTACTTCCATGCAGTACCACAGCATGCTTCCATTTGAGAATATGAAGTAGAGACCCTTCAGGTGCCCAGTACAGGGGCAAAGTGCTTTTGCTCCAGAGGGAGGATGGAAGGGCTTGTATTATTCTGTAGCAACCCTTCTAGTTGTCTCCCCTTCAGCACTGAAGTTCCTAAATCCATCACTCTGCATCTGGAAGAACGGGTCAGGCACAACTGTGAGGATGAGAGAATAGAAAAGTGGGAAATGGGAACATCAGCCCTGGGGAGGAAATGTCTTCTGTGGAGTTTTTGCTGGGTTGGAGCAGTTTACTTTAAAAGTGCTTTTTTTGTCTTCCAGGGTAATGTGGAATTCTGGCTAGGACAGCTGCTGAATGGGATTAAGAAAACAATACACTCTATCATTAGACAGGCATCTATAGCCATTAGTGATTCAGGATTTAAGCTGTATGACTTTCAGACAACGTTTCCTGCACAAATCGGTCTTCTGGGAATTCAAATGATTTGGACCAGAGATGCAGAGGATGCTCTAAACAGTGCCAAAACAGACAAAAAGGTTGTACTTAGCAAATCCTTGGGGGTTAATTAAAAACATTGTTTAGATCAGTGCACTCTGTGCAAGTTAAAAAAAAAAAAGGTAGAAAATGACAAAATAAAAAGGAAGTAACTGGAATGACCCGTTAATTCCTCCATATTGATATGTAGGGTGGTGATACTAACCCACAGTATTAGCATCCTCTCTATATGCTCTTTGCACTACTGCGCTACCTGTCCTGACAACTGGTGACATGGGACCATTCCCCAGCTGGGGTAAATCAGCATACCTTAATGGCAAGACACTGATTTACATAAGCTGAGGGTCTAGCTTATAGGGTTTGTGCACCACCTGCTTCCATCCGCTGTCCATATTGGCACTGATGGAGAGGCACTGCTCAGAACCTCTGATGCTGTGAACTAGTGAGGAAAGGAGTATGACAGGAAGTGATAGAAGGTCAATCCTCACTTGCTTTAAAACTAACTTTAAAACAGTTTCTAATGTTGTGTCCCATCCCCCCATTCTTGTCAGTGGCTACAAGCTTTGGGAGGGAACGATGGGCAGTTTAGGGTCAAGGGCGTGTCATCATCTACTATAATCCCAAAACTGGTTTGGGGGAAGTGAGAGCCACCAGTATAGGGGAATAGCAGTGTCTCTCTTGTGCATGGAGCTGCTTGAGGGGACAGTGCTAGCATCCTCCCGCTCTTTTGGAGGAAGGGGGAGCATGGGAGCAAGTTTGGTGGAGGATTGGTTCCACCTTATGCCCAGGAAAGATGCTTTCAGCACCATAGATGTTTTTGATAAGTGCCTCTCCTCTGGAACTTATATAGAGGCATGTGAGAAGGCAACTCAGAGGAGTGCTCAAGGCTTCGTCTACACTACACAGCTTTTAGTGACATGGCTGTGTCACCCCAGCCATGCCGCTAAAAGTCGTTCAGTGTAGCCGCTGTTTGTCGGCTCTTCTGACCACAAAAAACTTCCACCCCCAACGAGCAGGGTTAGCTTGTCAGCAGGAGAGCGCTCCTGCTGACAACGCGCTGTTCACGCTGGAACCTGTTGCGGCATAACTTTTGTCTTTCAGGTGGGAATGGGGTTAACACCTCTGAAAGGCAAAAGTTTTGTCATTCAATTGTCAGTGTAGACATAGCCCAAGAGTACTAATACAGCAGCGTAAGGAACATTTGCAGTAGTACCAAGCTAAGAGCTAGTAACACTGTCCTATCAGGAACATAAACACAGGCAAAAGCTAAAGAAAACGGCATACCATATTGTGATGTTACTGGCTAAAATTAAACTAGACAAGTCTCCAGACTAGGGGGGAAATACTTTAAACCCCCATTTTTCTACATCAGACAAAGCCAAAAAAGGGCATGGACCCAGTTTTTGTTCCATTGCAGCTAATTTAACTAGAATCAAACATCACTGGCAAACAAAATTTCTTGTTGGTTTTGTTTGTTTGTTTCCTCCTTTAAAAAACATTTATTTGTAGTTTTCCTCAGCATATGGAATAGGTCTGGGTCTGCAAATATCCTCAAAAAACCCACAATCCCCAATATGATCATCCCTTCATGTGTTCAAAGCACTCACTGTGGCCTAAGTGCTACAAACTACTCCATCACCCCTGGGCCTGCACAGAATCCCATTTGGAGTTATTGACAGGGGTCCAACTTATCGCCGCAACTGCAGGAGTGGAGCCCCTGTTATAATCGTAAGAAGTCAAACTATTTTATTCCATAGTCTCTTGTAGCAGAAATAAAGGGTCACTTCAGGCACATTTAAATTGTCCCTTACACCAGTTTTCTCCTGTGAAAGCTACCGTGGTATTAAGGACAGAGTCAGAATCCCAGCTTCATGTTTCCCAAAAGTGAACATATTGGTTGGCTGATGCGTATAGTTTAGTAACCAAAGGCTGAAGTCTCATTGCTTAATTGCTTTTGACAAGGACACAATACAAACACTCTACCAGGTAAAGGTGAGGTGTACTATATTAGGCCACTGTCCTGCAATGGAACCTGCTAGCATAGACCCCTCAGCCCATGTATCATCCCACTAAGGTCACTGGGACTCCACAGGGGCTCAGGGAATATGCTCTAGCTACTGCTCTTGATTCAGGATTGCAGCCCCAGTTAATACAAATTGAGGCTGGAGCAAAACGTAACTAAAACAGGGGATATATATTTGTAAATGTCTGCAACTGTTCATCCTCTAGAGATTGAAAGAGCAAAGGGTGTTTGTATTAATATAACTCTGTTCTCTTGCTGTGTGGGAAAGGTCATGCACACAACAAATCAGAAGTTTCTGGACCTTTTAAATGATTTGATTGACGTGACAACATGTAATCTGACAAGGATGGAGCGCACAAAATATGAGACTTTAATCACTATTCATGTACATCAAAAGGATATCTTTGATGATTTGGTGAGGATTTTTTTTAAGAGCTCTCTAATTGAAAAACATTTCAAAATATTTGTTTCACTGCTGTTAGTACTGTCATGCAGTTGCATGCTATCTGGGTTTGTCTTTTCTAACTGCATCTTAAAAGATTTACATTACAAGTATCTTATTTGTTTGCAGTATTGAATTATTTGTGGGTGACAACATAAACATATTCACTAAGAAAAATGTAGATTCCGATCCCGCAAGTAGTTGCATACGGGCAGACTATTGATGGCTGCCTATTGATCTCACTGTGGCTTTCTCCAGGGGCAGCAGTCCAGCCACATGAAACAAATTGCAGGACTGGGGACTTAAAAACATAGTGTGAATTTTTGGCCCACTGAAGTGATAGTTTTGCCATTGACTTCCGGGGGGTCAGGGCTTCACAACACACAACTTTAGAGTCCAGTCCTGCAAATAGAGCCACACACACAGATCTTTATTCCCTTGTGGAATTCCATTGAAGTCAACAGGACTCCACACAGGTGGAAGGGTGCATGCATGTGGATCAGTTTGCAGAGTCAGACTCATAAACTGTGGGTTTTCCTTTTTAAAATTATTACTGTTTTTCAGCATACAAGAACTGTCTTTGCTAAGGGGAAAGCACTGTTGACCTTACCCTGTGATTCAAAATTTAAGACTTTACATCATTGGAGTTTTTCAAAAATATGTTCCCTTTTAGCTTTAGATTGAGCTTTGTGATTTCCAGCCCCTGTCTCCACTTCCTGATTTGAGGCAAGGGCTGCTGAAAGATTAAAGAAGCTGGGTTTCATGTATTTTGAGAAGAGGAGTAAACAATAACTTACACAGATTTACTTTTAAAATTTTAAGTGCATCAAACTCTTCCCTATGGTAGATAATATGAAAGCATGAGACAATGATTAAGAAATTGGAAGCAAAAAAAAAAAAAAGGTTGAAGGAAACATCCTGCATACTAAGAGCAGTAATTCAGGGGGATATGTATTGTTTAAATGATTTATATACTGCGCAGAGAGAAATACCAAATGAGTTTCTAAATAAGGAAAGAAAAGTATAAAGAACTAACACTGATAGCTAGAAGTCAAAGTGCCAAGTTCTGTATGATGTCTGAGGCTTTTTCCTGTCCCCATCATTTTTCATTAATTTTTATGAGTATTTTTGAATGTGTATTTCATATCAGTTAATTCAATGTCAAGTATTATTGACGTCTGCTGTATATTAACCCTTCGGAAATTGGTTAATCCTATTGTGTTTTTTCTGACCTGTTGATGGAAATGGAAAGTAGACACTTTAAGATATGTCACTTTCTCTGCTCATATTTTTTATTACAGTGTATCACGTCTACACTAATGGTTTTGTGCTTTTGTTACAGGTCCGTATGAATATTAAATCTCCATCTGACTTTGAATGGCAAAAACAATCCAGGTTTTACTTTATTGAAGATGTGGACAAATGCATCATCCAAATCACTGATGTGGAGTTCAGCTACTGCAATGAATACTTAGGCTGTACAGACAGACTCGTTATAACTCCTTTAACTGACAGGTAATCGCACTAGGAGTACAGTATCCACTTTGGAGGCAAAATCCTACTCCCAACAACATAAAGGAAAAGCAGGATTTGTCTCCTGATATGCACCAATTACTGTTAACACCAATGGGAGTTACCAAGCTGTACTGAAAGGAAGAAATTCCCTTTCCTTTCCCACCCCCAGATTTATATAACAGTTACTACACTTAGTCACTATACGTTGGGCAGATAACAGTGAAGAAAAATTAATGCTGTTTTCCAATCTGTCTCCAGATGTTATATCACATTGGCTCAGGCTTTGGGAATGAGTATGGGTGGTGCTCCAGCAGGACCCGCAGGTACTGGGAAAACAGAGACAACTAAAGACATGGGCAAATGTCTGGGAAAGTACGTTGTTGTCTTTAATTGTTCAGACCAGATGGACTACAGAGGCCTAGGTCGTATTTATAAAGGTAAGACACTGTTCTGTCTATTCATTTTAGCCGTTAAAAGAAAAATGCGTTTCTGTGTGGAGTGTTTTTGTGAGTGAGACTGAAACAATAGAATGATCTATGGTTAGTGAGCTTTGTCTACAGCCAGCAGAAGGATGAAGAAGCGCAGAAGCAACCTGCTGAAGATTAGCTTGATGGAAAAATAAGTAATTGGGGATACAAATAAGAGAGCCGTACTATTCTCCTCACTGCCCTTCTCCACTGCCTGGAGAGCTCTATGCTTTAAACAGTTCCTTCCACAGACTTTGAATTGGATCTCAGTGGCAACTGGTGGATGCACTGAAAGTCACCTAATCTGCACTCTGGTCTATGAACCTGATTCTCATTGCAGTCACTCTGCTGTAAATCAGGGTAATTCCACTGCAGTCAATGTCGGGACACTGCCGTAATAAGCAAGAGTAGAATCAGGCCATGTGCCTCTACAGTTAGCATTGTTTCAGTGCCTGTTGAGCCATAGAGATTTATCATGCACTCAGGTGGTGTTCTCCAAGAACCCTAACCTTCCCCATCCCACTCCCCTACACTGCACACCCCAGTGCTGATAGACTGGCAGGAACAATCTCATTTTGGTCTCTTGCAAGGCAGTACAGAACAGTAATGCTAGACTGCCCTGTCAGAGAGACTCCTGTAAATAAGAACATTTGCCAGTTCATGAGTGAGTTTTCACACATGTGCTATGGTGTATTTGTTTCTCCATTTTCTATTTGATGACATTACTGTACACAGCTGATGTAGGAAATAATTAATTTCTGAAGGGACTGTGTTCTATCTTCCATCCTTTTCTGTTACCTTCCTTTTCTGTAGTCTCCATTTTCCTTTTAAGCACCAGTTGTGCCTTGTCCTCTCTCCCTCTTGTTCTTTTATATTTCCTTCCCCACTATTCCCGTTTTCTCTGTTTTCCTTAACGAATCCTCTCTGCCTGCCATTATCTCTACTGTCTAGGTGTTGATATCTGATTGTTCTTCTTTCCTTCTGTTTCCAAACTGCTTCCCCTTTCTTTCCTTCATCTTTCCTGAATACTTCCTGTTTTGCTCCTCTCCTCCTTTTGCATCCCCATCCTCTCTGCTGTACTTCTCTGCACCTCCACAGCTTCAAGTATGACTCCATTGGGCTTTTCAACCTTTACTGAATTTTCCCACATACTTTTCATTCTCGCCCTCATTTCCACCTGCTATTGCATTGAAGTCCCCTTGGATGATTGTGTAAATGGAAAATGGCCTCTGTGTAGTCTTGTTTTTTATTTGTTTCTTTCAGTTTTTTATTCTACATGAAATGATGTCTGCTTCTACAGCTGATTCAAGCACTGTCATCATATGCTGCGTGAATGTACCTGAATATTTCCAAATAATTAATATGGCTCTAATGTCCTACAGGGCTGGAAGTTCACTTGCTGTGCCTGTCTGTCACAGAGTTTGTTCCTTATGGCTCCTCTTGGCAATTAGCTCTCAACTGGTCTGATGCCCCCCTGCTTCAGTTGTTCACCCCGTGGTCTCTCTCTCTCTATGCCTATCCCAACTCCTCCCCCAGCTGGGCTTCATCAGCTATTGGACCTTCTCAGTTTTTACTCTCCTCCACGGTTAATTGGCCCTTTTTCCTACTCAGGTCTTGTGTGGGGTAGACCCCCATCACATACCCTCCAAGGTAACCCTGTAACCCTCAGGAATACGGCTGCCTTCTCCCCTGGAGTTGCTGGAGCTGGGCCCACCGGTCATCTCATTCCTGCTTCAGCTTGTCCACCATGAGAAGCAATCTACCCTTCTCCTCCATTGTGTTCTGATACTTATCCCTCTGAAATTCTAAGTCTTGCAAAGCAATTCTCAACGCTTGCTCTGCAGCTACTAACTTCTCTTGTAGCTTTTGCCCTTGTTCCGCAGATTCTTCCACCACCCTTTTGATCAGGGTTTGAGATCCCGCTGTATTCTGATTACCCTCTGTATTGGTCCCAGTATCATTTAACTTTGTCTTTTGGGGACTCTTTCTTCCCTCCAATTTCTCTTCACCTTCCGTACTCACAAGTCCCCCGCCTTCTCTACAACCACTGTGCACATACAATGGGCTTCTGGCTCCTCCTTCTGTTCCTTTACTGACTCTATGCCCTTTTCTTGACTACTTTCTTTCTTCTTGAGCAGACAGTGCCTCCTCACATGTCCCCATTCCCCGAAGGAAAAACAGGTCCCTTTTTTCCCTACTCCCTCAGCAGCTGGGACTTTCTGAGGCTTTCCTACATCCCTCACTTCATGACTAGCTTTCTTGCCCTTATATGTAGGGGCATTCCCTTTCCAGGCGTCCCTTCTGCCCCCAGGCATAACACTCTCTCGGCCTGGTCACCAGCCTCCTGGCCCTGGAACTCCATTTCCACTCCCAGCCTCTTCCGCCCCTGCTCGCTTTGGGGGAGGGTCTTAAAAAATATTGTTGCTGTTGCACTGGTTTCATTAAATACCCTTCCTGCCCTGCTGGTTCTGCAGGGCCTGTGCAAGCAGTGCCGGGATCCCCGTTGGATGCTTTTCTTCCTTGGTTAAATGGGAGTGAAAACGCTGGTGCCCAGTTCAGAAGGGTACACTGGCCTTCTCCAAAAAAGGCCCCTAGGCCCTGTGGCCCCATTGTCTCTTTTTTTCTAAACTCACTCCTCTCATCCTCTCATCCTCCCCTTGTACCAGGGGCAACCGTCATACATGTATTTGCCACCAAATTGTCATGGCATTTACTACTTGCTGCCTCTTGTTGGCTCATCTCGGGGATTAGCTCTAGACCAGCTCTCTTTCAGTTGCTCGCCCCCTGGTTGGTCTCTCTTTTCATGCCTATCCTAGCTCCTCTCCTGGCTGGGCCTCATCCGCTATTAGGCCTTATCAGTCCTGACTCTCTTCCAGGCCTGTCATGGGGTCAGTTGGCCCCTTTTTCCTACTCAGGCCTTGTGTGGGGTAGATAACCCCTCACACTGTCCTTTTCTGCACAAGTGAAATTATTTTGCAAGGGCCAGATTTCATTGGGAGTTGTGGAATGCTCAGCTCCTCTGAAAGTCAGGCCTCCCAATTCTTAGGCACTCTCAACTTTTCCAGCAGGTGGCAATACAAAACAAATTATTATTTCCTCCCAAAGGGGAAAAAAATCTGACCAGAACTGAATTTCACCATTATAAAGGCAAAGTAAGTTTAAGATAATTTCATACACAGCTCACAGTATGCATAAAATGTCAATATTATATCCAGCAACATACACTTATGTTAAAGAATTGCATGTTTTATTTTTTTTCCTGTTCTTTCTCCAAGGTGATCATTGTTGCAAAAATAGTTTTTAGAGTGGAACCTGATAACTTGCAATAAAAGTATGTCACTTAAAGCAGAAAACATGTAGGGCCAAATCCGTCCCCAATGTTAACTCTGTCTGGATCTTTGAAAACTCATCAAATTCTCTGTCTACATAGAGGAAAAATACTTCAGAAAGGGATCCAATTCTGTACCACTGAAGAAAATGGAAGTTTTTGAACTGCTTTTAAAGGGGTAGGATTGGATTTTTAGTGCCTGTTCATGTGCTCACAAAAGCCAAGGAAGAAAAAAGAATTCCGCTAAATAAAGGTATGAGGTGGATTAATCACTATGCTCCTCCAGTTTATACCAGTATACCACCATTACAATTAATGGAATTTCACTGACATAAAACTAGTGTAGCACTGTGGGGAATCACCTCCATCATATCTTTAAAAAAGCTATCACATTAGAAAAGAGTTAGCTGTTCACATGGGCAAGCTAAACAAGATACAAGGAAAGTACTGGATCATCTCCCTTCCCTAGATCCACACGTGATGAGGACCCTCTGTGGAAAGATCTCCCTCTCTACCCAGAAGGAGGCTCAGCCACTCTTTGGCATGGTTTTCTTCCACCGCAATCCTGGCACACACATGGACCCTAAGGAGGCCTGGCAGTGTAAACTTGTGGGGAGAAAATTGGGTGGGCCAGGTGGGTTTGCACATCATCCAGTGTGTCCAGGTTTGTGGAGAAACCTGGAAAAGGTAATAGAGCCCCAAATTGTAATAACTTTTCTACAGTCTCCCTCTGGAGTCCTAGGAGCCACTGCAGCCAGAGTGACAAGGAGCAGCCTGCTGGGGCCCAGAGTTGTTGTAGAAGCATTGGGCTTCTATGTAGATCTGCCAGGTTTGGGAATGGACCTGTGGCCTTTTATGCAGAGGTCAATCCCTCCTTTCCATGGGATGTTGTGATGAAATCCTCATAAAGATTTCTTCCCACACAGTCCCCTGCTACAGTCTTTAAAACCAGAGGGATGCTCTCACTCAAAGAATGCAATTTACACACAGTCTATATTAGCATATTGTGTGTGTATGTAAATGCATATGCACAAAAAACTGGGTATTTTCAGTTTCTTGGAATTTTGTGGGGAAACAGCTTCTGCAGAATCTATAAAATCAGCCCTTGATTTATTTCACCTGTGCGGCAAACATTGGCATGAAAAATCTGAGAACCCTGAACATACTATATAGTTCAACATCACAGAGTCACCAATGCCTCTTGTAGGACATATGCTTTGTTGATAAAGGTCTGCTGGTTAGGGTGGGGAGGAGCAGGGAGTAGGTTTCCTGATCAAGACTCTGAGTTTTAGTTCTGTTATTTCTCTTTAAAAGCTCCAGTGGTGAAGTTAAAATAGGTTCTTAATTAATAAAGTGAAATGTGGCCTGCCAAAGCCAGTGTTATCATATCTCATCATAGATTTGGCTAGTATATATGTGTGAGACATATGTTTTCTACGCCTCATGTAATCTGGGACAAGTTAGACCTAAATTCTGCAGAAGGGCTCTGGATTCCTCAACACTTCGGTGGAAAATGATGAAAAACACTTGATGAAAAATTCTGTAGCAGCTTTGTTTAAATTAAAAAGGAAGAGTTTAAATTAAGTACGAAAAGGAAAAATATACCCAGTATAAAACCCCCTGTGCATTTTATTTTGATATTAAATTCCATTTCCACTGTCTCAACATTTAATGCTTTCAGTATACTGCATGTTTCTGTATGGACTGTGCGTAACTGCGTTAGATATTCTCAGGGCTAAAGCTGGAAGTTTTGGCAGCTGGGTTGGGGTATTTTGGGTTTTGGATATTTGAGGTTTTCAGAGGCAGCTTGGCATTGTGGGATAAACATATTAACTGGATGTTTCTGCTAAACGTATCAGCAGTGAAGTAGTTAACAGAGTTGACATTTGGGCCCCGATTCAGGAAAGTACTTAAGCATGCTCTTAAATCTCACCTCTCCCTTTTAAGCAAAGCACTTAAGCACATACTTAAAATTGAGCACATGCTTAGGCACCCTTCCTGAATAGAAATAGAAACCTGAGTCAGGTTTTGAATTGTACATTTTAGATTTCATTGTTAGCCACCCGTGGAGATGAATAGGACTGCACACAACTCTCTGATATTGTTGCACACTGTCTGCAGGAACACAGCACTACATTGATTGAGAGGTGGTTTATGTTTGTAAAGATTTTTTCATAACAATAAGGGCTAACAAAATTTATAAACGAAAGCTTAGAATCTGTAGGACAATTCTGTGGCAAGGGCTGGATAATATGGCATTCATAAGGTACCCTAGGAGGGAAAAATACAGAATATGAATATGCAGAATCGTGGCATATATAGGGCCCTGTCTGTTTTCTTCTTATAGTGGGTGCATGTTAGAGACATTTTTTAAATAGAGCATTCCATACAAAGAATATAAAATAGTACTATATTAAAAAATTGCTGTAAATAGTCTTTCAGGCAGAATAGCCACATTTTCTATTTCTTCCTCCCTGGGTACCATGACAGTCTGAACCTCTGGCCTCTCTGTACCTCATCCTTTCCCTCTACGCTCTGTGCAAAAGGATGCCACCAATGTCATTTCCCTCTCACCTCTTTCCCCGCATCTTAAATCTTTGTCCTGGCTCCTTCTCTTTTTGTGTGTGTTCAATCTGAGTTATTTGTCCTTGTCTTTAAAGCACTCCACTGCTCCATTCCAGCTTACAGCTCTAGTCTTCTCTCTTCCCATCTCATTCCAGGTCACTCCCTCTACTGCACAATGATCCTTGTTTCTTTATCCACTCCCAGTGTAATACCTTTGTCCATGCCCCACTCTATACTTGGAATGGCCTCCCAATCAGTTGTTACCAGGAGTTAGCTATCTTCAGCTCCAAACTACTGTTTGGGTTAAATCCGGATGTCCATGGAGATCCTTCCTGCTGGAGAACGGGGGATATTCTGCTGCACAAGAGCAGGTGGGGTTTAGTGAGTCTGCACAGAGGCCGCGCCACAGGGATACACAGTTCCCTCTATCCAAGTGCAGCAAGGTTTGGAGACGGGGCAGCAGTGGGCTGTGAGAGGAGAGGCAGTGGTGCAAGTACGGTGGTATAGTCTGGTACGCCGTACCAGTAAGATATTTATAGCTAGTATGGTGTACCGGAGAGACAGAGGAGGAGCTCACCCCCAACCCTGCCCCCTGCCCTTCCATGGAGCTGCGTCTCTTCCGTCTGTATAGCAGCCCCGCTGGAGGCCGGGGCTCGGGGGTGTGAGGCTGGGGGCAGTACAGCCACCGGAGGAACTGCTGCCGTTCCCAGCGGGGAAAGGAGCAGAACACCAGCAGCAGCTCTGGCGTGGCTGTACTGCCCTCAGCCCAGCCCCCCCCCCCCCAGCCCTTCCATGCAGCTGCATCTCCTGAGTCCTCCTGCCTGGGGTCTGTGCAGCAGAAGTCCCTGATGCAGCAGAAGGAGGACAGAGCTCCCCCCCTCCCCACCGCAGGTAACCTGGGATGGATGTGGATCATAGGGAGGGGATGGGGAGAGCGTGGGGCCCAAGGCTGGGAGTGGGGCAGGAGGGGGGTCATCTGGGGAGGTCATGTGCCACCCCCTTTGTGTCCCTCCCATGAGTGCTGTATACCATCAAGAAATGATTTCTGCTTGCACCACTGAGGAGAGGAGAGAATGGATCAACTCCTGCACACATTGATTGGCTGTTGCCTCTCTTGGGGTGGGAGTGAAATAGCAGAAGGGGCTACTGCAGCACCTTCACTGCCACGCCACAACTTGGGAGAGAATTTCTTCCCTCATCCATAACTGTAAAATCCCCTGCTACAAGCCTGGTGACTTGGACTTGATGCAGAAATGGAGGGATTTGACCCTCTTAAAAGTACACCTGTACCAAGAGGTTTATAACATCAGGCCACAATTCCACTCCATGACCTGTTACGTGCGTTTGTTGTAATGGTGTGTGACTTCAGATTGTTAGTTCTTCAGGAGGAGAACTCTGTTTTCCATTCAGTTCTTGCTGTGTGCATTGGTTACTATAAAAAGCTGAGTACAGCTGTGGTGCTATCAGGAGTACAATGATATCTGGATGTGGTCCCAAGCTCTACTTCAGGTGAATCCCCTCAAACAATCCTGTTCTTGGCCCCGTGCACTCTTGGCTCTCCGTGCACTGCAAAGGGTGTTGGGCCTTTTTTTCTGCCCATAGGTGCTATATATAAATATAATATTTACAGCTTTGATAATGGTAGCTATAAAGGCATGGGATTCCCTGCAAAGGTGTTCATACATCTATTTGATTGAGGAGTGTTTCCTTGGGTGGTTCTAATGGGTAAGCTGATTTATTTTGAGTTTTTCTTCCTTATGTTTTATCACATTCTCTTAGTTTTTTCTATGCTACATTATAAATCCAAAATATACTGTACTTTATGTAGGGCCTGATGTACTGTGTCTAACAAAATTCTTGTGGTTTCCCCCCTCATTTTCTCATAGGTTTAGCCCAGTCGGGTGCATGGGGTTGCTTTGATGAATTTAATCGCATTGAACTTCCTGTTCTGTCAGTAGCTGCTCAGCAGATCTATATTGTGCTTCAGTGTAAGAAAAATAAGAAGCCCCAGTTCATCTTTACTGATGGTGACGTTGTTGACATGGACAGAGAATTTGGCATATTTCTGACTATGGTATGTCTGTGTGAATCATAGCATCAGAGGACAGAATCCTGTTTCCTTTACCCACAAAATAGTTTTATGGGACTATTTGTATGTAGTCAATGGGACTATTTGTATGAGTAAAGCAATCAGGATTTGACTGATAGTGTGCAGGCTCATAAATAATATTGACGCCCTCTGTTGCTCTTGTCTCTAATAGGAACATAGGATTTGCTGTACTGAATACAAGTCATATTTCCATCATAAACCACATGTTTCAGGGTGTTTTTTTTTAATTGGATATAGAAAACTTGTCAGGCTGAGATTAAATTCAAGTACTAAATATTTTTAGAAACCGGAATGAACAAAAGGACACACAGTCGGCTCTTTCAGGACCCACTATAGTCTGTCTCATCAAGCTCTTCATCAGAATTTAGAATTTTTGGTGTCAGTCCTCCAGAATTTAGGGGTGGCCCAAATCTGCCTAAGATCCAGTTTAATTGACCACTGGAGGATTCCTCCTGGGCAGGGCAGCAGTGCATAACTTCTGCTGTCAGCATAATGGGTACAGGAAGAGGGGAGCATAAAGCTGTGCTGAGTGTTCCTCAATCATAATTGAAGATCAAGGCATTTATCTTTATTTTAAAATTGTTTACTTTTAAAAATATTAATAATATTACTGTGGTTTGCCAAAGCAACACATTTACTAGATATTCCTGTGGTCTCAGAATAGTGGGTGTGGTATTACATATTGCATGAGCTGCAGTATTTTAGATTAAATTGGATCATGGTATGTGAGTGCTGTGTGCTCTGTTTGTCATATTCCAGCACTCACTCCTGTGTTTATTTTAAGTAATATCCAGAAAAAAATACTCTCAGTGTGAGCAGAGGGTTTAAGTGATAATTTATTATTTTGCACTCTGTGTCTTTCAGAATCCTGGTTATGCAGGGCGACAGGAACTTCCAGAAAATCTAAAGATTCAGTTCCGTACAGTAGCTATGATGGTGCCTGACCGTGGTATCATTATGAGAGTCAAGCTGGCAAGTGCAGGTTTCCGAGACAATCAAATCCTTAGTCGAAAATTTTACACACTCTACAAACTTTGTGAAGAACAGTTATCTAAACAGGTGAAATAAACATTTGTTTAGGAGTAAACCACTGCTGTAAGCGAATTTATAGCACTTTCTGTGTGTATTACTAACTATTCTGAAGTTGGGTAAGCCTGTTTTTTTGGTTAAGTTCACAGTTCAGAATGTACTAGCAACTGGATCTTAAATAATCATGTTATTCTAATTTTCAAAGTACTTTACCCACTAACAGAAGCTTGTTGATTTGGGGTTTTTTGTGGGGTTTTTTTTGTTTTGTTTTTTAATTAAAAACTCAAGCTTTAAGGGATTAAATATCAGGGACAGTTTGCAGATATGTTGGTAGAAGCCAAATTTTTCACCCATTGCTCTTAAAAACTTTTTTCTTCTTTCTGATTTTGGTTATTTGCTACAGGAGCGTGTCTGTGTGTGTATATATATATATATAGTCAAAAAGGGGTATTGAATTTTATGAATTATAATCAATTTTACAATGTCCAGAAATCATATTCCTGTGTTTGGCACATCTTGCTGGGTGTTACCAGAAACATACCATTTTATCTAGTGAGAGTTATTTAAATGCAGACAAAGGTACAGGTTTTTGGTGAGAATCTATACAGAAATAGCTGAATTCTGAGTTTTCTGCCCTGGATGCCCACTAAGGGCTCTCAAAGGGAAGTTATCCAGAGAGAGGAGATGTGAACATTGAGGCAAAACACAAACTAGGGCTATGTCTACATTACGGACCTTACAGCAGCACAGCTGTACCACTGCAGCTGCACCACTGTAAGGACTCCCGTGTAACCAGTGGGAGAGAGCTCTCCTGCCGGCATAATTAAACCACCTCCAACGAGTGGTGGTAGCTATGTCGGCGGGAGAGTGTGTCCCACTGACACAGCACTGTCCACACCGGTGCTTTTGTTGGTGAAACTTCTGTCGGTCGGTGGGGGGTGTGTGTGTGTGTCATAGCCCTGACTGACAAAAGTTTTGCCGACAAAAGTGCTAGTGTAGCCAAAGCCTAGGTGTCCTGCAGTTTGGGACCCATTGAAGAGTCATATTAAGCCAGCTTCACCACTGCATTACTCCACTTCTACCCCATGGTATCTCCATTGACTTCAATGGAGTTATCTTGGCATACAATTTGAGCAATCCGGGGTGAATCACACCCAATATTTCAGAGAAAAGAAAAGTACAGGTTGGGATGTTTTTCTCTCTCCATGTATTAATTCTTCCACCCACACCTCCACCCCCAGACTCTGTGAAGTGCCTTGCCTCGTTATTTTTGACAACATTAGTTTGATTTTTGTTTCAGGTTAATTTTGGTCATATAGCAGCTCTCTGCTGCAGATTGATTTTCTGACAGGTCACATCAGCTGCTAGCTTTCCTGTAATATTGCCAGAGAGTCTGCCTTGTCTGTGAACTTCCCATACAGTCCCATATATTGATCCAGCATAATTGGTAACTATTTAAATATTGCTTATGATCCTGCTTCATTGGTCCAGCCATCTGTCCACTTTTCGCTTTATAGCAGGCCCTTTGAGGTAACCAGACTGTGTTTTCTGTAGAGACATCTTCCAGCACCTCAGGAGAAAGAGCTTCACTGTGTCAGAGGGTGTTGTGGAGTGAGATGACTTGTCGCAGAGAAACCCTGTGCTGGGTGCAGATTTGTCATGAAGTTTAGGAATATTGTGTGTACGCACCATATCCTGGGTCAGCAACACAGTTATCTGCAGAGATATTGTATTGGACATGGTCTGGCCTGTTTCCCCAGGGTCAATCTCAGTGGGATATTGTATTGGATTTTCTCCTTGTCTGAATGGTTTGTCTGTGTTGTTGCGGTTAGTTTCTGTTTTGGACATGGTTCTCTCCACTGTACTGGGAGGTACACTCACAGACACTAGAACTGGGAGGGATAGCTCGGTGGTTTGAGCATTGGCCTGTTAAACCCAGGGTTGCGAGTTCAATCCTTGAGGGGACCATTTGAGATCTGGGGCAAAAAATTGGGGATTAGTCCTGCTTTGAGCAGGGGGTTGGACTAGATGACCTCCTGAGGTTAGTGGTTGTTCACTACCTGTGTGTCCTGTCTGTGGTACTTGGGGTGTCTCAGTTCCTCACACTCCAAGGGGGTCCCTGTGGGACAGTGCACTGTGTGTGTATGCATGGTATACTGATTACTCCTTGCTAGGCCTTCTGTACCTACTATTAGCAGAGGGGACTGTTGGCCATTGGAGAGGTTTGCTCCAAGCTGTCACTTCCTTCTGGTGCTTGGAAGTGCTACCATCTGCTGGCTCATTACAGTATGCCAGCTTGTCCTGCCTGTGCATGACCATCTCCTTCTGTACCAACATGCTTGCTACAGATAAGGTGATGGATTAACTTGAGGGACCTGCTGGAGTTCCTATGTACTGCTCCTTTAAGGTAGGGGAATAACAACTTATCTGGATGACCATAGCCAGTTTTTATCTACTCTCTACCCATCGTCCAGTTTACCTGTAGTAAACCTAGCAGAGGTGTGCACTGGAAGAACACTGGATAGTGTGATGTGGAGGGGGTTTACTCAGCTGACTAAATAGTTTGCTCACCAGAGCTTCTGTGCATCTGTGGTATTCAGACTGGCAAGCTCCTGAATATCCCAGTGTGGGACTAGGGCCATGCTGTGACTGTGTATGAATATGTGAATAGATAGTTTATAATCCAAGATAGTTAAATCCAAAGCTGACAGAGAAGAGTTGCAAAAGGATCTCACTTGACCGAGTGACAAAATGGCAGATGAAATTCAATGTTGATAAGTGCGAAGTAATGCACGTTGGAAAACATAATCCCAACTATACATTTAAAATGATGGGGTCTAAATTAGCTGTTAACACTTAAGAAACAGATCTTGGAGTCATCATGGATAGTTCTTCGAAAACATCCACTCAAAGTGCAGCCTCAGTCAAAAAGGTAACGGAATGTATGGAAAGGAAAGGAAAACATAATAATAATGCCACTATATAAATGCATAGTGCACCCACGCCTTGAATAATGCATGCAGTTCTGGTCACTCTATCTCAAAAAAGGTATATTAGAATTGGAAAAAGTGCAGAGAAGGGCAACAAAAGTTATTAGGCATATGGAACAGCTTCCATACAAGGAGAGATTAAAAAGACTGGGACTGTTCAGCTTAGAAAAGAGACTATTAAGGGAGGATCTGACAGAGGTCTATAAAATCATGAACAGTGTGGAGGAGAGAGTGAATTGGAAAGGTTATATTACCCCTTCACATAACACAAGAACAAGGGGGTTGAGTAGGTAGCATAACATAAGGAAGTACTTCTTCAGACAATGCACAGACATCGTGTGGAACTCATTGCCATGGGGTGTTGTGAAGGCCAAAAGTACAACTGACTTCAGAAAAGAATTAGATAAGTTCATGGAGCACAGGTCCATCAATGGCTATTAGCCAAGATAGTCAGGGATGTAACCCCATGCTCCTAGTGTCCATAAACTTCCAACTTCCAGAAGCTGGGACTGGACAATGGGGAATGGATCACGCAAAATTGCCATGTTCTGTTCCTGTGAAGCATTTGGCTCTGGCCACTGTCAGAAGACAGAATACTGGGCTAGATGGACCCAATATGTCCATTCTTATGTTCTTGTAAGAACGGACAAATGACATTATATTAATAATCTGGCAACACAAGCAGAGGATGCAGCTGCTTGTGGTGAACAAGGAACCATCTACAAAATGATGCGGCTTATCAATGGTAAACAGCAGACACCAACAAACACTCTCATCAGGGACAAACAAAGCCACCAACTAACAACAGAAAAAGAACAAGAAGTACGCTGGACAGAGCATTTCAAAGAATTGCAGAACAGGGAGCCACCTAAAGAGGAAGCAAACATCCAGGAGGCAGAAGAAGATCTTGATATCAACACTGACACCCCAACTAAGGAAGAGATCATTCAAGCCGTCAAATCCTTAAAAAATGGGAAAGCTCCTGGTAAGGATAACTGGAATGCAGAACTGTTCAAGGTAAATCCTGAGTTAGCAGCATCTATCCTGGCCACTCTATTTACATCAGTCTGGGAAAGGGAAAAAGTGCCAAATGAGTGGACCAATGAGGTTATAGTGAAGATACCAAAGAAAGGAACTCTCAGGGATTGTAATAACTGGCTTTGTATCACACGTTTATCTGTGCCAAGCAAAGTATTGTGTAAGACCATAGTCCAGCGTATATCAGAGGCAATTGATAGCTTTCTCGGAAAAGAGCAAGCCAGTTTTTGGAAAGGGCGTGGATGCACAGACCAGATCTTCACTCTACGAAACATAATAGAACAATGCTTAGAATGGCAACAGCAGCTCTACATAAACTTCATAGACTTTGAGATGGCTTTTGATAGCGTTCACAGGACCAGCCTATGGCACATTCTGAGGGCATATGGAATCCCTCTCCATATCATCATCATCATCTAAAGTTTTTATTTCAACTTTACATGCAGTGTTGATCACAGTGAGCTCAGTTTTGAAGTCAAAACAGGAGTACATCAGGGGTGTGTCATGTCTGCAATCCTCTTCAACATTGCCATCGACTGGGTAATGCAGCGTACAACAGAAGACATGCCAAGAGGCATTAAATGAACACTCTTCTCATCCCTTGAAGACCTGGACATCACAGATGATCTCGCTGTCCTATCACATACCCGACACCATATACAAGAAAAAACAACTCAACTCAATGCATTCAGCCAGCAAATTGGACTGAAAATCAATCGCAATAAGACAGATATCATGACCCTTAATATTGCCTCACCATCACCAGTACAGATAGAAGATTATGTTCTCACCAATGTAGAAACGTTCACATACGTGGGCAGCACCATCAGCAAGGATGGTGGAACAAGCCAGGACATCCGGAACAAAATCAATAAAGCCAGGAACACATCCAGGAGCTTAAATACAGTCTGGAAATCATCAAAATACAACACCAAAACCAAACTCAAGATGTATCAGAGCTGCATACTTTCAACATTACTTTACAGTACAGAATGCTGGGGA